CGTAAAAATACAGCAAGCACAAAACAAGAATAAAGGACAGACCATGTCCATGTATAAATATAAATTGACCACCTGGCCATGCCATTTCACCGTGCCTTTTCTGATCACCCTCTCTTACATTTTTCTTCAAATATTCACAGCATGAATCGCTTTCAAATCTGCCTCCTTTTCGCTCTGCTGATCCTCTTCTTTGCTCCGAGAACTCATGCCATTCGGACAAGCTTCCCGAGCCCGTCTTCGGCAAGAAGCCAACAAGTTTTCAGGACATCAGTGACTAGTGCTCCCTCTACCAGAGATCATCAAGCCAGAAATTTCGAGTCCGAGAAGCGAAAGGTTCCGACGGGATCAAACCCTTTACACAACAAGCGATGATTTTCAAGTTTTTTAAGAACTCCCATTTCCAGATAAACACAAATATTTATCTAGCTAGCTTGTTTAATTAATTTGTATTTACAAAAGATATATGCTTCACGATGTCTAGTTAATTAGTAGTTAGCTTGAACATATATAGTTGGAGATTTCTATATACCAAATGATGATCATATCACAGCAGGCCTTGAATTTTGAAGCTCCATTTGTAGAGATATTGTACAGAAGGTGATTGTGAAGGTTTTGAAGAAAACCATGTAAGAGTTTGATTCATATAGTCTTGTTTGACTGTTATTTGTTTTTCTTTTCTTTCAGATTGTATTTTCTTATGAATTATTTAATTAAATAATTTTTCTTTTGGCTTGTTTTGGCTCTACCTGAAATAGCTACTGCATGCATATATAATTTCATGTTTGCATTTTGGGAACTTATATGGGATGCAGATTTGGCCTGCCAAAATCTGATGCAATGAGAAGAATTTGGTTTCGCAAGTCCATCCATCTTTGAAAAACGCAGACTACTTGAGTGACTTCCACACCCATAAGTATAGAATATTCAAATTTCCATCTTATTCAATCTTCTGGGTTTTCGTGGTAGTTGCACCACACCAAATATAAGGCTTCATATGAAGCAAGCATATTCTTTTAGTGATCTTAAGTATGTACTGATACATTATACATAATGATTTTTTCACTCTTGTTCTTCTTCTTGTTTTTTTAGGATTTGACTGAATAAATCAAAGAATTTAACACAGAAACAATGATACGAATACAGAGAGAGAAAACAAAGTGTGGAAATCAATATATATATATATATATATGTACATACATATGTGTGCCAGGATCACCATTGGAATTTGAGCATATGCACAAAATACAAGATGATATTATAAAATGGGTATGGTCTAATTGAGTGTGCCTGCTGTGCTGGCTGTTTCTGAGCTTTTTTAGAACCCAAATTTGAATGCAGAGTGTAAATACCCATTAATTCATACAACTACCATACAATTAAGAAGAGGGATACCCCTTACTTACCCCTCCTTGCAGATGTGATGGAATATATGTTGAATCTTTAGGTCCACAAACCCTACATAACTCAGGTGCACCAAATGCAGTTGAGGGTTATCTATTTACAGCCTTGTCAAGTTGTCATAGTAGTACTTTAGAAATCTCAAATCCGATATGAATGTTTAATGTTTATAGCGCTCTCGAAACCCCTCAATCAGTGCTCGGACCTCCTCAAAAGCCAATAAATTAGGTTAAATTGAACATACAGGTCCAAAATTTCCGAATTTAACTGTCCTAACCATGAATGTAGAAGTGTAATGTTTTTTATCTTCAAAATATAATTGACACCAATGCTCAAGCCCTCTCGAGACCCCTCGATCAGTGCTCGAGCCTCCATGGAAGCTGAAAACTAGGTTATAACTTATAAGTCTTAAACACGTTCAAATTCGGTCCAGTTTTCAAGATTTCCCGAATTCAATTATTTTCTAACCGTGAATGTAGAAATTCGCTGGACTCCTTGGACTTAATTAACTAAATGCAGATGGAGGAATAGCTTAGGTGAGGCAGCTTGTGGGAGGTGGGTGTGGTCCACGGTGCGTAAGTGCACCAACTGGCTACGCATAAGGCATCCCCACCAGAGCCTTTATGTACTACTGTGTATATATATGAATCTGGTGTATGTGCGCGTGTAAAATTTGCACTAATTTTTTAGTTGAGGAAATTATTACGTAGTTGAAAAAATTAGCCTAACATGATGGATTTCAAGTGAAAAGGAACAAAAAAACATTCCCCTTAAAACAAGGAATAAAACAAGGAATAAAACATTCCTTAAAACATGGAATAAAACATTCCTTAAAACATTCCTTAAAACAAGGAATAAAACATTCCTTGAAACAAGGAACTCATTATTTTCAACACTCCCCCTCAAGCTGGATCGAGGAGGTTCACTGAGCCAAGCTTGCCCAATAACCGATGAAACTGAGATGATGCTAGTGCCTTTGTAAAAAGATCTGCTAGTTGATCATGGCTTCGTGTGAACATGGTCCGGATGATTTGCGTTTGAACTTGAGCTCTGATGAAATGACAATCCACTTCAATATGTTTGGTTCTTTCATGGAACACAGGATTGGCAGCAATGTGCATGGCTGCCTGATTATCACACATAAGCGTCATAGGAGTAGAACTAGGAAATCCTAAGTCTGAAAGAAGCCCTTTAAGCCAAATGAGTTCACAAGCAGTGGCTGCCATGGCTCGATACTCAGCCTCTGCGCTGGAACGAGCAATTACCTGTTGCTTCTTACTCTTCCATGTGACAAGGTTTCCACCAACAAATGTGCAATAGCCTGTGATTGATTTCCTATCAATTGCATTACCTGCCCAGTCTGCATCTGTGTAGCCACTAATGACAGTGGACTGATTGTTATGCATTGTAATTCCTTGCCCAATTGAACCCTTAAGATAACGAAGGATTCTCTTAACAAGGTTAAGGTGATCAACAGTGGGAGAGTGCATGAACTGACTAGCCAAGCTCACTGCATATGTGATATCTGGACGAGTGATAGTGAGGTATATGAGCTTACCTACTAATCGTTGATAGTAGCTTACATCATGCATGGCTTCTCCATCTATGCTGAGCTTCAGTTTACAATCAACAGGAGTGATAGCAGGCTTGCAGTCAAGCATTTTTGCTTCTTGAAGGAGGTCCAATACATATTTCCGTTGATGTAGAAACAGTCCTTTTGAAGATGTTGCCATTTCGATCCCCAAAAAATACTTTAACCTCCCCAAATCCTTGATAGCGAAAACTTGATGTAGTGAGAGTTTTAGTGCCTCAATCTCCACGGTATTATCTCCAGTGATGATAAGATCATCAACATAGATGAGGACCACCAACTTCCCTTTGGTGCCAGTTCTTACAAATAGCGAAGAATCAGCATTACTTCGCATGAATCCAGCCTTTTCCAGAACAGAACTGAGCTTGGCATACCAAGCTCTTGGTGATTGTTTCAATCCGTATATTGCCTTGTGCAATTTACAAACCATGTTGCCTTTAATACCATCATAGCCTGGAGGAGGTTGCATATACACTTCTTCCTGCAGCTCGCCGTGAAGAAAAGCATTCTTCACGTCCATTTGGTAGAGTGACCACCCACAATTGATTGCAACTGACAGTAAAACCCTGACTGAGTTCATCTTGGCCACCGGTGCAAATGTTTCCTTATAATCTACACCAAAAGTTTGGGTGAAACCTCGAGCAACAAGTCTAGCCTTGTGTCTCTCGATAGATCCATCAGCTTTGAATTTAGTCTTGTAAATCCAACGACTTCCAACAGCCTTCTTTCCTGGTGGTAGTTGAACTAGGCTCCATGTGCAATTCTCTTCCAGTGCACGAAGCTCTTCTTTCATGGCTTGGTTCCATTGTGGGAGAAGAAAAGCTTCTTGAAAGCTTCTTGGTTCATAGTGCTTATCAATTTCACTGAGAAATGTAGCATGAGATGTTGAGAACTTACTAAAGCTGATACATTCATTGATTGGATGTCGTGAGGCATATGTAACATAGTCCTGCAACCTAACTGGAGGTTTTCTGATTCGAGGAGGATTTCTTTTAATCACCTGAGACTCTGTAGAGGGCGGAGAATGATCAGAGTAGGGCTCGTCTTCACTCTCACTGGCAGTAATTTGGTCAGTTTGAACTTCTTCACAATCTGGACTTACACTGACTGATCTATTTTCCAACATCGGATAATTAAAGTTTTGAGGAAGTGGGAACATGTCAACTAAATCCTCCCCCTGACTTGTAAAATAGGGATAGTCTTCTTCGAACTTCACATCTCTTGAAACTGTGCACTTCTTAGTGACTGGATTGAAGCACTTGTATCCTTTTTGAGTGGTCGAGTATCCCATAAACACACACTTGGCTGCCCTGGCATCTAGTTTGTCACGGTTCAAGGTTTGGATGTGAACAAAACACACACAACCAAACACCTTGAGATGTGTCAAATCTATTTTCCTCCCCTTAAGAACTTCATATGGAGATTTAAACCCTAGCACACGACTTGGAAGTCGATTGATGAGATAAGTGGCAGTAAGGATGGCAAACGACCAAAATTTCTTTGGAACGTGCATGTGAACCATGAGAGCACGAGTTTTTTCCAAGAGATCTCTATTTTTCCTCTCGGCTACTCCATTTTGTTGGGGAGTCCCCACACAGCTGGTTTGATGTATGATACCCTGAGAACTTATGTATTGAAGCATATTGTTGGATAGAAATTCAGTGCCATTATCTGACCTTAAAACCTTAATGTTTGATTGAAATTGCGTTTTAACATGCATGTGAAAGTCTTTGAAAATGGTAGGGACTTCACTTTTTGATTTCATAAGATATAGAAAACTTGTTCGAGAGAAATCATCAACAAATAGAACAAAATATTTAAAACCTTCCATTGATTCAGTTGCAGGTCCCCATACATCGGTGTGTACCATTTCAAAAGGTTTACTTGTCCTAGACATTGAATTACCAAAAGGTAGCCTAGTAAACTTAGAAAATTGACAAGTATCACAAGTAGGATAAGGGTTACAAAAATTTGGAAACAGTTTCGACAAGACAAGTTCAGAGGGATGAGCTAATCTCCTATGCCAAAGTTGGTTTTCATCTATGGACTTTGATTGAGCTTGAAGAGCCTGAGTGAAACATGCATTCTTGCACAGGTAGTAAAGGCCATTTATGAAGACCCCTTCACCAATCATCTTCATGGTGAGAACATCCTGAAACATCACTTTATTTGGTGAGAAAATAGCACGGCAGTTTAGGGTGTTGGTGATCTTTCCAATTGACAAAAGTTGAAAAGGAAAGGTTGGTACATAGAGGGCAGTGGAAGGTGTTTTTTGAGAGAGTAAGTTTATTTCTCCTTTTCCCAAAACTAAGACATTTTTTCCATTTGCAACAGACACATGTGAGGGGCTTGAAAATTTTTTAAAATGATGTAAATTTGTAACTTTGTTTGTCATATGATCTGTGGCGCCTGAATCAATTATCCAACAATCAGTTTCAGTACTAGTTAATAGGGCAGTAGTAAAGGCTTTGAGTATACCTGATGCTTCTCCCTTTGGAACTTTCTCATTTCCAGCAAGAAATCCGGCAAATTGTCCCAACATAGCTGTGTGACTACCCTCTTCATTGCCTTGACCATGTGAGCCTCCTCCGTGCCCCTTACTTTGTAGGTAAGCTGCAAATTCATTGATCAATGACAATGGATTGGCAGTGAACTCCATGGATCCTTGTGAGATAGTAGGAGCTTGAGCATTAGCAAGTTTTGCCTTGAAATGAGGTTGAAATTGTTGTGAGGACCTTGGTATCATCCTTCCATCTTTGCTGAACTTAGGCTTGAGTTCAGGATGAAGTTCCCAACACTTGTCTTCCTCATGACCAACACCATTGCAATATTTGCATTTTAGATGTGTGTTTCTTCCCTTGTATACCTTGGCTTCTGAGTTCTTGTAATTTGATGCATATGCCCGAGTCTCCGTTAATCTAGGATTGTGATCAACATTCATAACCTTCTTCCTTGCTTCTTCTCGTTGGATAGTTGCACAAACATTGTTGAAGGTAGGCAGATCTTGACTCATCAAGATGTGACTCCTTAGGTCCTCGTACTCAGAGCTCAGACTCCCTAACAGCTGATAAATTTTGTCTTCCTCAGCTCGTTTTAGGAGAATGGTAGGATCTGTGGTATGAGGGAGATATACATCCAACTCATTCCACATGGCTTTGAGACTCCCAAGGTGTTGAACAAATGCTTTCCCTTCTTGTTGAGCACTGGCAATGTCCTTCTTTAATTGGAAGACCCGTGCATAGTTGTTTTGATTTCCATACATATCCTGCAAAGCTTTCCAAAGATCATGGGCGGAATTGGAGTAGCTAAAAATTTCAGCAACATGTTTCTCCATGGTGTTGAGCAGCAAGGACATGACAAGTTGATCTTTGCAGAGCCATGCATTGTATGTAGAGGAAGAACGATCTGGAGCTTCCACGCTTCCATTTACAAACCCTAACTTCCCTTTGCCTCCGAGAGCTAGTGAAACAGCTCGGGACCAAGGAAGATAATTGAACTCGTTCAAGAGAACTGAACATAAACGTTGATTGGTGTTAACCTCAACGTGAGGAGTTGGAGAGAATTGTGCCGGTTTCTATCATGGTTGAAGAACTTTCTTCAGTCATGGCTTAAACTTGAAGAATAAAAAATCGCAGCAGCCGAATTGTAGCGACAGTTACAATGACCTGCTCTGAACCAAAAGAATTATAGCTTTAATTGATGTATATTTATGAATTGCAATGTACAATGTTCGGGTATATGAAGAGCGAGAAAAAAAAAAAACATTTTAAACAGGAATAAAACAAGGAATAAACATTCTTAAAACAGGAAAAACATTTCTAAAACATTCCTTAAACAGGATAAACATTCCTTGAAACAAGGAACTCATTATTTTCAACAGAAAATCCAGCAAATACTTGTCGTCTCACGCACCAACTATTTGGCTTTTGTGTATTTGGGAGATGTAAAACCTCAGAAACCCCATTACTGGGTCTAATACATATGTATACACACACACACACACACACACACATAGAGGGAATGAACTAATTTCTTGAATTGTTACCAGATCATATCTAGATTCTTCATCGTAAATAGACGATTTCTGCAACTTCAACTAGGCCACATCTGCTATCAACTTTCTGCAGTCCAAAAATAAACAAGAAATAAAAATAAGGAATTAGAAACACAAAAGAGATATTTAACGTCTACCGATCCAGATCTAGTTGGACCAGTCAGGAGTGTGAGTTTAACGACCACCTCTCTAGTCGTCGGCGCCAGATCTATATAAACCATTGAGGATGAGAGAGAGACTATTTGTTTTAGAAATAATGGCATGACCATCTGAAAAGCAGTCGGAAAGACTTAAAGACTTAAAAATTGCCTTTGCTTTTAGCTTCTCGAAAAGAAAATAAGAACAAATTATCTAAGACAACAAAAAGATTGAAAAGGGCATAACAAGTGCAAGACTGCAAGTTAAAAGTTAAAATATTTAAGGTATTAAAGTAAAATCAACTTGAATAGTTGTGAAGTAGTAGCTGAATATATCAAAATATAGCCATGTGAACTCCACGAGTACTGTCACCGCGTTTAGCTTTGGTTCCGTTAAAAACAAAATAATTATCATTATCTAGGATTATAATAATTAAAAAATTAGTTTTTAAATTAGATTGGTGACCCCGTTTTTCAGTGGGACAAGTTTGGAGGCCACCCCATGTACACTTAATGGTGCAACCCTCCTTCATAAAGACACAGATTGTGAATGGTGTCCCAAAAAATGGTGCCCTTTGGCATGTTTTCTTCAAGTATATGCATGTATATGTTTGTTCCCAAACTCCCACGAGTCCAACCTCAGAAACCCTATTACTGGATGTTTTGTTCTAGTACAATTTTAGTAACTTAGAATATGTGAGTAAACGAAACCCTGTAGATACTGGGGCATGTTGATAGTATGCATGAGTGAATGCGCTTTTAACTATTTGAGCTACTTATAAGCCCCTTTCAATTGTTATGTATACGTTTCAATGATTTGATTTCTCGATAAGATTCTAAGTAGATAACGATCATTATTTTTCTTAAAAACAATTAATGACAATCTTGTGTGAAATATTTTTTTCTACTTTTTTCAATTATTTAATAATAATGTGTGTGGAATATTTTTTTCTACTTTTTTCAATTACTTAATAATAATGCAAAAGACACAATCTTCTCCCCCAAGCAAGAAAAGACTGAATGAGGAGATATTTGTTTATCTGCTTGCTGTGAAGAAGAATGCTGTAATGATCTGGTCAATGGATGGGATAGAAAAAACTTTCCTATAGTTTATTCAAAAGTAGCCGCTACCCTTGACCATCTTCTCGTTTCAATGTTCAAGTTTTAACCTTATGAAATTGATCTTATAAATAATACATATACAATTCAACTTATCCATAATTGCGGTCCATAATTTCATAAGGATGTGACAAACAGTGCTAGATTCAGAATTTCAATTTGGGATTGTCCTAGTATAGACAAATTAAGAATTTTGTAAATAGAAATAGTGAGCAACACGCCAATTACACCATTAAACCATCCCTTCCTAAACACACAAGACTTTCCATGACAACATAAGAATAAAAATAGCCCGTTAATTAAAAAAACCATTATGTTACACACAAGGTTATAAAAAACGCTAGGCGCTAGTCGGGCGGTGGGTTAGGGCCTAGCGCCTAGGCGCCTAGATGAATTAGGCAGATTTAAGTAAATCTATTGTATTTCGTGTAAATAAGTGTCTATTTATACTTAAAATATATATAATTTCATCATAAACTAGAAAATAGAATGACATATATATTATGAAGTATTGAACAATAATAAAAATATGGGGAGCAAACATATAATATGTGTTTATTTAAGTGTAAAATAAGTTTCTTATTGACATGTTTAAAAACTAGTTAAGGTTCTTAAAATATAGTTAAAGTTTTGATCTCTATATATAAATCTTCCAAGTAATTACATAATATATTATTTAATAGTGAAGTGGGTAATTGTTTTTATTATAATTTATAGCTTGTGGAAATCAATCAGATAAGGGGAGTTTGGTCTTGATGCTTTGGAAATCGGGAGGCTTTTACTTTGAAGTGTCCCGTTTCCTCTTCCAGTCTTCCTCCACTTCTTCGATTGCTCCGCCTATTTCTCCATCGTCTTCTCCGCCTAATTCCCCATCTTCTTGCCTTGCAAAATTTCCCAAAACCTAGTCTCAAAAACGTTACCGGCTCCCGCAAAGAAATCTGAAGAGACTAGGTCAAATTTTTCGTTTTTTTTTTCCAACAATTGCATTGTTATTCCTTCTACTGGTTTCTCTCTCGCGTTCTCTTCCCTCACGCTCTCTCGCTCTCTCTCGCTCTCTCTCTCTCTTTCAGATTTTATGTTGTCGCCCTCCTCTTCTACGTTGTGTAGTAAAACACCGATGTGTAATTTTTTGACAGAACCGCCTAGTTCGCTACAGAGACCGCCGAGCCCGCCCAATCGGCCGCCTAGACACCACCTAATATCCTTGCTGATTTATTGAAACGTTTTTGGAAAAATCGCGGCGGCGGTCCGACGCCCAACGCTTAGGCGGCCGCCTTGACCGCGTTTTAAAACACTGGTTACACAAAAGAAATTTGACAAAGATTGATTCATATTGATAAATGGGTTTTTTTAGGGAACTTTCGGTACTGTTCACTTTGACAAAAAATCACATTTTTACACTTAAAAAGTCAAACTTAGTACTATTTACTTTACTCTTTATTTTGTCATTATCGTTAAAACTTAAAATTTTCAAGCTCTTTTCATTAGTTTTTCTTTTTTTATTTTTATCCCTAAAAACTATGCAAATTACCCTTATGCGCAACACAAATCTTTAGACTTTTACAATGAGTATATGAGTTTGATTTATTTCGCATTGATATGAGTCTAATAGTTGCATATTCGTATTTTATAAGAATGAAACTCATGAGACCTTTTATTACACTTGCTAATTGAGGTCGCACTTATTGGATTCAAAATTTTCAACCTGTTGTGTGAATTTGATATCAATTTATAAAAATCAAACTTAAAATTTTCAACTTAACACAAAATTTTTAAATTTTCAACCTGTTGTGTGAATTTAATATCAATTTATAAAAATCAAACTCAAAGTACATCAAACTCAAGAGATATTCAACTTTGTTTAGTCTAAATAAAAGGTATTATAATGGAGATTTATGCCAAAATGCAAAAGATTAATTTTAAATTAGTAACCTTAAACTTGATTAGCAAGCAAAAACCAAACTATATGATAAAAAGTAGAAACGCAGCATAACATGTTTACATGCCCGAGTGACCTGTGAGAAATCCGAGTCACAAGTATATTGGAAACCAAAAAGAAATGAGCTTTCTCGCGGGAAGACTAGCCGGGAAAGAGGGAGCCTATTTTCTCCAGGAATCGAAACAGGCGGTGGGCCGCCTCGTTTCCCAGAAGAAGAAGCTCCCATCATCGCCGTCCGAAGCTTCCTCCGCCGCGACAGGGCACGAATCGCAAGCCGACGTGCTTCCGGAGGTCCTGAGGCACTCTCTGCCCTCGAAGATCTTCCACCAACCCTCCGAAACGACGTCGTCTCTGGACACGGCCTCCAAATGGGTTCTTGAATCCGATTCCAAGAACGGCCATTTCGTGTCCGCCGAGGCTCTCAACCCTCTGAGGGCTTACCTGTCGCTGCCCCAGGTCACTTTTGGCCCCAAAAGGTTTGCCCTTTTTGTTTTAACTTCTCAATTGTTCAATTTTGAGTTTGTTCTTTGGGAAAATGTGGGAAATTGAAGATTCTTGGATTTGTTTGGTGGATTTGACTTTGTTGGTTTGTTACAGAATGCTCAAAATTTGTTTAATTTTGTTATGAATTCTCAAAATTTGGAAGCTTTATTGTGCATGTTCACGTGGGAATTGGAATACCAATTTCTGTCCGGGAGGAATGCATATGAAGGGGCATTTAGTATATACTACATTGGGTGTTGAATTTGAGAGGAATTGTCCAATGGTGAATTGTTCTAGTTTATATAATGTAGGGCATTGCTGAATGCAGGTGGCAACTGCCGGAATCAGAAAGCTCATTGTCAGCCTCGACGGCTAATGAGTTGCGTCAAGACAGGCATGCTACTCACATTAATCCTGAAAAGTTGAAGGCTGCAGCCGAAGGGCTTACTCAAAGTACATCCATTTTCATTTATAGATGTGTATGTTACCTGATAGTTTATAAAACAGGGATAATGGCCGTGTCGGGTGAAGGCATAAGGAATAATGATCAGTCAAGATAGTATAGGAAAGGAAAGAAGGTTTCGTGCTCAAGAAAATATGTATTTCTTAAAATCTATTATAATGCTCAACCCCATTTGACATATGAATCGGTCTTACTAATAACAACCCTTTTTATGCATGATCTTTGGATATTATCTTGGGAACTTATTGTGAATTGCCATTTTTGATGTTGTGTTTGTATTCCCGCACTCCGCTGCTTGTCTTAGCACCCTGAAATGCAATCCTGAGCGCATATTTTCATATTTTTGTAAGAATCACGAGCTTTGCTTGGTTTCCGTCTAAAGTCTTAATGCAATGCGTTTTCTGCTTCTCTGTAGTTGGGAAGGCATTTGCTGTTGCAACTGCAGTAGTCTTTGGTGGTGCCACCTTGCTATTAGGCATGGCTGTCTCAAAATTACAGTTGCAAAATGTAAGTACAAATATATTATGTCTTGATACCCAAATCTTGTAATTACCATGTGGGATCCTTTTGCCGTGATGTGTTGATGAAAGTTGCGAAGACAGTCTTACTATTTGGTGACAATTTCACATCAAGTCTGTGATTTATATTAACAGAGTGAAGACGTCCGAACAAAAGGGAGAGACCTTATGGAGCCAAAACTGGAGATGATTCAGGAGCAACTAGCTCCCTTAAGAGCTTGGGTACGTCAAGTCGTAACATTCGAATGGGATTTCCTTTTCTCTTAATTCTGCTTGAATGTTTCACTTGCACATGAACTAACATGGAGCTTCTAAATGCAGGCTGAAAAAACGTCAAAGAAATGGCGCTTGGAAAGGGACGAAAATATAAAAGAGAAGCCAATTATTAAGGCGCTTACTAAAGTGTTGGGTCCAAAGACATCCAATTAACAACATTATTGCTTATTTTTTGTCTGAATCTATGTAAATAGTTCCTATTGGTGGTGTTTATGGCTGTGGCTACGAAGTTTGAAGAGTGGTCAGACCGGTGGAGAAAAAGGAAAATGATAGAAATAGGTGTTGTATGAATAATAGCTGCCTTCCCTTTTGGGGGCATGGTGTTGTATCAGTAAACTCTAGTTGCCTGTGTGTATTCTTTGGTTTGAGAAGCCTTGTTTTCCTCCTTGGTTTGTAATTAAAGTCACTATCCAATCGACACGAAGATAAATGATGGTTCAAAAAAACTGTTATAAAAAATATTGTTATCATGCTTGGTCCAGCTCGTTTGGATGTACTTTTAAAACGATTGAAAGCATTTTGGGTGAAAATGTTTTTAGAATCAATCTTTAGTAAAGATGCAAGTAAATTCTCTGGAAAATTACTTAAAGTGCTTCTTGAAAGAAGCACATAATTAGTGCATCTTACAAAAAACACTTAAAGTGCTTTTGGAACTAAAAAACATTTTCTCTAAAAACGTTTTTAGTCATTTTAAAAGCACATTCAAACGAGTATGATCCACCAGCACCACCGTTTGAATGATCCACCAGCACCACTGACTTCCCCACTCACTGATATACTCTCCAGTATCCTCTACGCCATAAATTATTTAGGCTTTCAGGACAAGAGAACTTTACGTGCATAAAGTACCTGTTTAGGACGTCCGCCCTGAACTGAAGACAAAACGTGCATGTACATTATCAAAGGAAAGGAATTCCTACATTTTTGTCAGTCACAATTTGACGTGTGAAAAAAAAAAAATATATATATATATATATCTTTACGTGTTTTTGATGAAGTTTTTGCTAATATTTCAGATTATGATTTTGCATGAATGAAGAACTACTCATTCAAGCAGTGTCCTCATAAAAAAAATGTCAATATGTTTCGATTGAGATTATAATATTGATAGATTAGCAACAACATATTTACAGTGGATTATTTAACAGACAATAAATGTTTGTTTTATAGTCTGACTAATATACACAAAACACATAAATGAAATTTGAAACTTTAATAAGGTGGCACCTGAGTTGTTGAGGGAGGGAACTGAGTCTGCGAGCAGAGGCATCTTCGAGCTCTTGCGCTTCTTCCATGAGCAAGTACTGAGCCCTCCTTTGTGCTCTGAAACAGCCCATTTATGGATTGAAGCTGAAGCAAAGAAACACCATCACCTTCTGAAAACTATGTACAAAACCAATTCCTCTCACTTGCTCATCTCACACTTAAAGCATATCATCTCATCCCGACGTTTGACGTTCCAAAAATGAAAAAAATTTCAATATATCCAGCCACATGCCATTATATTAAAAATATGCTTAATTATATTATGAAACGTGCTTTTCCGACACGTGTTTTAGGCACATTGAAAATTCTCTCATAATAAATCTATCCGTCCCAGGACTGGACACAAAACTAACTTCTTTTCCCATTTCATTATCCTAAAAAGAAAAAGAAAAGCAAGGTAAATGAAACATCCGGTTACCGGTTAACTGTGGGTGAGACAAACAGATCACGGGCGAGTGACTCGATCAAAGTCCTCGTAAGCTGCAGCAAATAATTGGGGTATTGGATAAACCTTGGAGTGTTGGGGTTTTAGTTTCAGAGCTCTCTTTCTGCACAGTCTCTCTCACTCTTCTCCTCTGAATTTGAAGGTTCAATTTCAACAGGTAAAATCCCATAACTTGCTTCTGCTGATTTACGTTCCAAATTTAAGCTTCTTTTTCCTCTAATGGTTTCTGGGTTGTCTTATACTCGTTTGGGGTGGGAAAGGAGATGAAAATCTTGATTCGAAAACTCAGAAATATGTATGAACTAGATGACCCAATAAATCCTTGCTGGGTTCATTTTTTTTTGAAGGTTTTTGCTTGCTGGGTGTAAGAAAAAACAATTGTGAGTCAAAGATGTATAATTTGTTTGAAATGTGAGGTTAGGGATATAGGGAGTTTGTCCAAGTAGTTCACTAAGAATTTCTGGGCAAAAGTTAAATGGAAGTGATTTCCGCGCACATGTTTTTTTTCCATATGCACGTTCTTACTTATTTCCGGTCTTTGGATTGAACAAGTCAAAGTAGAAACATGGACAAAAAATAAACATGGGTACGGAGAAGAGAAAAAAAGCGTGCGGAAGTCATTTATTCCGGGAATTCCGTATTCAAGTCAATGATGCATTACAATAATTATATTCATAAATTTTTTTATAAAATAATAAAAATCTAAAAGCAGGTAGCGGGAGTTGAACCCGCATCGTTAGCTTAGAAGGCTAGGGGTTATAGTCGAGGTTATGCAGAAGTTATTTCTCCCGCTAAATTGATACTATGAAGAAGCATCACTGTTGTTATTTGTACTGCTTTGCATTTGGGATTTGGCTACCTAGAGCGAATAAGTTACATGAAGCAATTTCTCACTCCTTTTCTTCTCCCCTGGCACCCCCTTTTTTCTTTGAGGATTTGGGTCGAATAAATCAAACAAGAATCAAGGGCGTGAACAAGGGAGGAGTACACAGGGGGATAACGAAAATGTGAAAATCACTACCCTGTGTTAAATTCAGAGATCATGGTGTTGGCTTTTCTCTTTGGTGAATACTTGTACAATGCCTCATTGTTTTCAACTCCTAGCAGGCCAGAATAAGCCACTGCTGTAAACATGGTAAGTGTGATCATGGCCCCAACTTTCTGCTCAATCTCGGTCAGAAGAAGCGGCAAAGATTGGAGCGAGCGCAGTAGTACTAACGGGCAACATCGTGGTATGAAATTGAAGGCAATGCGGATAGAGAAACCTCTGGAGGAATTGTACCAAGTGAGAGTGGAGAGAGAGGTGTCGCAGGAGAGACTGGCGGAGCTTGGAGTCTCCAGATGGTCAATGTGGAAGACGGGCAAGTGCAAGCTGCCGCGGGACTGGCAGGTCGATCAGCTGGTTTACATTGAGGAAGGAGAGGTGAGAGTCGTGCCCGAAGGCAGCCGGCAGTACATGCAATTCGTGGCGGGGGATCTTGTTCGTTACCCCAAGTGGTTGGGCGTTACAGTTTCCGAGCCTTTGGCGATGATTAGTAGACTTACGTAATGTATTTTGATAGTACCATTTTCATATGAACTGCAAAGATGTTTTTCTGCATCAAGTTAATGACAGCTTAAACAAGATTTTGACATTTCTTCTGGTGATCCCCGATGCACAAAACCATGCTTCGCCGAGGACAACATTGGGCCGCAAATCTCCACCATTTGGCGCGAAGCGTAATATAAGAGAACAGAAACCAGAAACCACAGCAACGAAGATCCGGAATAGAATAATTTCTTATTGAACAACAACATCTTCCATTTCTGGCATGATAAAGTACAGATTTCCGAAAGAAGTATCAAGCCTACAGCTCTAGGAATGCAATCCGTTGGCCGTGACAGTTGACCAAGCACCGGACTAAGGATCACAACCAATTTCCGAGAGAAAAAAGTTGCTTGGGTTGAAACAGAACCAGAAAAATGTAGACTTTTCTCACCATTATACAGCAAATTTTATCATGAATTCTAGTAAGTAATAATCATTCATCCTATAATAAATCCTTTATATTACATACCTCCCTGGCTGAAGGGTACAAAAGGAAAGAGTGACCTACGAGCAATTGCGAAGTCCACAATACCCCGCCTTCACGTTTATCAGCATAGAGTTACAACAAGCCAAAGAGAAGTGAGGTTGGGTCCAACTCACTTTCCTCCGATTATGACTGATTAGGCAAACAGAATCTGTGAGTTGCGAGGGTCTCAACTCAACTACCTAAAGATGCCTGTGGATTTGGGTTAGTAGCAATGGCAACTGAGGAAGCAAATCTTGAGACGAGCACAGCCTCATTGCCCAAAGCCTTGGAAGCAACCACATCTTCTAAGCGTTTCCACGTTGATTCACGTTTCTCTTGTGTTTCTTTCTCTTTGGATTCCTCTTCTTGGAAGCCAACTAAGCACTCATCAAAGAGTTCTTGATCAACATCTGAGAATATCTTTTTCACATTCAATGTCAAGCTCTGAACAGCTTGATTCCAATGACTCTGTGTGTTTTTCTCCAGAGCTGGGAAGATTATTGGCAGAATCACTTGGCGATTCTGTGTAATCAAATTTCTTATGTGATCGTTATTCCACAAAAACAATGCACGTTCAGCTACCTGCCAATGGAGATCAAGTTAAGAAAACTTCGCATTAAGTAAAACGAAAGTGACAATACAAACTTCACATCATAGTAATGAATATACACCAAATCTTGCACACCAAAACCATTTGCTGTTAAGTTTCCTTAATACCAAAACCAAGTGCACTGTATCTAAGTAAGAAAAGGTGCTTAAGTCAGGAATTCCCACCGATCACTATGAACAGCAGAAATTCTTATCATCATCTACCTCCCAAATTGTGCGCCAGCAAGAACTTACCAACAAATAACACCTAAAGTTCTCAACTTCAAATGATTTCTAAACTTCCACAGCCATTCAGGACCCATATTGCTCTCCAACTCAAGGGAAATCTTGACTTACACAACTTCGTAAAGCAAATATGAACTTGTTCATTAATGCACCACCATATTAAGGTGCAACATGGACAACTCGTCCAAACCAATTTTGACAACTAGCACATCACCTCAGTTCCAATGAACCTGAACGACAATCTGAAGTAACCCAACAGTTCTGACAACGGGAATCTATAATTGTCACTCAACCAAGTGGTGGAGAAAAAAAAATGCAAAGAGATTTCATGAATAAGTACACAAAAAACTTGATTTGAAATCAAAGAAACAGAATATTTACAGATTTGTTGAAGACAAAAATCTCCAACAAAACATCAAAAGCCCCAAGCTTTAACATATATCTAGTACATCTCATAAAACCAACTAGGTGGCTAGTTGAAAAGGCAACAACCATATGAGAATCTATAAAATACATCATGTTTAAAAACGTTTCACTGGAAGAAAGATATTGAAAATGGACATCCATCAGAAGTATAAGCACACAATAAAACAAAGAATAAAACAGAATTGATAAAAACAGTACACACTTGACAACATCAGAAGTACATACATACACAGTTAACATGGTAGTAAAAAGAAGTCAGTAAATGATAAAGACATTATTTGAAAAGTACCTGAAAATGTGAGCTGTTGAGACAGTGACCAATTTGACGAAATAAGGGGACCATGCAGCGCTGAAACTCTGATGGCTGGGTAGCTTCCAAAACTTCTTCCAATTCACCAAGGAACATAACTTCCTTTGAACTATTAGTTATGGGCCAATACTTCAGCAGTCCTCGAATCACTGTATCCGCCAACTTGGCATCTTTCTCCACAAACTGACTAATGCAATATGAGAGTTGCTGATGGTACATGGATACACACTTGGGCTTGTGAAGAGGAATCAAGGCACGAACAAGGAACAGCTTGTGCTCTTCCTTCAAAGGCAAAGCAAAACCATTGATTATGCTGCCTAAGATTTCAAGCAATTCCGCAATCCCATTGTGCTTCTCGGTCTCAAAAATGAACCAAAAGAAGATGTTGTTGATGGATTTCCTAATGAATGGTCGATGCACCATGAACTTCCCATAAATGCGATGGAGGATCGTCTTTAAGTATTCCCTCTCTCTTTGGTCCTCAGAGTCAAACAAACCAAGCAACTTCAACACAAACGAGTGGTCAATATATCTTTTAGCTAGCTTAGCATCGGTCTCTGGCGAAGCCACAAATCTTAATAGAAATTCATACACAACCTGAAGATGAGGCCAAGCTGGTTCCAACGTCTGGTCCTCCTCGTCTTGTTCATACATATCAGGACCCTTGTTATCAAGATTGGAAGACGAAAGTGTACGAAACAGATTGGTCGCCACCATCTTTGTAATCTCTTGCATTACCACCTCATTGAACTTTGATGTTACTGATGAAATGTAATCAACAAGTTCAAGTAAAGTCTGCCGCTTGACGTCCTTCTCCTTGAGATTCTTTGAGGGATCATTAAAATCAAACACAACACAACACATGTTCAACTTCTTAATAAAATGATTCTGCCTTTCTGAACTTGGAACGTCCCTGAAACTCGGCAGAGGCTCATATGCACCCAAAGAAAACAAAGGACCTACTTGGGTTGCAATGGGAGCTGATTTCTTCGAGTGATTTGATTTAACTGCGTTCGAGGAGTGTGAGGCAAGAGTCCCATTGCTCGAACGCGAATTGCCTGAACCCAAATTCAAAGACTTTGACGAAGAAGAGCTCGATTTTGAGTTGTGGGATGGATTGGGGCCATTCCCATTGGCCCCTCTGTCACTATACGCATCGCTTTGCGATGATTTCGATGGTTTCCGAGGTATTTTACCCAATATATTTTTTATCATATCTACAAAACCCTTGACCCTCAACTTCTGTAAACACTAATCGAGCTTTCAGAAACCAATTCAAATAATTTGCATTCTCAAAACCCAACAATCCAATCCACACGAAAAGTCACAATTTATGGACAGATGAAATTAAAACCCCATCAGAGGAACATGCCCTTGCCCTAGACGATTCTTCCGGGCACCAAATCCTCATCATTTCTGACAAAGAATTCAAATTGAAGAAAAAAAAAACTTGTGGGTTTTGAATAAATTGACGAGATACGCAATTGAAATTGACTTACATCGACTGCGTAAGCAAAGGGATCCGAGAAAGTGCGAGAAAACGACAGAAAATGTGAAGGAAGACCTAGAAAAATCCGAGCAGGAAGTCTGGAAGTCGGGTCTTCAGCTTGACAAAACCCTAATTAAATCTAATTGGGCACTTAATTTGAAGAGAGAGAGGCAAAAGGCTAAAGTGAAAAGAATCAAAAGTTTGAATTTAAAAAAATGGAAAGGAAATTGTCTGGTTACTAAATACAGTGGAGCTGGAGCCTCTACCTTTCGATGGAGAAAACGAAAGTCGAAGAAAAACAAGGAAATTGGGAACGCGTGGCTTATGTTGTTGCTAATTACACAAACGTCCTTTAACCGTTTAACCTGTATTTTAAATTATTCTGTCTAAAAATTGAAGAAGTTATTTTTTTTTTTTTTTTTTATAAAGTGAAAGAATAAAATGGCGAGAATAATTTCGGTATAATTGTTTGGTTATGACAACTCAAAATGATGAAGTAGAGTGGAACAAAAGTAGGAGATCTTATATTTTTGTAAGAGTTATCCTACAAATAAAGTGATCAAAAACTCTAACCTAAGTCTTTCTCGTCAAAGACAAGTTGGATGTAGAGATTTAATATGAAGTGGTCGAACTAAAATCTTGTTACCATCATACGGTCTAACTAGATTAAACGAGGTAAAAGACTCTTATCATGTATTTCCACTGACTTGTTAAAAGTGTACCCAATCCTTAGGGATGCAACAATACATCTAAGAAATTATTCCATCAAACGTTTTTTCTCTGAGATCTAGCGACATGAACTAAATGTCTTATACAAACCAAGAAACTATTGCCCCCAAATAGTTGAAATAATCACATGTATGTGAGTAAAGGTGAATAACTTTTTCAAATAATACAAGCTGCAAAAGTGCACAAGATTGCGCTAATGGAAAGGGGAGATTGCATGGCATGTCAGTGAGTTCCACCACCACATATTTTCCACCATCTCATCAATTTTGCGTTGAAAGATGTGGAATTTATACCTCATCCTCTTACTTTTTTTTTATCTAACTATTTCTACTTTTCAAGGATTCCCCAATTTTTAAGTTACCAATTTCTTTTTCATTTTTCTTAAACAAATATTTGGGAAAATGCGAAAAAAAAGTTAGGTCTAACAAATTAGTAGTCAAAAGACGAACATTAAAACCAACATAACTTGTTAGTTTGAGTACAATGAACAAATATTTAGTATAAACAGGGTGTGTGTGTGTGTGTGTGTGTGTATATATAGCTTGATTGGGCAAGATAAGAGACTTAATCATCAGCTTTGCTGGCCAAGTTAGGTCAAGATGCCCTCTTAGACATCTCACGACTGTCTTCTATTTGGGGAGAGAGAGAGAGAGAGAGAGAGAGAGAGAGAGAGAGAGAGAGAGATTTTAGGTGAATGTGTACCATGGTGCTAAAACATGGTAATACTAAAGGCTAGAGATTTGTACCAAAAGATGTGATTCGACGCGAATCCGGAAAATATGATTCTTCAAAAACCTGACATGCACAAATAACATACAGCACCAGTTAATCATAGAGGTCGACAAAACCCGCAGTTATGATAATGACAATACATGATCCTCACACCGGAGGTACATTCACATGTCTTTGTTGATGGTCGATCCTGTGGGAAAAATAGCACGAGGCAGGGAGAAAAGCAGTCTGATGGAATGGTGCCCACCTCCACCTGCCAGTAAGACCAACCCAGTGGCAACTGAGTGTTTACAAAGACAAAACCCACCAGTTACGCCAAACGGGGTTGTTCCAGTTACTCCTGAAACTGCACTCACCGAGCCTGTGATCAACATATGCAGCCCTACTTTTTCTCATGCCCAAAAACAAAAGACAGTGAAAAACCAGAAGAGGGGGGGGAGGATTAAAAATCACAAGAAACCAAAACAGTTGCCATTGCATGCAGTACTAAGTAATGCCAGCAATAAACACATCACCACAAATCCAAAGTTCCTCCTAAATGTTTGGTTTGATGTGTTCTCATTTGCTCTATGCTCAAATATGATTTTCATGTCTTGCAAGGGCAACACAGAACACAAAGTCATTGCCTAAGTCTAGCACACATACAAACATTCAAAAAGTAAAAAAAGCCTTTGGATTGTGCAAGCACAGTATCTTCTCTGCACTGTACATTTCCACAACACACAACACAGGAGCTAACGCCAAAGAAGTCTGGATACCTCCTCACCAAGCATCTGAATCAACAGGTCACCTCTTCCTGCGCTTTGGCTCCGCCTAGAACAACATTCAAAACAGAACACAATATCATTGTTAAAAAGACATGATCCTTCACTGAAGCAAGGAAAGCAATAGGATGATGTTGATATGAGCTCAGCAAAATTACATCAGAAACAGTCTCAAAACCGTTTACTTAATGCTCTGGTTAAGGCTTCGGAGAACTATAATAACGTGCCACTTAAACAGCATTGCCTAAAATTAATTCCACTAATTAACACGGTATCATAATCACTATCCATAAGACCTCTCTCTCTCTCTCTCTCTCTCTCTCTCTCTCTCTCTCAAAACTTTTAAAGTTTTCCTTATCCGCTATTATTCCATAGGTTGTCATTAAATCATCTACCGATGTTGGTTAAGGAAAACCAAGTGTTTTAGGTAAAGACAACGTCTCCAGCATACCAATTTTCAATCTGCATTAACTAAGGAATAAATACTGACAAGGAATTTAAGTCATAAAGATTCGCCATAATTCTTCGAGTAAAATAGTGACAAAAGAAACAAAGACACACAAATTCTCTTAGTCTGGACAAATGGTGTTACTTCGATGCATTCAAGAACCTTTTGAAATTGGATAAATAGAACACACAGATTTCTTACCTTAGCCTCAACAGATGGTGATACTGGAAATGTGTTCAAGGATCTTTTGGCATCATCATCAGATGAGCAGTCAGAACATAAAAAGTGCTCCAACTTTTTTGCATCTTCAATTGTCATACCCATACACGAGGGATGAAACCTGCAAAATATGAATGCAAAACACGAAGCATATCTGTTATTACCATGTATACAATGCCATTGTTAGTTTAATTGAAAACACCAACACTTAATAATGTTGTCGAGGCAAAGGCATTGAGACAGTAAAAAACTCCATTGGATAGATCATGGACCTAAAATCCACCTATCAAAAATAAATATTCCACTATCTTTGAAGGGTTGCTTAACAGCAACCAACTACTATTTTGTTCACAGTGCACTTCATCTGATCTTATATTGCTCGAGTAATATGACAGGCTCATACAAAAGTATTGTAAGTAAAGCTTAAAAACAAAAAAAAAGAGAATCATATGGGACCAGTTCAATTTTCAATCCAATTTCTGTTGATATAGATATTGTCATATTATTTCCACAACAGTTCCATATTCCAAAACACGAGAATAATATCCATTACGATCAGATTTAATACCTTCCTACGATCAAGTCCTCAAGCATCCACCAAATAACTATCAAACTTAATAAACCAAAAGAAGACCTTGTGCAGTAGACACATACTATGTTAAGCATAAGCAGATATTTATTTCCTTAAATTCCGCAAATTAGAAGGTCTGATATTACCGGAAATAAGGTACAAAAGGAAATGAGCCCCCACTCACATTACACATCGGTTAAGAAAAGAGAAATAAATTCCAAGTGATGAGGATTACTGAGATTGAGCCAGTGTATATGGTCTGAAACCCAAATATGGTCAAAAATACCCGAATTACTATGAATTAAAACTCTTCATATACCATTCCACATGCTTCACTAACTCCCATATGATAAATAGATTAAATGTGTTTGCAATTGAGCAATCTGAAAATTTGACAAACACTTCATCATCTGCAACACCTAAGTAGTAAATGAATTTAACAATCATCACCTTCTACAAATGGAATCATATGGCACTAGCAGTCACAATTTCCATTTTCTATTCTACACAACCACTAATCAAGAGAGCTTCTAAAAAGAAAAATGCATAAAGATCCGATGTTTAGTGAAACAAAATGCATACAAACTTTGAAATGGATGAACAATACCAAGCACAAAACAAGGGAGTGGTGTGCATTTACCAGTCCTTGCATCCCTCGCATTGCACCATAAGGTCGTCCGGATTGTATGGCATCTCACATTTACAATACCTTCAAAACAATAACCAGAACAGCATAATTTCAAAAACCAATGATCACCAATCAAATATTACATGTGTGTTTCTGTGCGCAATCATCATCACAAAAAGCACACATTGCTTACACAGCCACGCGGTCCGGTGTGAACCCTCCAGTGGAAGCCTTGTACTCAAACCTACAGAAGTAATCCTCAGCTCCCACATTCTCAAGCTTAGTGTAGTTCTTGAATGAGTGCACTGTACACTTCCCTTCGATAGTATGTGCACTCTGCACATCATAGTGGTCTGATAAAAACAGCTCCTTGGCCCCATGGAACTGTCTTCTACCTCCAATCGATTCCTCAGGCCGATAATACCATCGAATCCGAACCTTCACATTGTTGCGGTGGTCAGCTTCGAGCTTCTCCACGCGTGCCACATACGGAGGCTTATCAGTGTCTGACGGCCGCATTAACACACAATCACCAGCTGGCCAGCACAAAATCAATCGAAATATCAATGCCGCACATAGCAGAGAAACACCAACTTAACTTCACATACTGTTTAACAAAAACTCGAGTCTTTAACACCAATATTTGAAAAACTATGACAAGTCTTGGATTTCCGAGCTCGAAATTGAAATTTTGAATCTGGGTTTTACAGATAACCTCATGTATATATGTAAAGATAGAAAATTTAGCTATCTAAAACATAGATTTAATTTTTTTTTTTTTTAATTCGGGTTTTTAGAAGCTAAAATTGGAGAATAAATTTTGGTTTTTTTTTTTTTTTCACAGAGAGAGAGAGAGAGAGGATAGTTACGTCGAACGATTTTGTTGGTGCCCTTGATGGTGTAAGAGTCAAGGTCCTTTTTTCCAGGTTTGGTCTTGGCCATGAATGTTGAGCGACTGCAACTTCTGCGATTTCAGACAGGCGGATGGCGGCGGAGACAGGGCAGCTGGATTTGGGGAAAATGTGAGAAAAATGAGGCGAGATTGTTGTAGCTACGTGAGCAATTTATATTAGGGTTTTGTGGATTAGATGGAGGGCTTTAGATGGTTTAATGGCGTAAACGGAAACCCTAGAAATTAGAAGGTTTGGACCAACGGGGAAAGAGGGGAGGAGAAGATTTGGTCGGAGAGAGACAGAGAGAGAGAGAGAGAGCTCTTTTGCGTGGACGGATTGCGAGGATGAACAGAATGGATGCCAACAGCATCATGTATCATTCATTCATCACCACCATCATCATCCATTCTTGCATACCTTGATGCCCATTTTATATTACTAAAACAAAATTATCTCTTTGCTTTTATTTTTCTTTCTTACTAAGAGTGATGTCATCGACAATCGTCCGCTGGCTGTCAAGCGTTGATGCAAACCGGTCATTCAATGTATGCTCTCAACAAGTCACTCATGTGTGCATAAATAGCGAACCTCCAACTCTCAACACATAGATGCAAGTCTTCAATGCGTCGGTCATACACGCACTAAAAAAGTTCCACAACGCACGTATCAACGGTCATTACTATCCTTCTTAATACAATGATATTGATGTGAGTTGGCCTTATGACCTTTTATTTACGACAGGCAACCACTCACTATGTATTGACTCAATACAAATATAATACGTCGTAGTCATTCATGTGAGTTGAATATGTAACCTCGCCCATACAAATAAAAATGAATATTACTAGATCGTAGTATTATGACGCTATCTTTTTATCAAAATAAAATGATGAGTTTGAACTTGAGAGCTTTTCTAAAAATAACTTAAGATCACATCCTCCTCTTAGTGTAGATAATATCATTTATTTAAAAAAAAATTAACATAAGATAGGTTTCAATCTTACAGTTTTCTATTCTTGTATTTAGCTTGAAGGTCAAATTTCACTTCAAACAAGATAAATACAAAATTTATTAGATTCAAATTTAGATTTTAGTGTTTGTTACTTAGTACTACAGTCTAGCGGTATTCTTTTTCACTTGTAAGTGAGAGGTCTTATGTAACATCCCACATCGCCCAGGGGAGTGCATCTTGTAAGCCTTATATGTATATTCTCATCTCTACCTAGCACGAGGCCTTTTGGGAGCTCACTGGCTTCAGGTTCCATCAGAACTCCGAAGTTAAGCCAGTAGCAGGTCGAGAGCAATCCTATGATGGGTGACCCACTGAGAAGTTCTTGTGTGAGTTCCCAGAAACAAAACTGTGAGGGTGTGCTGAGGGCCCAAAGCGGACAATATCGTGCTACGGTGGAGTCAAGCCTAGGAAGTGGTCCCACCCTGGGCCGGAATGTGGCAATTTGGTATCAGAGCCAATCCCTGCCCGGAAGTGTGCCGATGTGGACGTCGGGCCCCTAAGGGGGGTAGATTGTAACATCTCATATCGCCAATGGGAGTGCATCTTGTAAGCCTTATATGTATATTCTCATCTCTACCTAGCACGAGGCCTTTTGGGAGCTTACTGGCTTCGAGTTTCATTGGAACTCCGAAGTTAAGCGAGTAGCGCGCGAGAGCAATCCCATAATGGGTGACTCACTGGAAGTTCTCGTGTGAGTTTCCAGAAACAAAACTGTGAGGGTGTGTTGGGGGCCCAAAGCGAACAATATCGTGCTACGGTGGAGTCGGGCTCGAGAAGTGGTCCCCCCCTCGGGTCAGAATGTGACATCTTAGGTTCGATTTTCTCCAAATACAAATTTAAACCACATTATTGTTAGCCTTTATGAGGCTAAGCCCACCTCCTTTCCACATAATGTAGATAATATTGTTTGTTCAAAAAAATTAAAAATTTAGATTTTAACGTTTAATGCTTACAACTAAGCAAATAGTCATTTTAAATAAATTTCATTATTATCATGTGTTATTATAAATTAGAGCATGTTTGGGAATGCTTTTTTGAATGACTTAAGTGTTTTCAGCTAATTAAAAATTATTTTTTGTACTTTTTTTATTTTATTTTATTGCAAAAGATCTTAAATTGCTTCTAAAGTTATAAAAGCGCTTTTTAAATAATGTGTATTATTTCAAGAAATACTTTTAACAATTTTCCCAAAAGCATTTGAATTTTAATATTAAGTTTCAAATATTTATAATAATCTCAAACCAGCCGTAACTGATCAAATTGATGTACGGAGACATTTTCATTCCTTGCAGAGAAGGTAATGAGAAACCTAGTACAAGCGAACATAGTTTAAATTAGCAGATTAGGTGTGGACACACTTCTCAAACTTCTGTTATTTTTTGTTGAACGACCTACTCTTTTCTCACCTACACCAATTATTTAAGGCTCAATCGTCTCTTACATTTGATGTTGGGTTTTCAATTTCTTGTGATAAGAAGAAAATATAATGGAAAAAGGAAGGATGAAGACGGGTAGTGAGAGAAAGTGAAAGAAATAAAGTAGAATGAACGAAACAAATTTTTGAAAGTGAAATTAAACAACTTTAAATTGTTTTTTGCATGGTTTTGTGTTTGTGTACCTTTCCTTATACATTTATTCTGCATCTCTCTCATCATCTTTCCTCACTCTTCCTTATCCTTCATTTTCACCATGTATTTTACCTGATAAAATAAAAAGTACAAGCCAAAAACCAAATAACTATCAAACAAACACTTAAGTAGTAGAGAGATTTATAAGTGGAATTGTAAGATGACGTGACAGTGCTCCAGATAAACCAAAAAATATTCTATGTATACTTGGAATACATATCACGTGTTATACGTTTTCATATGTTATAAAATAAGTACACGAAATGATTGATATGTCTTACTTTTAGTATATTAATAAAATAAAAAAACAAATACATATAACATAATTTAAATGCAATTGTAATAAGGAAACTATTATTGGCACTCCAAAAATTTCATTATATACTCTTCACACGTGTATTTTTTTTCTAATTATAGAAAGTTTGAAATGCAAAATGAGATTTTTAGAATACTAATAACAATTCTCTCATAATAATACATAACATGTATTCCATATATACATAAACATTGCAAATGGCCCTTTATCACAGTGGTGGAAAGATGTTAAGCCCTTGCATGATGACATGGGTTTAAACCATGTCGATGGCTAATCTAACACTTTATCTAACAAAAATTTTCGTTTGACAAAAAAAATACACACACGCACACACACACACATAAACATTACTCTCAATAGCGGTGTTCTTATTATTTCTATTGTTCTTCTTACTTCTATAATCTAACGGCCTCACAATTCTATCACTTCAATGTGAATATGCGCGAGAGAATGCGAACAACTTCTTCATTCGAAATAGATATTTTTTTCAACGGTCGTGTTATCCTTACACATATTTTTACCTTTCACACATTCTTCGTAATTTTCAACCATCAGATCAAATGAATTGAAGAAGATCAATGAAATTAACAAAAGTGAATGAAAAAGGTAAAAAAGAGTGTGAATCACACTACCCTTTTACCAAACTCATGCATGCATGCATGGAAAAACCATGTTTTCTTATTAGGCACGTATTAATTTAATAAACACGACTCAGATTTAGATTCAAGATCTATTATATATTAGAATATAGGATAAATTCATCACTATATAAGAGCTAAATGTTGCCACAATGACACTTGATATTGAAAAATTGGGATCAAAACTTTATATCTGAATATGATATGTTGAGTGCATGCATCAACAACGGAGATATCATGCAGTACAATTAACATTAATCCTCTGACACTGATGATCGGATTAATGTTATTAGGTGGTTACCACATAAGTACATTCTCTTTGTGTAATGTAAATCAGGATATAAAATGTGCGATTTTATTAGCATATGACGACAAATATAGGAAAAATCGCGTCAGTGACATGTGATAGTAGCATTTCTGTATCATCAATCACTGCGCAATAAAAAAACCATGTTAAAAGACGAGAGTACATTTTGTTAGAAAACTTTCGAGTTCAATAGTAGACTACACCGAAATTAACCACGCATACATTAGATTTCGCGTTCAATCTTCGTTAGTTGACATGGACCATATGATGCCCTTGCGGTCAATGATTTGATACTACTATCTTATTCTCTTTCGCGTATCTTGTTTATTTATAATTCTTGATGTGCATGAACTAAAGCTTCAATACTTAATGAAAGACCGGACCACACCAGACATAAATTAGAATTAAATGCCTCATTTTAGACTTTTGTAAATTAAACATTTATGCTTTTTGAGATTTTGATTAAACTCTTGAAACATTTGATTAAAATACTTAGACTTGAAATACTTCAAATTAATTGAAATTAATTTACATTTAAATATTTGCTATATATTTTAATTAATTTCAACTATATTTAAGTCCAAAAATTTAAACTTTTCAAATCTAAATGTACACCCACGCCTAATGGAAACATACCAACGTTAAATGAAAACGTACCAACGTCAAACGAAAACGTACCAACCCCGAATAAAAATGTACCCAATTATAAACTATATTAAAATGAATATTCATCTTTTTGGAATGTTTAAAAATATGTTTGATTCATACACAATGCTCTAGATAATCTTGTTTTTTAGTAGATAAGTCTCTAGAACAACTTTTAGTTGATCAAACATAAATCCTTATTATTGTAGATAATGCTAAATAATAACGATAAATCATATAATTTTGAATTAACAAAAATGTTATTATCCGTTGATTAATGACTCTTTCTAGAAAAAAAATAATAATTAATTAAAGTAATTTAAACTTTTACATTGTTAACGACTCTTTCTATATAAAAAAAATTAATTAATTAAAGTAATTCCACATTATTAGAACAAAAAGTAATAAAACTTATGTTTTGAAAACAAACGTATCAAAAATTCAAATGTAACAAGAAGCCAAATGAACCAAAATTCAAATGTATCAAGTAACTAAATGTACCAGTATAATCAAACGTACCTAACAACGAGTTTTGTTACATCCTATTTAATTTACTAAAATAAATATTTTAATAAAAATAAAAAAAATCTTAAATCATCATAATAAGAGATGCATAAAAATAGGAGGAAAAAAGGGAATACTAACGTGAATAGACTTCTAATGAAATAAAATTAAAGTACCAAAATTGTAGAGAAAATGTTTAATCAAATTTGCAAAAGGAATAGATGTTTAGTCTATAACATTTAAAAACGAGGCGTCTAATTCAAAACGTCCCTTTTGTTTTACGAGTTGACGGATTCTTTTTGTGAAGATCTTGAAAATTCTCAAATCACATCCGTCATCGTACATTGTGCGATAAAAAATTATTGTAATTTTTTTATTTAAAATTAAATATAAACAATATTTGACGAAAACTGACTGCACAATATACAATGAACAGATGGGATTGGAAGATCTCCGAAATCCTCACAAAGAGGATCCGGCAAGGATCCTCTCTCTTGTTTTACACTCGCTCTCTATTCTAGTAAAGAAGCTTCGAGATGATAGTTCATGTTTAATCTTTTATAAGTTTGCAATCTTAAATTATAAGAAAAACTAATGAAAATGGTTTGAAAACTTTAAGTTTTAACGATAAGGATAGAATAAAAGGTAAAGTGAATAATACCAAAATGACCATTCATGTTTAATCTTTTATAAGTATGTGATGGTGGTTTAGTTTCTAGTGGTTCACTTATGCTGCAGCGATTTTGGTGGCGAAATCTGGTTGGGACTAACCTTTTGGTTGCGGGTTGGAAAAATTTGTGTTGCGCTACCGCTACCTTTGTTGAATCCAACGAAGAGTTGACTTTCCTAGGGCAGCCACTCTTGTGGCTGCTGACGAGGTGGTAGCAGCGGCGGCGTCCTTTTGTTGGATAAGAAGTAGGGTTCTTCTGTTTATTGTCTTTCCGCTAATAAACTTTTCGACTGTATATCCCCCATTTCTATTGGGCTTACTGATGTAATTTGTATTAGGCCTTACCTCATGGAATGAGATTTATGTTTTTTCAACCAAAAAAACAAACAAACAAGATTTGAAGAACCCTAAATCGTCCCCGTCAAACTATTTGAAGATCTCCCCCTTTTCTCTCTTGCACAGCACCAAACCCAAAACGTTATCTCACCGTCACCGGCTCCTTCCTTTGGTTGGGATCGACGGCAACCCCTGTTTTTTAATGTTTTCCCTCTTTTTTCCTTTCCTTTCGTTTAGCGATGCATGTGTACTACTCTTCCTATGCCCATTGATTTTGGTTTGAGAAACCACAACTTTATATCTCGACTTTCTTTGTAGTTTTACCAGCGTCCTTTGTCGTTTCCTGACATTTTTCGCCACTTCTCGGTGTTTATCACCGTTAGTTGCGTTTTGAAAAACTCAATCCCCATCCCCATCCTACAACACCTCTCCTCAACCCTCAACATTCATCATCTTCCAACTTGTTCATTTTGGTCATTAGATCTAAACCACCATCCCCCACACCCCCCCCCCCCGGCGTTCACATCTCCGGACCCAACCGGCATGCTAAAAAGTTGGGGGCAAGCGTGTTGTGACTTCGCTCTAAATAACGGTGCTTCATATACCCCCTTAGCCCCATCCCCTTCCCATTTTTGGTGGCGAAATTTGATTAGGGTTTTTTTTTCTTGTTGCAAATTGAATTGTTTTGTGCTGCAACATCTTCGTCGAATTCAACGCTGATTCAGTTTTCTTAGGGCGGCTATTCTTGTGGCCTCTGGCAAGGTGGTGGAGACGGCGGCAGGTGGCCTTTGCAGGTTAACGATTACGGTTTCTTTTTTATTTTCTGCCTTTTTGGTTAATGAGCTTTAACTATCCAATTTATTGGGCTGGTTTAATGTAATTATGTTAAGCCTTTCTCATTCAATGAAATTTCATGTTTTTCAGAAAGAAAAAAAAAATATTGAACTACTTTCACAAAATAATGTCAATGAATCAAACCGGGGGAAACAATAAAAATAAAGGAAAATTTGAAATAGGTCAAATTTTATAAACTACCTTTTGAAATAGGTTCAATTTTTAATAACTTTTTACTTTTGAAATAGGTCCAATTTTTAGTTATTTTGGACCCATTTCATAAAACCCCTAAAATAAAAGACTGCTTCACAAAATATTCGACAAGCTGGTATCATATCAAGCGTGTTGCAAAAAAAAAAAAAAAAAAAAAGGAACAAGACGACTTTTGAACCAAAGTGATTTCTGCACTTTCTTATCAGTTTTTGTACTCTTTTATTTTATTTTTCAGCCAATAAATTAAATAAGAATTCAAGACAGAAATAATAAGTAGAAAAGTGACGAATAAGCGGGACCAAAGTGACAAAGTCATAATGCATACATAATACAGAAGCCCTATGATCGATAATAATAATAATAATTAGAATGCAAATGTGATGATTACAGCCGAGTAGATGAACAATCCATGGAGAAGGGATTGCATATTGCATTGTCCATATAGAAGTGGTGATCATGATGATGGTGATGAAGAGTTGGATCCATCAAAACAAACTGCATGTCCTCCGAAGGCTTCCAATGGCGTTTCCTTTGATTGATGAACCAGTTATTTATCTGTTTAAGATCCAGACCCGTAGATTCTGCCAATGCTAGCTTCTGGGCCTCCTGCATTTATAATAATCGAGGTACCCTTTTATAATATATCATGCTACCGGTACCACAACCACAAACTAAATATTCGTGATACTGTTTGATTACGTTGTTAGATTGTGAATATGAATTACGACAGCATGGTGAATTGTTGCACCCTTGCGCAATTTACATTGCCTAACACAACAAGAAACTAAATTCACGGTGATGTTTGCTCATGTTTTTAGAGCATGAAAATGAATTACGGCAAAAATCACACGATGAATGGTACGGATTTGAAATAAAGTTTGAACGTACGGATCTTAACGAACAAGGATGTAGATGAGTATGATATTTGTACCGATGGATAGGGCCACTTATAATGTCTGGACCACCAATCCAGCAACTGATGCCGGGCTTCCTTTGGCAACTTTCCATTCTTTTTCTTCTTCATAAATTCCTGCTTGAGGGTGCCCATATATCCACTGTATTTGCGCAAAAGTTGAACTTTGAGTTCTCTATCTTCGGCTTGAGGATCCATGGAATATTCCTTGATGGCATCAGCCTCTTCTGGAGAACCACTTTGCCCAACAAAATCACCACTACTAATACTAGCTGATGATCATGTAGGCCACAAAATCAGAATAGGCAAGAATATGTAAAATATGTATAACCTAGCCAGAAATATTAATTAGTCAAACTTCAGGAAAATGGTGATGGGCGTAGTACACAGTTATTTTGATGAAGACACTTAATTTTTCTCTATCTTCGGTTCTTCACCTTCTGCAGTTAGTACTTACAGGTACTCAGCACCTACACCTATGTAATGGTCTGTTGAATTTGGTCCAATGGCTTAAACATGCATGATCAGGAAGCTAGCATGCTAGCTAGCTAGGACCTCTACTTTTTGTTTGTAATGTTGACATATAGGACCGTTTAATTTGTCAGTTAGTCTGATTGGATCCATTAAATTTTAGTAGTATGAAACAGTTGGTTAGGTTGCAAATGAAGATTCAAGGAAAGATTAGAGAGGTACCAGAATCTGAAGAGGAATTAGAGTAAAGAGTAAGAGCTTTGAGTTGGGCGTCAATGTTGGAGAGGAAAAGCATGGCTTCTTTGAAGGGTTTTGTGAGCTCTTCCTCGTACTTGGTCAGCATCTCGCAATACGCCTCCATGAACTGGTCCAGCGCAGGGTCTGGATGATCATCTCCTCCTCCTCCTCTTATGCTACTCCTCTTTGCTGCCTCAGAATTATGAGCACTGCAGACCTGCTGTAACCTAGCCACCACTTCAGCAGGTGCCCCAACCTAATAACAATTTAATATATCTCATTAGTTTTGTAATTAATCAATTTCTCAAAATCAACACGGATCACAGATAACAAGGACATGCAGAGAGAACTCGTAAAACTGAAACCATGCTAGCTACCAATTTATGACAAATAATCATTGAAAACAATATTCAAAAGTTCTAAGGGGCAATGCAAATGTTTAATACAGGTATCTGGACTGCAGATTAGATATATTCCTTTCATAGACCACAAATTCTCATTTTTTTTTTTAACACCTCAATATTCTACTCATTCTAAATGAAAGAGTGAGTACAGTGCTCTAACCAATTCGTCTACGGTCACGAAACCACAAAAATTGTGTGTAGTAAAGTGGGTATGTGGGTGTGAGAGAGAAGATAGAGATACCTTTAAGCAATTGACATAGGCAGACAAGAGTTGAGGGAAGAGAGGATGAGCCATAATCTTAGCTTTCACGCTCATCTCCTGATCAATAGTCTCATGCGGATGGCTTTGTAAGTTGGGAATATTGCTGATCAAAGGTAGAGAAAGAAACTGCTTACTATAACTGCTGCTACTAGTAGTTCTGGTTTCTGAATTCATTAGGGCAGCGGCTAAAGAAGAATCCAGAAACCCTAAACTGTCACTGTTACGACTGATTCCTCCTTTCATCTCTCGCTCTCTCTCTCTAGAAACCCTAATTTACATATTCTCTCTCTGTCTTCGCACTTCAGTGGCCTGGAAGTGGAACACCTAGCTTTTTCTTTCTTTTTCAAAAGAGGAATTGCCTCCCGGTTTTTAAGCTAAAACTCGGACAGTCTTTGTGTACAGTGGTAGTCAGTCAAAAAATTACATGACAGAAATTACAATACGACGGAGAGGCATCTATCTATCTGTAAAATTAAAGGTACATATTAATAGACCTCCCTCGGAAATGGTCACTTTTCTTTCCTTTTTTCTGTACATAAACAGTGATCTCATTTGTCCTCTCTCTCTCCACTCTAGGTTGAAATTTTTTTGAAGATTCAGAATGTGCACGCGGAGTTAACGTGTACTTCCAAGGAGGAAACTCAGAACCCTTTTCCTTCCCAATGAAATATTTAAAAAGCAATTTGTTTATGCAAATTATTTCATCTATCCATTCCATCTCCTCGTTTATTGTACTACTTTCCATTGCTGCTTCTGCTTCTGCACTGCACGTTGCCTTTCCCTTCGGTCTTCACTTCCCAGTGCAAATTATTTAATTACTACTGTAACCTATATCTGCTGTTTGATGATTGATGGTAAACGATCAAATGTTAACCGTCCATCTTGTAATCGACGGTCGTCAGTCACTTCCTTCAATCCATCCATCCATCCATCCATCCATTTAAATATTCTGTGTTGATTTTGGATTTCCTTTTCCAACACTCTCCTGCATTGCCCTATATCTCATGTCTCTCTATCTAGGGTGGTAGTTTAAATGATTTTAAAGGATTTTAAAAGATTTTAGAATTATAGTGTAATTAACTAGAATTTTAATAAGTTTTAAAATAATACATTCAAATATAGGGGTAGTCAATTAAAAGATTTTAAAAGATTTTAGAATCTTGATGTAATCAACTGAGATTTTAAAAGATTTTTATAAAATCCATGCAAATCTATAGGTATTAAAAAATTCATAGATTTTGAAAGATTTATTTTAATAAGAGATTTTGTAGGATTTGAGGAGGGATTATAAGCATAACAAAATCCTACCTCCATCCCTAGGATTTATTTTCAACCCCCTCGCTCTTTCTCTCTCTCTCTCTCCATTCCGCAACTCGATCTTTCTTTCTCACTCTCCATTTTCTTTCAGACATAGAACCTACTAACCTGATTTCTTTTCACGTTCATCTGTCACCGTCCCAGTTGCAAACTTGAATTTTTTGAATTGTACAATATTTTTTGAATTTTGAATTTCCTTTATTTTGGACTGTGTAATAGTACAATATTTCTTGTAATGCTTTGATGGGCAGTGTTAATAGCTACTAGCAGTTCTTGTAATAATTATGCGTTCTATCTGAATGTGTTAATTTTTTACCATGTTAATTGAACTCTTGGAAATTACTACTAAGAATCTTATTGCTAAATCAAGCTTTATGTTCTTTTTCGTGTAATCATGTTATTGTAAGGGTGCAGGCATCTTCCAAAGCCTATTTATATTGGTAACTGTACTTAGACTGAATGACACATTATGAACTAATCAATTGTTGAGGAAAAAGGGTTAATTTTGAGACATTTGATTTACGAAGCACTACTTGTTTTAATTAGTTAAAATTATTTTTCGTAAAGAAATCACAATTCAAATGAGAAGGAGAAAGAAAAGACATATTTGATTGGTTCATATTTCCATATCAATATACACATGCTTATGCCTTTTTCAGATTGTGCACTGAGAAAAGAATTTATGTTGTAGGAGTCAAAAAAGAAATCCATACAAATCCATTGAAATCTATAATAGAAATCCATAATAATCTATCAAAATTCATATGGAATTGTAGAATCTATTAAAATTCTTTGAAATCCGTCACTTAAAAAAGTCCATCAAAATTCTCTGAAATCCAAATTGACTACACCCCCCTTAATTAGTCTAGTGATCGTCATTTCCATTACACTGTATATTTGGACGAGGGAAATAAATTTAGAATTATAACAAAAATCAAAATTTATAAATTAACATGCACTAATTTCTTTATTTAAATTCATAAACATAGAAATTTAGAATTTCCGCCTAGACAAAAAACTTAAAATTTGGGACCTCCAATTCCCAAGTTTAAATTCCATGTTAATATGTATCATTTTCAAATTTCTATGAGTGAAAAGTTTAAAAATAACAAATTATGTATTCAAATTTCGTTCTTCTTTTAGGTTAGCAAACAAGAAAATTCACAAATTTTAGAAAATAAAATTCTGTCATTTTAAAATTCCTTACTAATCTTAAATTTCATCAACTAACAGTGTTAAAAGAATTTGAATTGAGTGTAAAACGGCAGATACATTATATATCTCAATTCTCTAAAGGTAAATTTGTGAACCGTTGCCAGCTAAATATAGCCAAAATGAGAGAACTACAACACGTTGAACATTTAATAGTGAAAAACTCACCTCCCTCACTCTTTGCATGCTTCACTGCTAAAAGAAGAGCCACAAGTGCTGCTAAAATCCAATCATAAATGATCAAGTTTCAATTGTAGTTTTCAATTTTAATTATTTAGATAAGTCCATTTGTGATTCAATCATAATTTCAATTATTCAAACACATGTCTATTTATGACTGAATTTTTTCAGCAGCAGCTGAAGCATGGTTTCTCTCATTTTATCCACACTTCCATGTTGAGAAAAAATATATTCAAAATTAGTTGAAATAGCTAATGCTGTCGAAAATGCCAAGTGATTATAGATGAAATAGTTATAAAATTACGACAAAGTTGAAAATTACGATATGGGAAACATTGAGATGACAATCTTGCAAATGAGGTCAAGCTTGCCTTTTGCTTCACCCACACTGCTTTAAATCCTATAAAGACACTCATTCTTTCCAATGTTGTTGGGAGATTGGTACTTTAAGAGATAGGATCATCGCCTGATTCTCTTTGTAAGGATCCTCGCTGGATTCTTTTTATAGAATTTTAGAAATCCTTCAATCATATTCATTTATCGTGGGATTAGTTTTAGTCAGGTACTGTTTATATTCAATTTTAAATAAAAAAAATTACAATAATTTATGATCACACGATGTACGATGAATGAATGTGATTTGAGGATTCCCAAAATCCTCAGAAAAAGGATCAGCAAGGATCTCTCTCGTACTTTAGGCCCTCTCTTATACGTATAAATGTATCTATATAAATCAATATTATTACATTGAACAAGTGTTAGGAAATATAAACTTATTCGCTACACATTCACCTTTTTATGTCTGTCTCTCTCTTCATACGACAAAGAATGCTAAAACTTTACCTTACCTTGTTACCTTAACGTTTTGTCTCTCCCTTCACATAACAAAACTATTCTACGTTTTTTTTTCCCTTTTTAAGGGGGCTAGTATTCAAACGAATAATTCAATTGTCATAAAATAAGTGAAGAAACATGAAAAGATAATGCAAGTGAAGAACGAATACCGATATTTGAAAAAATCTCTCCAAACGTAAGACTTCGGGTGCGAATGTAAATAATTTGTTGGGCATTGTGATAAAAAAAAACAAAAAAAAAAAAAAAAGAGCGTTAAAACGAAAAGCATCTCATACGGACTCAAATTGAAATATCATATACTCCAAATGATTGATAATTTCAACAATTTACTTATCAAACTGAACTTCGCATGCTTTGCAAAACAGATAGCCTACTGCATCACAAGAACATAAAAGTTGTCGTTGATTTCGTAGCTAATTTTCAAATTTCATCGGTATAACAGAAATTCATCAAAGAAAAATAGATCCGTGCGAAGGACAGATGCACTTGAAATCAAGCTTGCGGATTGATGAGATGTGTTTGCAACCTCCTAGAGTTTTTGGATAATAACAGAATTGGCTATACCGGCTTGCTCTATTGTCTGGTCTAGATCTGTCAGCTGTTTGGGAGGGAACCCCATCGTCTGCAGTCGGTAACTTCTTGTCCCATCAGGTCTTGAGGCATCAATAAAAGCATGGATGTCTCTGATTGTATGGTGGTAGTTGAAGCGGGATACCATACGCGTGCCATCTGCTAACCTTAGCTGAACAGAGGTTGACGGCAATGACTGATCCACAACTAAGCCCATTGAAGGCAATGGAGCGCCTGTAAGGGGAGGAGCGGCAGCAGTTGACTCAGTGGTAGCTGCCGCAGAGGTGCTGCCACCTAAAGTTCTTCCAACACCCTGAAAAGCAACATGCCTCTTCACTGGTTCCTGCAAAATAATAAGCTCAACGGGATCAGAAAGATTGCACCAGATGCATATTAATAACGTATACCAGAGTAGGAGAGAAAGAAGCACAAACAGGATATTCTTCATCCCGCCTAGTAAGATTAACATGAACAGCAGTCCTCTTATTGCCTGGTTCAAGCTCTTTCGGGCACTCAGACTTCTTGATGCTCTGCATTCATAAAAAATAACATTTCCTATCAGCACTCAGAAGAGAGATCAAATCAAAGGAAAAATACAACAGCAAAAAAATGAATATCTACACTTGCACAAAAAGGCGAAATGAGAGCCACTAATCAAAACAATGAGATCAATACACGAGGAAGTAAATAAGTTTTGTTCATCATAAGAATTATGGTCGGTTTTATATATATGCAAATTCTGGCCTTATCACCTTAAGCCAAACTACTCTTCTGTGCTTGAAATTCTTAGCTCAGCCAAACAGTTAATGATTGTCAATATGATGTTTTATACATAAAGAAAGCAAGATCACCAGTTGTTTTATACATTTTTCTTTTGGTTGTAGCTTACTATGTGACATTTTAGGAGCCATTATATGTTTTGAGACAATGGTTAGGAGCCCTTTTAGCATTGCTTGACTAAGCCAAGGATCCGATCCCCTGATATAACATTTTAGCTTTGATATCAATGCAGTAAAAAGAATCCACTAAACCCTATATAGGTCAAGCATCATTAGAACTTACTTCCAGGAAGGGTGCATTTTCGGGATCATCCAGCCTCCGCAAAGGACCATCATCTACAGAAAACCCATTCCTCCAAAAAGTGATAGTGTGAACGATAGTTTCAGGTGGCTGAGGAGCAGCAGTCGGGACGGTCTCCCCTGAAAGCAGTCTAGCTGTTCCACTGAAACTTTTTGAGCTTGAAGAAGGTTGATGGACATCTAGAGGTCCTTGTGTGGCCGCCAGCTGCCTAGCTTGACTGAATATTGAATCCACATCGCTGCCTTTGGTAGGGTCTTGGACAAGCATTCCACTAGAACCAGCAACAACAGGACAAATTAAAACTAAAAACTAATTGCCTGATTACAACATGAAAACAATTGCAAATTTATATACATCAAAGATGGTTTACATCTGCACAAAAATCGAATTCCGCAGATAGCTCATATAGAAACAAAAGTGAGAATGTTACAAACAGAACCCCATTACGATATTACTCCACAACGTTCTCCAGTTTAAAAATAATCTACTTGCACCCCATTACGATATCATTGACAACGAATTGAAATTTTCTTTCTTTTGGTAGACTTGGCGTGCAATGGTATTCTACGATTCATACAACCGACCCCACTTAATGGGATAAGGCTTGATTGTTGTTGTACTAACTTTGTAACTTTGGTTTTTCTCAGCAACCAACGCAACGGAAGAATGAATGTTACAAAACGAAGAAAGAAGATAAAATGCATTGATATCTCAACGTAAACATTCAGCATTATTGATTAGCTTTCTACTGTTTTCTGGGTTCCTCAACATAGGGTTAAAAGCAATAAACTATCCAAAGTAGGGAAAAAATCGATCATTTTCCTGGGAACCAAACAAGAACTAAGAAATAAAGTACCTTTTCTCGCCACCAGTGTAATACTCCTGGGGTTCATCGGACTCACTATCGGACCCGCTCTTTGCCGGCCGATTCAGATCGGAAAGCGTGCGTATTCCACGCGGACGACTCGCAGATGGCGGGTTGGCATCACCCTTGCTGTCGGATCCACTAGCTGCGGCGCGCTTCGATCGGAGCTGGTAGGGCGCACGAGACGCGGGCGACGGCGAGCGAGAGCGCGGCGGGGACTGCGAAGGAGAGTAATTGGGGGAGTGCGAGGGTGAGGGAGAGGGAGAGTGGGAGGCGGGGATTGAGCGCGGGGCGGCGTGGGTGGCCTCGGCGGCGGCGGGGACGGCGGCGTTGTTGTCCAAAAATGTGGAAACGGCAGCGTCGAGGTCCCAGTTGTGGGATTCAAGGAAGAAGAGGGCTTCTTGCTTCGAGGCGGAGGTGATCTCGCAGAAGGAGTTGACGACGGCGTCGTTTTGGGGATTGGATTCTTGAGCTTCGGCTTCCATGGCGACTGGATTGTTCAGTGTTTCGCTCCAAATCGGATTCCTTGATTGTTTTCCAAGACTTCCGAGTGAGTGAGATTCCACACAAACTCCCAGCTTCCGCTTTGTGCTCTACATTTTACAGGTGTAATGCTTCATGAAACGGCGTCGTGCTAAGTCGGTTTGCGATCGCAATTGTGATTAGACGGCATGTCGTTTCATGGGCATTATTCTACTCAAATAAGTTAAATACCATAATCCACTCAAGGAATAAAAACTAATTTTAAATATTCCAGGACCACCATGCATTTCAATTCGTTTTCATAACAGAATCGTTTGGAATTGCTTTTAAAATAACTGAATGCGTTTTTATCAAAAATGTTTTAGAAGCATTTTCAAACGAGCATATATTTTTAATACTTTTGTTATCCAAAAGCGTTTTTAGACTCTTCATACAATGTCAAACAAAACGCCTTCTATTACATCTTTGAATCCGACTTCTTTTCTAATTGAAAGCTTGTTTGAAAATGTTTCTTAAATGACTGAAAACCCTTTTGGTGAAAATGTTTTTTAAACCAATCCTTAGAAAACACAAGTGAATCCTTCCTAGAAGAAGCGCATATGAAGCATTTCAAGTGATTGTGCTTCAAGTGATTGTGGAACACAAACATTTTCTCTAAAAACGCTTTCAGCCATTTTAAAAGCACTTCCAAATGAGTCTTAAATTTATTTGACCTAATGGAGACTCAAATGATAAAAAACTTTGATTACCCAAAAATAATCTTAATATTTCATTACATAAAGAGAAAAATATTGTATGATAAAATGGGCTCTGGTCTCTACATTCTTGGCCTGGATTAAGACAACTAGGTAACTGAACTTTGACAAGCTTCGAGCACTGAGTAAAATTTTCATTCAACTTGCATTCTGCATGTCATCAGCCATTCACCTGCAAACAGGAAACTCCGAAATTAACGAACTTTCAGATGCAATTTTATAACGAAGAATACACAAATAATGACGAAGAAGAAATTAACGTTGATGAGCATTTAAGTTGCGATTTTTAAGCATCGGGGTTTAGATGTATATAGTTGTTACAGCAATGAAGAAGAAACTAGTAGTCTGTAGAGTTAGGCTTAAGAAACGAATGTGCAGTTGAGCAAAGCTGCAAACTGCAAACAGTAAGAGACGGAAAATCAAAGGATAACTTAATTACATTTTAATTGACTTCTCCGTGGCTGCCAATCTCTGATTGTTTTAGTTTCTAAAACATTTATATACAAGAATCTGAAGAAACAGTGATCTAAGCTACATGCTTGAACAAAATTTGCAACGAGAAGTGTGTGACTCAAAGTGCTGTGGAATTTTTAAGATGCCCAAGTTCCTTCCTCCTAACAAGATACTATCATCAGATATATAAAACGTAAAGCTTCTCAACCACATGTGAAATGAATTAGTGTACAAGTTTGATTACTAATTAGATTGACGTGATTGACCAATCAAAAGTAATCATTATCTTCAAATGACAAGGGATAATGGTCACCATATTACAAAGCACAATTTACAGCTTTCGCAACTAAACATCTTTGGTCATCATCAATTCGCCATTAACATGGAACATGACTTACCATTGTACCAAAGGAGTTCATGTATATCGAGTGGCAGCATCCCCACTGTCGGGAAGGCGAGGAACCACAACAGGTCCACCCCTTAATTTTTCAACAGCAGAAGTAACCCTCAATGGCCGACCCAACAATGCCTGCAAGCAGAACTACGTTAATCAGAAAATCTTTATAAAAGAAACAAACTTTGATCCATGACAATATAGTTTCTTCATCACCTTTCCATCCATGGCATCTTTTGCAACCTGTGCTTCATCTTCTTTGGAGAAATTAACAAATCCGAACCCTCTTGACCTACCGGAATCTCTGTCATACACTATATTCACTACAATGCAGAATATGAACAAAGATTAATTCTTTTTTAAGGAAAACCACACATAACATCCAAATCATTGAGAAATAAACTGGAAGTGATCATTGGGACATTTTATCGAACACGTAGACGACAGATGAATAATTTGCAAAATTTCTAACTGGGAAACCAAGATTTTACCTTCGGTAACCTCCCCGAATGAAGAGAAGGCGTCTTTCAATGACTTCTCGTCCACCGACCATGACAGTCCTGCAAAACCCAAAAGCCAGATCACCATAAAAACGATCAAAACACGAAAACTACATAACTTTGGAGGTGTATTGTATGTATGCGGAGGAGTGGGGAGAGAAACCTCCAACGAAGAGCCTGTTGTTTTGGGGAGGAGAGGAGGAGGAGGAAGACGGTGGTGCGCAGAAGAATCGCCGACTTAAAGTTGGGTTTTGGATTGTGATTGTTGTCGATGCTCTTCGAGCAAGGAGCGTCCACAAAGTGTTGTTCCTCATTGATGGCATGATTAGCCGATGACTTGTTCCTTCTTTTTGCGCGCCTTTCAGTTTTGAGCTTGATTTGGTTGAATTTTGAGGTCCATGCCACATGGGCATAAATTTTCTTTAGGTCTTAATTATTGAAATGCTTTTTAAAACTAACATCGAATCTCATTTTATCCTTCAAAACTCAAATAATATTATTTCATTTCAGTTTATTCTTTGAAATTCAAAAAAATATCACTTCTTAAAACACACATTGTGTATTTGTGTCTACACCGTCTCAATCTTTACTTGACTAGAGGAGGTCTCAAGTCAACTCACACGAACCAAAAGATAATATACTTATATTATTTCAATATTAAGTTGTGGCTCACCATGACTCGTTAAGAATGAATTAACGATCAGTTTTAAACACATTACAAGACATCTAATTAGAATAATGATGATTAATTATTTTCCAATTGTGAGCATTTCCAAATGTGCCGGATTAACGTAATGATTCTTAAGAGCCCACTCGTGCTCCATGCATCCACTATTTTCATATTATTTCCCTCCCACTTGTGATCGCTCTCTATTGATTTCACTTTGGTTTTGATCTGCTCCCACTCTGTTTCATCGTATTCAGCAGCTTTATCGGAAGGTGTGTAGAGCCTTAGCTCAGACGTTCGCACCACCACCTTCCACCTGTGTCAATCTCGGCACTGTTGTCAGTGGTTCCACTGACTTCCTCCTCGGTTCTATAACATTGGTGGCAACGGATTGGTTTTGTGTGGAGTTCGATGGAGGACATCGACATTTGCTTCTCTTTTTGTTGTTGGGGCTTGGTTGGTCTTCATCTCTAGTGTTTGTTGGGTTGCTCATTCATGGTCTCCGGAGCTTGCTTTGACGGCGGCAAGGGATCTAAGCAGCTGGGGTTTTCAGTTTTATGTCTTTCTTTTTCGGGCTCAACCCTTGCGTTGGGTTGTTGTTGTGATGGCCCATTTTTTGTTTGTGTCTAGTTGTGAGTTTTTGTTATGTATGTAACTTTTTGGTAATGAAAGTTCACCTTTTATCCAAAAAAAAAGAAGACAAAGAGCCCACTCGTGCTGGAAGGGCGCAAAAGAGTATCACAGTGTAGAGACAATTGCAGAAAGAACTGTATAAGATGGTTCAGTCTTGGTTCTGAATCATCATTCATACCTAAGCAAAGGATCCAAGAACAACCTGTTCACAGTATTTGTCGCCGCCGCCTCAAAACAATTACACGATCCCCCATCAAGAACAAAGACGAAATGAACATGGGATGGGATATTATACAAGATGCAGGAAAAATGCAGCAAATAGTCAAATGTTCATACACCACAAGACTAGAAAAATATACAACAACGACTTGGACTACCCAGCCGGTAGAACTAACAAACTAACAATAATGCGGTACCGTACAACATAAAGAGCAAAAGGTTGATCACATAGATCAGTAACCCTGGCCCTAGTCTAAAAGAAGTTGCAAATCATTACCGTGTGATCAACCCTTTTCGCGCCAACTGACTACTTTCCGCCCTAATTTTGATCATCTTCGGCTGCTTCCACTACCAGATCAAGAGACTCTTCACTCTGCTTGGAACTTTCCGTTTCTTTGAGGTAAGAGGGGCCTTGTTGATGCCTCCCAACAAGAACATCATCACCATCCAGAAGACAAAGGCTCCCTACACAAATAGTTACCGTGACAGGATGCCAAGTCGTATAATTTTCCACCATAACTACACCAGGGGGAAAACCATGAATTTCAACTTCTTTGATGCTGTTTTCCTCTATGTCAATCCAAAAAAGCATATAACAGTCATCTATAAAAAGAACCATTCCACCATTCTTCGAGAACACCAAAGGTTTGTAATGATGGTTCCTACGAAAAAGGGTACCACTGTCCTCTTCATTAATAGAATAAATCAAGGTCCAAGATTCTGCAACTCCAAATTCCTTCATAATCCAACAATCATGTCTGGTTAGTCCATAACGAACACAAATACATAAACAGTCTCCCAAGGCCTCCAAAAACAAACATGGCTGATCAACCGGGACGGGAAACGCGCTACATTCCTCAGTGGCAAGATCAAGGGTTATAATTGTGTGTTTAAGGTGTTTATATGAACCATTATCCATCAGCCAACACAGAGAACCGTTCACAAAAACGATACTACAACAATGAAATCTATAACCACTCCAAGGGGTGTTGATGTTTTGGATCCTTTTCCATGAGTTAGATTTTAGGCTATAAATTTGAACCAAACAAGTCATAAAAAATGGATCTTTATGTAGAAAATTCACAAATCCAACAAGTTTATAGTCATCGTTAACCGAATCATACCCGAGAGCATAGTAGGGAGGACCGAATTTGGTCATGATATTCAAATCCGCCTCAAAGGTTGTGCGGGGAATCATCTTGAACTTTTGAATTGAAGGGTTCCAAAAAGCAATATCCCCGTCCTCCCCTTCGCCTCTTTTGCGAATGCAAACCAGGCCGTGAACGGAGCGGCCCACGATCTCGGTGTACGCGGCAGGGCCTTTTACCCACCTCACAGACATGAAATCCGGCAACTGCCGCCGAATGAAGGGGTCAACTTCAACCGGCGGTCCAGGGCATTTCAACGGCGGCGCAGTCTCGACGCATTCCCCGAACGCATCCGAGTCGTCAAAAGACACTGAAAAGAAATCAGAAGGATAGGACCCAACTAAAAGGGCGCGATCAGAGTTGGTTGCGGCAGAGCGTTGGAGGTGGGCTTTGATGAAGCGGCGGCTGCGGATGGTGGCGTTCCAAGATTTGGAAACACAGAGGGATCGGAGCAAATCCTTGGGAGGGAGACGCGTGAGGATCTCGAGGAGTTGGCTCCGGAAGGAGGTTTGACAATGACATGTTTGATTTGGTGTTGAAAGATATTGAAGCTTACTGATTTAGGGTAATTCTAGGGTTTAAGGGTCAATTGGTTTGGTGCATTTGGGCGGGTTGGGACTTGGGAGGAGGAGGACAAGGTGGGGACGATAACATCTTTCCTTTTTCTTTTTCCCCGCAATATTTTTTAGTATGATATTTTTTTTTATTTTTTTTTCTGTTACAAAATGCTTTGATCATTGAGGGCAAACATTCATGGTTATATAAATTCTGGTACGAGTTTTCAAGTGTTATAAAAATTTAAAAATATATTTTCTAAAATAATTTCAATACTTTATAAACAATTTTCAAACGAGAAACATTTTATAAAGAAGGACCTGCTAAATACGGTTTCATTAAACATTGATAAGTAATTTTTATGATACACTTAGATTTTAACGAAAACTTCAAAGTATTTAATTAGCAACGCTTCTAACAAAAACGCTTATTAGCTGTACGTTAAATATGGCGCAATTTTTGTACAACGCGTATGTTATATACACATTAAACATGAACCGTTAGATTAAAGCCTTAATTACAATCGTAATCCAAGGGGGACGATAAAAATGTGGTGGCATTGGGTTAGAAGTATGTTGGGCTGGGAAGGTAGAAGATCCAAACCGAAGGGCTCAAAGTACCGGCGAGGCCTACATAGCAAAAGGAGCTAAAATCTACTCCACCACTCAGACTCCTTCCTTCCACACGAACGAGGCAGTCAGCCCTCGCCGCCGCCGTCGTCACTGGGTGTAACTCCGTGGACAGACATACTTGAGGTCATCTCTTTCTCCCCTTATAATCTCTGTACTTTGTTCCTTTTATTCAGTTTGGTAATCTGCTGCTTTTTCTTTTACTGCGTTCTCGTTTTTTCTCTTTTTGTAGTTCGTGAATTGCCGGGTAAATTTTGAATATAACCGTGAAAATTTGATTTTTGCTTGGAATGAAGATAAATAGTTTTGTTCTTGAGAAAGATTGAGCTTAATTACCACCGGGCTTAGTCTAATTCCAGCTTTAGAGATAATACAACATCTTAATTTTGTTGTATTTGTTCAGTTTTATAAGTAATTGAATGGAGATTTGTGATAAATTTACTAACTTTTGGGGAAACACATTAGGTTTGATCACTACACGATGTGCCTGCGGCGGTTTTTGTTGAACCGTGTAGTTCGTAGTGGTGAAGTGTAGAGATATTAGTGTTCAAGGCCACTGAGCTTGGTTGACGTAATTTTTCTGATTTTTTTTACGATGATTTATTGGTTAAGAGTTAAAATGATTGTAATGTAAACAAGGAAAATGATTGGCTCTAGCCCGTTTTTAACGTTTTGATGTTCATCTTGCAATTCTGATTTAGTAGTGATTGAGATCCTTTAAGCACAGCTAAACCCTGAAATCTTCGAGATATAAATAGTAAGCTATGTTTAACAGAGGCACTAAATGTTCGCGGTGCTTTTTCATAGACTTTCTTTATTCCCGAGTTGCTATGTTTATCTTCTTTCTGGAGTTTGTCTTCTTTCTGATGCAGCCATGTATTAGTAGTTTTCACATATATTGAAGTTATGGCTTAGGCACCACTTTGGGATGTGTAGGTTGGAGAAGAAAATGAATGCTTTCAAGGCTTATAAAGCCAGTGTCCCAATTGCATGGAGCCCTAATCTGTATATAACTTTGGTGAGGGGAATCCCCGGAACTAGGAGACTTCACAGGCGTACTTTAGAGGCATTACGTCTCGGAAAGTGCAATCGAACTGTCATGCGATGGAATACACCTACAGGTTAGGGGAATGCTCCAACAGGTTTGATAAGTTCACAGTGGATGCATTCATAAGGCATCTGTCCTGTCTGTAGTTGATAATGTTAGTATGTTATTTTTCACACAGGTTAAGAGATTGGTCGTGATTGAGACAGAAGAGATGTATAAGGCCCGCAAGCAAAACTTGGAAAGTCACCGAGCTCTACGTCCCCCATTGGTTGTAAATCACCAACCTGGTTCTGCAAGTGGACCTTCTTAATAGCCTATGTGATTGTTTAGAGGTCAGCTCTCAGCTTCTTAGTATTGATTGAGGAGACTAGTATTCCTGTAGTGTAAATTTTTTATAAGCAGCCAATTCTGGATCCAGTTGTTTTGTCAATTCCATGTTTGGCTTTTTGTCTCAAAATTTGCAGTGCTTCTGAACTAGTTCATTAACGTTGATACAAGTAATCTTGCAACTAGACCGCTTCTATTTTGCATATGCAATATGTTGGATGGTTTGATTTGGCAAATTCCTGATTTCGTGACGTGTGTCATGGATATGTTGTTATGCTGTTAATTTTGTTTTTAGATGAAGAAAAATCTATCATTACATTGCATTCTAGAGCACACTGTATTTACATTTAGTCCGAGAGACTGTGGACAAAAAAGGATTTAAATATCTAATAAATGATTGATAAGCATACAATATTACACAAGATCCTTTTGGAAGCATACATACTAGGTTCTAAGGCCCTTCCTTTGCCTCAATTCTGATTTTCTCTGGCATCTCTTCAACTGTTTTGATGTTCGAGCTCTTGAACTCCTTTTTGCCACTATCATCAGGGCTTTTGTGCTGATGGCCTTTGTATTGGTGTTTCATTGCAAAGGCAAGAAAAACCAAGAAGTTTATAGCTCCTAGCACTGCGAGGACCCAGTAGAAGTTATCCACCCTTCCCTTGTTCAGGTTACTCCTCAGCCAGCTCTTCTTAGTCAGCTTTGTCCACTACCGTCACCAAAAGACTGCTAACGTAGAATCCCATTGAGATGGTGCTTAAGAAAAGCCCCGTGCTCATGGACTTCATCCTGTCCGGTGCCTCTCTGATGAAAAACTCAAGCTGTCCGACATAGACAAAAGCTTCCCCTGCACCCACGAGGAAGTATTGTGGGATAAGCCAGAAAGCACTTAGCTTGGTATTTTGGTGAACTGAAATGTTTCTTCTTTCTTTCTCTACTATTGCGGCAGCTACCATAGCCGCCATTGATAAAATGAGTCCAACCCCAATCCTCTGAAGGCTCGTTATTCCTTGGGCATTGTTGGTGAGCTTCCGAGCAAGGGGAACAAAGAATTTCTCGTTTAAGGAAGTAAAGACGAGGATGGTGATGAAGAGAAACGCTGAGAAAGAACCCGCAGGGATTTCAAAGGAGCCTACTTTTCGGTTCATGAAGGTGGCTTGTTCGATGGTGAACGTAGTCATTTGAGAGTAGACCGTCCAGAAGAGGATACATGTTGACCAGATCGGCATGAGCTTGAAAACCAGTTTCACCTCTTCAACTTGGGTCACTGTGGACACTATCCATGAGTTGCTTCTGTTTCCTTCATGAGCAGCATATTCATCTAGGATTGCAGCTTTGTCTAGACATCTAACCATTCACATACGTAGTAGAAAAACAAAACCTAGTCAGTGCCAGTGAAGAAATTTGATGTAATTTGGATAGTTTGGGATCCTGACGCCCATTTTCTCATTTTGCACATGCATGTTTAATTATGTACTTTTTCTATTTATTCAATCCAAATGCCAAAACTAAGTAGGGTGTGAAGGAGAGAAAAATGACGTGCGGAAATTACTTCCCCATGATAAACATGGAATACTGGCTTTATATGTAAACTTACTTGAGCCTCTCTGTGTGGGGGATCTTAGCTTCTTGGCATCCATTTAAAAGGCTTGGATGGGAAGGATGAGGATGAGCCCTCTTCTTCCAAGCCAAAAATATCACTCTCCATATGACAGTTAAAGGGCTGCCTCGGGGCTTGCTGAACCGGTAAAACGTGGTCCCCGCGAGCAACACGACGATCGCAATGATCATTGCCCCGGCTGATATTCCGTACCCCAACCCTCTGCTAACATTGACTTGCACATACACCAGCACAATAACAGCAAACAGAGACCCAATGCTGATGCCAAAGTAGAACCTGTTGAAGAAGAAGATCATGGCCTTCTCTTCCTTGGGGTCTGCAGCATCGAATTGATCCGACCCGAAACCAGAGACGTTGGATTTTATCCCACCACCACCTAGCGCTGTAGTGTACAAAGCAGCATAGAGCAGGGCTAATTGGCCGCCGTTGGCCTCAATGCATTGATGGTGTTGCTGTCTGTAGTCATCACATGGAGGTGGTCTCATGCTATGGATGGATGTAGCCAATGTCAACAAAAGTATCCCCTGCAAGAACAAGAACCTTTCAGTTTTTATAAATCTTGAAAATCACTCGAATCAAAGCACTCGAGGGCTTGAGCGTATTGAAGGGGGTTCGAGCAATGCTGGAGGGGTCTTGGGAGAGCTCAAGAACTGCTTGAGCTGTTTCGATTGATTCCAATTGATAAATCTCAAAAATCGTTCTGCGCTCCAAGATGAAAATTCCTTGACAGAATGATTTTTAAGGAGTGTCGAACGAAAGCAGGCTAGAAGTCTTTAATATGATAATAAAAAGGTTAATATTGCAAATTTTCCTTGGCTCAAAACTTACCACAGCAGTTATGGTTGCAGAAAGTGCAACTGTGAGGTACCTTCCAAGCTTAGCATCTGCTAGGAACCCACCAAGGAGGCCAAGGAGGTTCAAAGTGCCCATGAAATTGGTCACTATGTTTGCAGATTTTGCAGAAGATAAGTGCAAATTTCCAACCAGGTATGTAACCAAATTCATAGATATGCCCATCACACATATCCTCTCAGCCAGTTCAATTCCTGCAACATAGTCATCATGAAGCAACAAAGCACCTTAAGATAATGCATAACAAAGGTAGATGTGATCTATCATAACTCAAACGTGAATATCAGAAAGAGAGAATTTGATTCGAGAAAGCACCCAAAATAAGCCCTGCAGCAAGCCATCCGCCAGTCTTCGACTTGTCCACTGGATTCCCTCGGAAATCCACCACATCTCCATCTTCCTCACCTTTCCTTGAGATCAAAACCTGTTGAAGTTAACGAAATGTAAAAAGAAAGAGAAAAACCAAATTTAAATTTCAAGTTTTTAGTATGATATTGGAGTTGTATGAGTAAGTAGCTATACCATCTTTTAGAGAGAGAGAGAGAGAGAGAGAGAGAGAGTGTTTTTTCTTGCTTAGGATTTGCAGTAGATTCCATGAATGATTGGGGGTTATAAATAGAAGTGGGAGCGATGAGGAATACTATCTTAGTGATGGCCTCCACAGTTTCTGGTGGTCAAGAGCAGCTAAGGGATGTGAACACTTTCGAATACGTAAACATGTTTTTGTGGTTTTGTTGCTTGCTACTAAAACAATGGAAAGTGACATTCACGTTTTTTTGATAGAGTTGGGAAAGGGAAAAATGACACCTCTGTCTAACCCTTAGATGCCATTCATAGATCTTATGGAGAATCAAATCAAATGGTCCACCAGATCCACAAGCATGTGTCGACCAAGAATTTAAAGCTGGAACGTACGTATGAGTTTGTATTTTCTATCATATACTCGTTCTTTTACTACTAGGTTGTATGATGAAAATGAGTGAAGCTCTTGTAAGACAGCGTGAGTTCTAATTTCGTCGGTGACTAATCTAACATCTAATCTAACAAAATTTATCATTTTACTAAACCATTATTACCTGCTTGATTTGAATCCTTTGCAACTGTTATAATCCTCAAGAATTACGACATTTGATCTGTCATAATGTCGGATTGAATCAAACAAAAGCGCTTCAATAATAAGTTTAACTTTTCAATAATCTTATAATTATCACAAAAACAATCGTGTACAGGTGGAAAACCTTTTGAGTCTTGATCAGGGCAATGTTGCAATCAGTGCAGTGTCATACTGTTCTCGGGGCCCTTTTTCTAGAGAGAGGATCCTAGAGATATTCTAATCTTATCCGTTCATCGTATATTGTACAGTCAGTTTTTATCAGGTACTGTTTGTATTTAATTGTAAATAAAAAAATTACAATAATTTCTGACTACATAATGTATGATGAACAGATATGTTTAGAGGATCCCCATGACTTTTTCTATAGTGTATAGAAGCCCTTCAAGGGAGGGGAGGGGCTACGCAAGTTTATACATAATGGTACAATCCATCGTGTATCCATGCATGAGTTGATTTGCACTGTTATAAACTTAACTTACACAAGTTTTCACGACTAACTATATCAGGACTTTTAAGTTGAAAGATTATATCAGTGTGCGCAACATCATGTTGTAAGAAAATTGAGCATAATTTGATCAGAGTCCATGTTGGTTATTCACTATCTTTTTAAGGCTCCTAATGTGGTCCTATGGTTTTTTATGGTGATTGAAATAATTGTTTCTAGCGACTTCGCTAAATGCGTGCAATTTATGTGTACACATATTTATAGAGAAGGAAATCATGTTGCAGATGCTTTAGCTTCTTTTGGGGCAGATAGTTATGCTTATTATTGTTCGTCCATGAGTTTAGATTTTGTAGCCTTTGCACATGTTCTTGACATTTCGTTTTGTCCTTATTACTGTTTTCGTTGATCGTTTTTTGTCTTTGTGGGTCTTGACCTAATCTCCTGTATGTAACTTTTTCGTTTACTTTCATTTATTATCAATAAAATTGGTGAAGAAGGGATTGGCAGAGGATTTTTGGATGTAATGATCTTCACCCCTTCATAAGAGAGTAAGTACCTTGCACGCGATATTGCTAAATTGGGTTAGCTTGAAAATTGGGTTAGCTTTCATTGGGGTACATTAGGTAAACCCTGTGGTAGAGGCTAGCCAGAAAAGCAGTCACCTATGAACCCAAGCGTATCCGCTAAGGGAAACACGTGTACTAAAACTGAGAAGTTGCCAATAACTCAGGTCACACGGAGTCTCAAAGGAAGTCAAAGAAATAGATGGAATAATTATTTCGGGTTTAGGAATCGAAAAGAAACCACTTATGCTTTATATGACCTGTGCCAAATTGATTTAGCTCTACTCGGTTTAAGATAGGGACATTGGAATACCTAACTCTCTTTTTCTTTGGCAAATTTTGGAGAAAAGTAGCCAGGTTGTGTAGATGCAAAAGGCTTTTAGCCAAAACTTCCATCCTTACACAATTTTAACCACTCGAAAGGGATTTGAGCACTGCTTGATGGGGCCTCGAGTGGTTATATTTCTAAATAATGAAGAAACAAAATAAACGACTGAAACTCTTTCTGTAAAGGGATTTTAGCAACAATGCAGATTATGTTGCCTCTCTAATCTGCATTTGTTTGTACTGACTTTACTTTCCTCACTTTTGATCAATAGGGTTGGTTTATATCAATTCTTTCTCATATGGGTTGGGGTTAGAATTGCAGGCCATATCTAGAAGGCTTATTTTTAGTTACAGTCTCTGGAACTCGATTTTAATCCAACTTTGACCCTGAAACTCAAAAGTCGCCAATTTATTCCCTAGAACTTGATTTGACCAACTTTGCCCTTGAAACTCAAAAGTCGCCAGTTTACCCCCTAAAACTCGATTTTAATCTCATTTTGTCCCCTGAAACTCAAAACTCGTCACTTCACTCATTGGAACTCGATTTTTCGGAAGCAAAATTTTTGCTTCCTAAAATTCAAAACTTAGCCAATTCACTCCTTGAAACAAGTCAAAGTCGAGTGAATGTTGAGTTTCATAATGTAAAATGACGACTTTTGAGTTTTAGGAGGCAAAGTGAGATGAAAATCGAGTTCCAAGGAGCGTAGCTAAAAATAAGCCTATCTAGAAATCCATACTTACTCCAATTTTGTTTCCTCGAATTTTCCTGAAATTTTGAAGTCTACTTTCCTCTTTCATTTTGTTTACTGACAACATTTCAGCATATATAGCAGGAGCTGCAGAATATGTTATCCAAGGATCTGTTGCTTTTGTAAACTCATTAGCTTAATTAATTACTCTTCATCCCAGATTTTCGTTTTATGTTTATACAGATTCACTAATTTACCCAGTCTTGCTAGCATGCTGAACAGTAACTTTATATCCTTTTCAGTCTTACTTGAATGCATTCATTCGGAGCAGTAACTTTATCCTAATTATTTGCTGAGGAGCTTTATTTTCCCTATGCTTTTAAGTAGTATGTGAATATTTCCGTCAAATTGATGTTATGATTGTTATCCTGTCCATTCAAGTGGTGATATTATTAGAAGGTACGATGAATTTGACTACCAAAGGTAAATTGACATGTTTTAAAAGATTAGAGACGATCAAAACCAAACAAAAGTCGAGGAGCGCAATCAGAAGAAGGTCACGAGTTTGGTGGGCGTGACTAAACCTTTTCCTTTATACTTATATAAACACTTAGATATTACAACAATGAAGGCACAGAATGGGCTAGCTAGAACACCTTTCGTTCAGCCGCCATGACAAAGCCAAAAAATGGGATTACAAGTTATAACCCCAGCACTCTTTCCCCACCACAATATCATATACCTAATAAGAAGCAACCAAATCCAAATTTTGCCCCTGATCCACGTTCTTTTGGACCTCCAATTCTGAAAACTTTGCAAAAACCCCCACCAATGGTGATGTATTGTAAGTGCAGGCCTCAGTCTGCATGTAATTATCCCTCCTGTCCACAAAATTATCTTTGCAATCAGGCCCTCCAACCAAAGCCCCGACCAAAACATTAGGGTTTGGCTCTTCCCTGCCGTACCAATTATCATACCCTTGTGTGCACCCAATGAACCCTTTGTTCTCCCGATATGACTCCACGGACGCTCCTCTGTGGTGCACCCTCTGAGGGTATTTTGGTCCATATCCCACCAAGTAGCTCATGTTCAAGGGGTTGGAGCCCAAAATATAATCTATCTGCGATTTAGCAAAGCTGAGGACTTCTTCATGGCCTGCCGTTCCGCCATGGCAGCTGAGCTTTCGGTTCGAGGTTTTGAGGAAGTCTGAGTAGACTGTTAGGAGGAATGAAGCTGTTGAAACGTACTGCATGTTGTTCCATTGCCTTACGTACAGTAGGCCTGCCGGTGTGCGTTCCACATTTTTGGTGGCAGTATTTTTGTTTAGGCATGAGCACATGTAGTAGTCTGCTTTTGATTTATACAACTCCAGTATGTGAGAGTGTTTCATGTGTTTTTCTTCTAAAAGCAACTGCAGAAGAAGAAAAAAAAAAGAGAGCATATGAAACATAATGTACTCTACTATGAAGCGCTCAAAGGGTTGTAAATGTGATGAACTCGAACACAGAATCGTGGATACATAGGCGAAGCTTGTAACCTCATAATCTGTTTTTATTTTTAAGCACTTTAGAAGTAAGGAAAATCTTATTCAAAAACAAAACTGCAAAAGAGAAAGTGAATACTTTTAAAAACAACCCCTTTTTGTTCTTGTAAACAAACTCCGTTTAACTCCTTTATATACGGAGTGTTTAACTTTCTTAAATTTTGAGATTTAAGGATGGCAAATGCGACAATGTCAAAACTCGAGTCAAATGGACATAAAATTGTAGATGCAGAAATGAATGTTATTAAACACTTGATTCATTTCTATTATCATGTAAGTACGAAAATCTGATTTGAACATAACACCGCAATTGCATATGTGAATGTTTTTAACCACTTAATCACTTTCTATTATTCAAATTAATACTCTTGCATGTGAGGACAATTTTACAGTTGTAAAAACCTTCCATTAGCTAAATTTACTTATAATATTATATGTCACTAGCAGTATACAACTATATACTTATCTATTCTCTTATATGATTATCTCTACGTACATACGATAGATTAATCTTCTCGTGCATCATATGAGGACACATGGCACCTACTCTCCCTTTCAACACATGTGGGTGGGTCTCTAGATAAACGAAGTTTAGGGAGGTTGTGCTTCATCAAGCAAAGGAAGAGACATAAATGAACGAGATACATCCACTCAGTCTTAGAAGTGGGCCATCCCCATGCAAACATCAGGCTCCACGTTAAGATTCAATGCAAAACTGATTAGATCAGCGATCTTTACTCCACTCCACGACGACATCTGCCGATCTAGCTAACAGCACAATATCACCTCTCCGAGTTGAGATTTATTCTAAATTTCCGTGTTCAGAACTGATAAACCAGTTTGGACCATTTATTTTAAACCTTGCTGTCCTCATTAATTAATTTTATTGGCCAACTCACACATATCAAAAGTCCAAATCTTTCTCTTTTTTTAACCATCCAAATCTTCGAATTTTTATGCTCAAAACACAAAAATCCGTAGAAGATCTCGACTTCATCTCTCCATCTTTTACTAGAGTGCACAAACTCTACTCAGGCATCGTGGGGATGACCTTTGTACGTTCTATCAACCACTCAGTGTAAGATTTCACATTGCCCAGGGGTAAGGATCCTGTAAACCTTATATGTATATTCATATCTCTACCTAACACGAGGCTTTTTGAGAACTCACTGGCTTCGGATTCCTTCGGAACTCCGAAGTTAAGCGAGTTCGCGTTAGAGCAATTCCAAGATGGGTGACCCACTAGAAAGTTCTCGTGTGAGTTCTTAGAAACAAAACAATGAGGGCGTAGTTGGGGCCCAAAGAGGATAATATCGTGCTACGGTGGAGTCGAGCCTGGGATGTGGTGGGGGCCCGGATCGGGATGTGACAATTTGATATCATAACCAATCCCTAGCCGGAAGTGTGCCGACGAGGACGTCGGGCCTTTAAGGGGGGTGGATTGTAAGATCCCACATCGCTCAGGGGTGAGAATCCTATAAGCCTTATATATATATATTCTCATCTCTACCTACTACCTAGCATGAGGCCTTTTGGGAACTCACTGGCTTCGGGTTCCATCGGAACTCCGAAGTTAAGCGAGTTCGCGCAAGAGCAATCCCAATATGGGTGATCCGCTGGGAAGTTCTCATGTAAGTTCCTAGAAACAAAACAGTGAGGGTGTGGTCGAGGCCCAAAGCGGATAATATTGTGCTATGATGAAGTCGAGCTCAGAATGTGATGGGGGTCGGCCCGGAATGTGACACTCAGACTATGACTAGTGGCAGAACTTTCCTTGGTACTGCCATGCAAAGCATCATTTTGCACATGGTTTTGTTTGTAGAAGATAAATTTCCCTTTTATTTTTGGTGCCTAATTAAAAACCCTAGTTATGTGCCTTAATTTGGGCTCACTCCGTCAAATGACGAACTTAATAAAGTAAAAGCATGACGTAAAAGTTTGTTTTATCATTTCAAATTTGAATGCTAGAAAAGCTAAATCCCAGAAAGATTTGAAGAGAGTAGAATTTGTGGCACCTATGGAACTAGACCACAATCAAAAAGAAAAGTTCAAAGAAAAAAACCAGCAATAAACTCCCCTCTGGTAGCGAACTTCACACCAACATTCATGAAAAACCAGATTAACGTGTCAAATGTATTTAAACATTTTTTATTTTCTAAATAAGATTTAATTGCAGTTTATATAACGTGATCAACAAACACGATAGATTGTTTTGTTCTTGAGATATAAAGTGAGAAGTTGAGAAGTTACCTTTGACGCAAGGAGTTGAAGGCCAGCGTACTTAACGTCCCAACTGAACTCTGTAATTGCCCAACCAATGCCACCAAAGCTATGAGCCTTGTTAATTACATACTTCAAATACTCCTCATTGTCGGTGGCTTTGTATAGCCACAAAGCTGCCCACAACAACTCGTCCTTAAACCCACTCACCGATGCATAGTAGCTCTTCACCACTCCCAAGCTCCCATCGTACTTCTCCCTATACTTGTCCCCAAACTCAAACAACTACACATACATCGAATAAAAAATAAACCTACTTTAGTCAATCGCATACAGTTACATGTTTAACTTTTTTGTGTAACAATGTGTTGATAATTTAAAACATTGTCATAATGATATTTAATTACGTGTAAATTTTGTCAGCATTAAGTTAAATTCGTACCTGCTGGGCATGGTGTAGGAGGAGGTGAGAGTAATGTGAATTACTTTTCTTGAACACTAAGGCCGCGGCCGCCATTGCAGCGGCGGTCTCTCCGGCAAGATCCGACCCGGGATTTTTCTCATCTATCTTGTAAGCTTGCCTTGATGTGGTCATGTCCTCCGGCCGTTGCCAGCAGTAATGATCAGTGTCCCCATCGCCCACCTAGGAATATTATAATGAAGTGAATATTAAATGTGCTCAAACAGTTTGGTGCTAATTAAATAATTGATTTAATAACAATGTGTGAAACTGCTGATTACAGTAATTAAACGTATGAAAATTATATGTACCTCTGCCCATAACACATTGGGACTAGTGTGAGCTTTGATGAAATAATCAGTCCCCCATTTGATCGCCTCCATTGCATGTTCCAATTCTCCGGCGGCCGCAATTTGCTGCCGGTATTCTATAACACTCCACGACAGCATCGTCACCGTAAATGCCATCGGCAGTCCGAACTTGACGTGGTCGCCGGCATCGTAATATCCTCCTACCAAGTCCACCTACACAAACAATATATCCAATAAATTCATACTTTAAATTTTTATTAGTACAAACCTACTAAAATATAGCATTTTTAGGACATTAACGTACCCCTTGCTCTAGGCCATCGGTGAGGCCGGAATGGTCACGCCAGGTGACTCTCTGGTTGTACGGGAGGCGGCCGGAGCGTTGCGATTCGAAGTAGAGGAGGCTCTTTGTGAGGGCATCACTGTAATTTAAAGCTCTGGCGGTGGTGAAAATGTTGAAGGTGAGTAGAAGAAGAAGAACATGATGATGCTGCCGTTGTGTCTTCTTCTCCTCCATTGTTAAGTCTTTAAATTTCTTCCCTCCTCTGAAGTTTTGTTCCTTTCTCCAAAGGAGTGAAGGGAAGGATGGGAAAAGTGAGCTAGCTCACTTTGTCAGTTTGAAAACTAACTTTGTGTCTACTAAATTGTGTGTTTAGGCTTTGATAGGTGTCTTTGTGCATGTGACTTTCACATGAGAGCGACTTTATAGTCCCACACAACACTAGCGTGATTTTTGCAACGGCTTGACTCTCTTTTTTGTACCATACATAGAGAATAAAGAAACTTTCTGATTAGGGCAGTTCTCGTGCTAGGGTTAATTATCGTAAACTTAAATGAGACTAAAATATAAGAGATTTACGTTTTTGTGAAGAGATGTCATACGAATGACATGATCAAACACTCGTACTTAAGATTTCTTATAGAGAAACAAAAATATTTTTACGACACTATCTACCAACATAAGATAAAAGACAATGTTCTTACGAATCTGTCAGGCAACATAAATTGTCTGAAAAACCTAAAGGATACAATACTTATATTTTTAGACCATGAATCCGCACTACTAATCATCTTTACTCTACGCTAAAATATGATATTCGAATTCACTGTCTACTGATGTAATTATTTTTCAACGGCAACAAGAAAAAACAAATGATCATATGGCATATGGATATGGATTATGGGAAGGGTTTGTGTGGTTTTTGATGATGGGTAATACACCAATAATATAATTGGTTTAAGTATCCCGACACATGATTAAAGTCTCATAAAAGTATGTTAGAGAGTGGCTCAGATGCCCATGATTTTTCTAAAGATTGCTTGGACCAGAGGATTAGATTGTGTAAGATCCATACATTCATTTGTATGGTGTAAAATACTGCTGTGCAGGGCCAGGGTTTGTAGCTTAGAAGTTTCTCTTCAAGTATATAATTGGGTCTTGGACCTATTGGTCTCTTGGACATGGGAGTGCCAAGTTGTCACCATAAATGTTTAGGGCATGGCTCTCTAAGTTGTCTTGTAATTTGTCAAAACTCAAATTACAACAAGGGCACTTAAGGAGAGATACAGAAATAGAAAGGTCGATCAATGATATTTGAACAAGACACGGTAAGGAATTTCGTTATCTTAGAACCGTTATAGTTACGGCTGCCGTTCACTCGGACTTCGGTCGCCGACTCCCCTGTCATCAAGTCACTAACTTTCATGACCTTCCGGCATTGGGCAGGCATCAGCCTCCATACATGATCTTACAACTTTGTGGAGGGTCTTCCTAATTGCAAGAAGCATACTAAACAATAAGAAAATAAAGGGCATGACATTGATTTTGTTCTTGATTACAACAATCAATCAAGAATGATGGTGGTGGCCTTGTACAGTAATCCCATATCATATCATAATCATGTTGTTTAGTAAAATGCTTAACAATTGATGACAAAAATTAAGAAAAGTGAGCATGTTCCTAAAAAGAAGAGCAATTCCGGAAATCTGGTAGTGTAGCTCTAATGCCTAATTTGCCTATAGTGGTATGTGCGAGCAACGACCCCGTTTTGACTGCCCAAATTTGTTGTCGGTCGACCTACCTCCACGTGGAAGACAGATGAGAGCACGGGCTCCTCCATTTGCGGTGACTGGACTGGCGAAAAAGCAAAACCGGTTGAGCCGGTCAAACGGAAGCACCGACTGGCAGTGGACCTGCGCATGCTCCCTCGCCGACAGCGCGGGAAATTTACGTAAACAGTGATTAAAATCAAAATTGATTTCAACCTCAGCACGAGAAAAACGAAGGTTCCGACGAAAAAATGTGCTGCGTGATTACGACTGACTGATGACCCCAATTGACTCTCCATCCCTCCCGCCGGAACTATGCAACATGTAAATTAAAAGTGATTTTTTCTGTTCTTTTTCAAAACGGAATCAGTTGGTGATTTCTCAACGACAGTACGTTCACATTTTTAGACCAAATTATCTATTAGCTATATTTAGGGTGAACTGTTAATTTAGTTTTTAAATTATTACTTGAGTAAAATAGGTTCCTAAACTTTTTTTGAAAAAATTAGTCATCAAAATAATAAAATTTGCCAATTATATTCCTAATGTTAGATTCGAAACTATTTTATTCAATTTTTCATCAATTTAAATCACGTGACTTTCATTTGATACACTTTAGATAGTAGATTGATAGTTTTTCATAAGGACTTATTTTCTTCGAAGAAATAATGTATAGAGTTAATTTTGAAGGGTAAACTAGATGTTATATTCGCAACCTATATGCAATATTAATGGCTTATAGGCAAGAAAATAGTGGCAATACCCTCTAAAATGTGTCATGTGACTTAAGTTAACGAAATATTAAATAAAAAAGCTTTGAGTATAATTTTAGGGATGAAATTAGCAGTTTTTAAAGAATTTTGGAACTTATTTTACAAAAAAAACAATTCAAGAACCTAATTTTCACTGAAGTGATAATTCATGGACTAACTTGAAAGTTTACCCTATATATTAAAAAGTTTTTATATAGTAAAACGTTTTAAATGGATTTTGAAAATCTAATAAAATTTTGGTATTGTTTATAATATTTACATGTGTTTAGTACAATTATTATAGAATGTTAGATATAATTTATGTGATATATATATTTAATACAGTCATCATCAAACCATTAAGATGTTAATTGTATTAAATATATAAGTATTGTGGTCAAACTCTAAAATTTTATATACGTTTCAGAATGATAGAAAATGTAGATCTTAATTATAAATGGAGTCATCCAAAACTTGTTATGTTAAGATAAATTTGGGGTTAACCACATTTTTACACCATCAGGGTGCGTTTATTTCACCGAACTATCTTAGACTAGACTAACTTTAGGGACTAAGCTGGACTAGCTTAGACTAGACTAAATTGGACTGATTTAGTGAAGTGTTTGGTGCAGTGTCGGACTAAGAAGTAGGATTCTAATATTATATAATTTAATCTATATCTATAATATTTTATTGTTTACTTAATATATATTTATTAATATTCTATTATTAATTTATCTTTTTCTTATTTTCTAGAATCATTCTTTCTAGCTAACCTTCTTTTTTTTTACCCCTGCCGTCTCTCTCTCCGTCTCCACTGTGTATCCAAGTTTCTTCGCTCATTTTCTCCCTCTGTTGCACATACTATTCGAATTAAAATCACAAAAAATGGAGACTTGCCTTCCCCCAAAAAACTCCAACCCCTCCCTCTCAAGCTTAGCATCGCCAATTCAATAGCAGCCATGGTGAGTTTTCCTGTTCAGCTCATTCTCTCTCTTCCCTTGGTTTTTTCTTTCAAATCCCTCTCTCTCTTCCCTTTGCCTCTTTTCCCATCCAACTTCACTTGTTCTTCCATGGGTGGGGATTGAAGTTGTAGACGACACGAGTGGGTGGGGCTGGGTATGGGCGTGGGTAGGGATTGGAGTTGCAGACGACAAGGGGTGGGTGGAGGAAGACGAGATGGATGAACCCAACCATCGAAAATCGAGGTCGAGGTCGATGTCGTCGAAAATTGAAGACAGAGATAGATGAACCAGCCGTTGAAATTGAGGTCAAGGTCTATGCCGTAAAAAATTGGAGATTGAGATGGATGAACCCAGCCGTAAAAAAATTTCTATCTTCCAAGTTCCTATCTTTCATTGAAGCCCATGTCGTAGAAAATCGAGGTCGATGAACCCAGGGTAGTGAAGCAGACAAAGGCGATAAAGGATGCAGCGAGAGTGGACGAAGGCAAGAGAGGATGATGGAAGGTTTTAAGCTAAACCTGTGGATGTTGGGGTCTCTCGCTAAGACCGGCTAGTGAAGCTGTTTTTGAAAGCGAGTTCCACCTAGTGCCATTAATGTTAGTCCCGCAAGCCACCAAACACAAGACTACAATCCAATCCAATCCAGTGAAGGCTAAGAAGGGTAAACAAACGCCCCTCAAGGTTTAAGGTGATCTTCAAAATGGGCCATGAGGTTTTGATTTCTCACATTGTAATCTAAAGTTTTGTAATTATATCACTTTGAACATTTTGCATGTATAGCTAATTCTTCATTAAATTGATGATTTTTCGATCAATTTAGTACAAATGTGACTTACATGTCAATCCAATTACGGATTCCATGCTCAATATGTCATAATTTAATGAAGACTCAAATAATTTGTTAGGTAAAATGCATGACTTGATACAATTTTAAAACCTTAAGGTGTAATGTGAAATAGTTATAATCTCACGACCCAATTTAAAAATCCCTCCAAACTTAAGGAGCGTAAAATGTAGTTAGTCCTAAATATTGATATATCTGTGAGATTGAAGTAGATTCAAGATTTGATATAGATTTAACACCGAACTAGTGAGTCTGCTTGATTGTGGTTACGGACAGAGTGAAATTTCCTATAGCTTCTCTCGGGCCGAAAGAAGTAAATAAACGTAACTTGTAGCTAGTTGTCCCTTTATTTAAATTTTTAAAAAAAAAAAAAAAAGGAAAGAAGATTTGATACAGATTCTTAAAAGGTGATCTGTTTCTTGAAACATTTGATAAGTCGATCGGGATAGTTAGCATTTAATGAAGCAAATTTCATATATGTCGAGAAAAAAAAAGGTTGAAGATGACTTAGCTTTCGACGGTAACATGATCACAATTGTATATATAATTTTAGTAAGTTCCTTTTGTGAATATTGTATTGGTAAAAGTTTGATTTGTATGGCCTAGATGTTCCTGAAGATCCTCGTTATAATCTCCTTTTATTGTTATCAAATGAGAATGACATAACGATGATGATGTCAAACATCTGCGGTTAATATTATTACAAAAAGAAGCGGAATTTGACATCAGCATGAGATGATAATGAATTTTTCATCGACTTGATTTCTATTTTTTACAACCAATCACTTTATACCTTATTTAGTTACAAATTCACTTTACCAAGTTACCAGACTCAGATGAACCCTAAGTTCAGTCCGTTGATATGATATCTAGCTGCTGTTGGGTTAATACAATTTCGGTCCAGATGATCACATCGACCCAAGTTAGGACTCCGGCTCAAATTGGGCTTGGGATCCAATTGGAAGACTACACAGTACACAAACCACAAAATACGATAAGGTCCGCCACGTGTTTTATTCCTTTGTGGGTCCCGGTCCCGCCCCTGTCCGCTTGAGAATCACGTGCTGATCACGTGACACTAAAAATATCTGGATGATCGCGCTCCTCGAGAAGTTAACTTCGTCTCTCTCTCTGCTCACTGTGATCCAATGTGGTTGGCTACTACCGTACATCACCAGCCGGTCCGTCCGGTTCCGACGATCTCCACCGCGGGTCCGAACCCGAAACTCGTGCATCCCTGTCTTCCGAAACCGACAACGAAACCGTTTCGGTTCGGACCCTTCGGTGTCCGGCTCCGCCTTAACAAGTACAAAGTTTCGGCGGAAAAGAAGCAGCTCGCCGAGTTAGGGACTCAGAATTCAGGTCTTCGATTCTCACTTTATACAATTCGAATTATATTAATCCGAATATTAAACTGTAATTATTGTAATTTTATTTAGTAATTATATAAATTTATTTTGCAGATAGTGAGAAATTAGAGGTAGGAGAAGAGAAAGTTGTAGAAGAAGAGAAAGTTGAAGGTTTGGATTTGGGATGGTTAGCTGCTTTTCCGCACGTGTTTATAGCTTCCATGTCGAATTTTCTGTTCGGTTATCACATTGGGTCAGTCTCTGACTCGCTGTAACTTGCAATTGTATTTAAAGTGTTAATCTTTTTTGTTAGTTATGAGTTGGGTGGGCATGTTTTTGTGCAGGGTGATGAATGGTCCGATTGTTTCGATTGCCCGAGAACTCGGTTTCGAAGGGAATTCGATTCTGGAGGGACTTGTAGTTAGCATTTTCATTGTTGGTGCATTTCTTGGAAGCATATGCTGCGGTACAATTGTTGATAAACTTGGTTGTAGAAGGACTTTTCAGATTGCCACCATTCCTCTCATTCTTGGGGCATTGATAAGGTAATTCAAGTTGATATTCGAGTTTTGAGATGCATATTCGACGTTGTGTCCATGTTGGTATCGGCATTTGTGTTGTGTTAGTGTGCATTTTAAAACTTTTTGATGATTGGTTCATTTCGTTTCGTGACAGTGCACAAGCTCATTCCTTGGATGAAGTGACTTTTGGAAGGTTTCTTGTTGGCCTTGGCATTGGTGTTGACACTGTTCTTGTACCAATCTATATCTCAGAGGTAAATCTTCGTATTGGTTTAGTTGTGTTTGCATATTTTGTTCACCCTTCCAAGATGATGATACTATGTAGTTGAAATCCATGTTTCAGCGATAGTAAATGCTCCATTTCTATGGACTATCAAGAGTTTGGGTGAAAGTGAAACTCATGAAAGTTGACCAAACTGCTTCGTTCTAATAAATCGCCACTACTAGCATAGACTTTTCTGGACCTTATTTAAGTTCTCATTGAGCTTTAACACCAAGGTACACAATACAGCCGTAAATTAGTCCTTGCTAGAAAGTTATAAAAAGTTTCTTAATGGGTCTGACACGTGCCCTTCGTTCTTGTTTAGAAGATTGAAGGTTATACACGATAATGCTTCTTCTCTGCATCACATGCATTGCATATCTGGAATGAAGGTTACTCATCTATCCTACCATATACCTTGCAGATTGCTCCAACAAAATATAGGGGTTCATTGGGAACCTTGTGTCAAATAGGAACGTGCCTTGGGATTATTTCATCACTGTTTCTTGGAATTCCCTCTGAAAATGATCCGCACTGGTGAGGTTCTGTTTATGCAGGGATTTTTTAAGAACTACTTTTAGCTTTTACAATGACTGGACCATTTAGTGCTATCAAGAATATTTTAATATCTGAGCTTATATATTAAAATGTTTTGGCGTATCCGGTTTTTAGGTGGAGGACGATGCTTTATATTGCAAGTGTCCCTGGTTTTGTCCTTGCTCTTGGAATGCAGTTTGCTGTAGATAGCCCCCGTTGGCTATGCAAGGCAAGACTCTCTCTCTTATTGTAGAAGTATGGAATTTATTTTCAGGTGTGTTGTTCCTCAAGCTTTAATATGTTGTTTGTGCAGGTAGGGAGACTGGACAATGCTAAAGAAGTTATCAAAAATGTTTGGGGAGCATCTGAAGTTGAAAGGGCGATTGAAGAATTTCAGTCAGTTATCAGGAATGATGGTAGTGATTTGGACAGCAGCTGGTTTGAACTTTTGAAGGAGCCAAACTCAAGAGGTTGTATCAAGGTGGCGGACTTAGGATGTCAGCATTAATGGCATCTTTGTGTCAAACATCGTATAAAACTACGGCACTTGCATTTAGCATCACCTTCTGTACATGAAAAAAAATTGCCTTTTCTTAATTAGAGGGTGATTGGTAAATATAAGAAGTTTTATGTTTGGAAACTCCTTGATTTGTACATGCAATATTTTTCTCTGAATTATGTGCTGGCTTTCAAATGATTCCTTTCGAACTGTAGAAATCCTTACTTATCGACAAATCTTTGCATGGTTGCAGTTGCATTCATTGGAGGCGCCCTTTTTGTACTTCAACAGTTTGCAGGCATAAATGGAGTTCTTTACTTTTCATCATTGACTTTCGAAGACGTTGGAATCACAAGTAGCGCTTTGGCAAGTTTGTTGATCGGAGTTACGAACTTTGCAGGTTTGAGATAGTCTCAGTGTATTTGTAGAATGATGGTTGTTTCTTGAAGAACCTCTCACCCACATCAATTGTGGTCATGGCAGGGGCACTTTGTGCTTTGTACTTGATTGATAAGCAGGGAAGGCAGAAGCTCTTGATTGGAAGTTACTTGGGAATGGTGAGCTGTATTTGGAATTAATGCTTGGAGACGATTAGAAAGTTACCATGCATAAAATCCTTAACATTAAAAATAGGAGGGCGATTCTGTGTTTCATGAGTTGGAAATGCAAACACGGAATCATATTAGCAAACCTATGACTTAAGTAAGAAATTCTGTGTCTGTGCAGGCACTTTCGATGTTTCTTGTGGTCTATGCCATCAGTTTTCCGTTAGATGAGCAACTGAGTCACAACTTATCAATACTTGGAACAGTCATGTAAGTCTGCAGTTTGTATGATCCCACACATAATAGTTTCACATAAACGGGTAGTCAGGCACATTTAACTCATCAAAATACTATCAAGAGGTAATTTGCTGATGTCCGCCTCCTCTATTTATGCTTTCGGATAGTCAGGCACATTTTGTGCTCTTAAGAGAACTCTACTGATTTTCTTTCTCATCGCACAATTTTGTAGGTACATATTCACCTTTGCAATAGGAGCTGGCCCGGTGACTGGCCTTATCATACCAGAACTTAGCAGCAACAGGTCACGCGGGAAGATCATGGGATTCAGCTTTTCTGCGCATTGGGTGAGCCCTTGAATTTTGTTCTGGTTAATATTTAAAATAAATGTCCTGTTTTTTCTTTTGTTCTATGATTTATTAATGTGTTCTCACAGTTAAGAGCGGCCAGGTTATTTCCCTACTTTTCCAAATCATGTTTTGCATTTGGTCCTTCTTTAAATGTTTACTTTTTTTTTTTCTAATTCATGCTAAATTTGTGACTCAGGTTTGCAACTTTTTGGTGGGTCTATTTTTCCTCGACTTAGTGGAGAAATTCGGCGTTGCTCCAGTTTATGGTACCTTCGGTGGAGTCTCCTTGTTGACAGCAATTTTTGCAAACTACTTTATCGTTGAAACTAAAGGCCGCTCCCTTGAGGAAATAGAAATGTCACTAACCTCCGATTTCAGGGCTAGAGACAAGTGAGAGCTCAAAGATCACGTTGAAGTTTCCACGATGGAGATTTTTTGGCGGTCATTCTTTATGTTTCGGTCTCCCATCTCCAGGCAAGCTTTGTAGGATTATAGGATCTGATATTGTACATCACACTACACATACATGCTGTTAAAGCTGGCCATTTTACTCGATTTCATTCTAGTTCGGTTCCCGGAAAATTCTGTATGGTGAATACTTAGTACGCGTCAAATTATTCAGTCGAATATTCGGTTTGGTGTTGATTGGAAGTCAATTTTCATGGTTCACACATTGACATTTTTGAACTGAATGTGATATGTGCGTATACCTAATACGGCTATATCGCTTCCAAAGACCACCAACAACCCAGAGAAAGTGAAAGAGTCTTCGTCTTATGCTTATAAATGGTCTCCAAACCAGGAAGATACCACATCTCATTGAGTTATAATGTGGAATTGATATCGGAAAATATCTTGAGTTTGAATTCTTACTCATTCCATGACAGGGATTTGGGTCCTTGCCGGATTCTTTCCCTAGGGATCAATGAACATGACACTGTTGATAAAAAATCGTGCGGCCATAATTTTTCGTTTTTTATATTTTTCACGTAAAACGATGGTACTTTACTTTTAAAAATATAAAAAATATTTAATTAGGACCGCATGATTTTTTATTAACGATTCGTATTCGATGATCCCTAGGATCTCAGGGAGAAGAACCGGCGAGGATTCAAATCCCCATGGCAGAAGAATAAGTTTACCAAAAAGCATTTAAGTTTGTTCACGACCGAGTCAATATACAATTGTGAATTATGATTGTAATTTAGGAGACTTGTTAGTGAGTCGAGAACATGAATTTAGTATACTAAGTCATATAATATAGGTGGTCAATTTTTTTTTATTTTTTAAGTATCGAATCAGTTTATATATTTAATGTACCGATCGTGTTCCTGGCACATTGAAAATCTTTGTTATTTACTCATCTCTTTAAACTCAAGTCGAGTTCCTGATTTAACAACTTATAGTTTTAATAAAAAGACAAAATAAAGATGTAAGTGAATCGTATCATGAAGTGACTTTTCAAGGTAAAAATGTTTTTAAGGTTAAAAATGAACAGTACTAGGAGTGTTTCGTTAAGATTTTCTTAAAATAATGGCTTAATTGGATTACTAATTCTCGTGATGATATTGTAGTTTAAAGATAGCTCGTGATAAAAAAACTAAGATGTAAGCCCGTGATAAATTTGGTTAGGATTTATGTCCAAATTGAAATTTTCTCTTTCACCAGTATTAAATTTGAGATTAGCCTTTATAAACACGATATTGACCTAAAAAGAACCTTTCCAAAAAGAATGCTGTAATTACTTTTTTTTTTTTAAAAGAAAAAGAAAAAGCAAAAAGGCTGATGGCGGGCGAGAACTTCACATGCCCGCGAAAATTCCAACTGTCGATAACGTCCAAGTCAGCGTGAGAGTTCAGCTCCCCACTGGGCCCATTCCTGTCGTGCCACGTGTACGTTGTGACCAACTTGACCGTTTACGCGACGCTTTCCAACGAACGAACGCACACTGCATTAGACTTTAGCATTCGGCATTTCTTCTTATTCTGCGTCCGGCAGAGATTGGAGTTTCGTCGCCACGGAAGCCGCCAAAATTTTCTAGGGTTTCTGGAGATTTCGGGTGCGCGCGAATGTCGTCGTCGGCGGAGACCAGCGACGGAGAGCACGAGGTGGAGCTGATCGTGCACGACGCATTACCATCGGGGGATGACGGTGGCGCGGCCGTCGCGGACGAGATTGCCCCGCTCTTGACGCAGCCGGAGAAGCCCAAAATCAACATTTTCACCCTCTCTTATCCTCGAAGAACATCTAAGGTACGATTCCTCACTTTAATTAATCCAAGATTTCATTTTTTTTTTGTTCTAATTTCAAATTTTGTTGATTACGACGATTTTGATTTGTATAGGAATGATAGCATTTCTAGGGTTGAATATGTTTCCCTGTTTGGTTTCTCTGAAAATTAAGGAAGTGAAACTATGATCTACTTAAATTTTGAAATTTAGCACTTTCAGTTTTCTTGTACTCCAAATCCAAAAGCAGTGAAAATTTGAAAATGCTGGTTGGTTTTGTAGTTTAATTATGCCTCAGTGATTCAGAGCGATTGATCGGTTTTGGTTCCTTCTTAATAGTATAATAATGATTGTGTTGTCATTTTGGAGGGAAATGTAGAAGGGAAAGTACAGTAATATTGAATTCTGCAATGGTGGTTTTTGGTTGAGTTGATTGATAGTTGATACTGTGTATCTGTGTACAGGATCCGGTACGGAAAGCACTTGAAACGGAGGCGTCTGCAGTAGCTCAATTTGTTTTGTGGGTATGGAGTGGATCAAGATACTCTGGTCTAATGTGTATGGCCATCTCATCTACCATCTACTTTGTCATGGAAGTTTTTGCTGATGTTTTTTCTGGTTAGTAAGTTCTGCATTCCGTTCATCACCTGAACTGCAATTCGGATAACTTTTTTTCGCTGTATGTTGCCTCACTTTCACTTGTCCTCTTTTTCATTTATACTTTACGTTTCTATTTTATTATGGCAGTTCAGTCCATTCCTTTGCTTGAGGCTGCATTTACAAGGTGTACAATTATCTTGGTATTGTCATTTGTATGGCTGAAAAAGTGTGGACAGCCAATATCTGGGCTGGCAAATGTAAAAAATCTTTTGATTTCCAGAGCCCTTACGGGATATCTCTCACTGATGTGTTTCATTTATTGGTAAGTAACCTTTTATGTTTTTTCATGTTTCTTTGGTAGGAGTATTTACTCGTTCTTTGGTGTCAATGTATTCATGGCTTGATACCTGCCTCATTGACATTAACAGTTTCCATGCTGCATTCTGCTCGAGTGAAAATGTAATTGTATTTGGCTAACTTATATTATGAAGTTTGTTATCTGTGATATGTTATTCTTGTCCACTACAGTATGTTTGAAATTCTTTTCAGGCAGCTTGTGAGCTCTGCCTTTTACAACTTGATTCTGTAACTGGGCAAATACCACATAAATAACCGAAAGTAGGCTCATTTTTCATTTCAGCATTCAAAGGTTACCTTTGTCTCAGGCTATTGTATTGAGCTTCACAACTCCAATAATGGCTTCAGTTGTGGCAAGAATCATTCTACATGAGAAGTATAAAATTTCAGACGTTGGAGGTATGTCTAGTTTGAATATAATGTTGCATATATTATATGTTCTTTTTGTTTGAAGCTTTTAGCTTGTAGAAAAGTTTCTTAGAGTACCTTTTGATATTCAGGGATTGATGTCTTTGTCATTTGTCATTCATTTTCCAGGTCTTGCGTGCAGTTTCTTTGGTGTGCTCTTCATTTATCGACAAATGCTTACCACACAAGGTACAGAAGTGGGTTAACATAATCTTATATTATACACTGGATGTGGATGCTTTTGATATGTAGTAAGAGTTTAATAACTCTTCTGGTCTATGTCTAAAGTTCGTAAAGACAATTTTTTGGGTGTGTCACATGGATGTATATGCTGTTGCATGGCTTATCATGTCTTTTCACCTTTCTGCAAGAAAACTACTCTGATATGGTAGTCCACCAAGGGCATATATAATTTCCTACAAATGAGGAAGAAAGTGTATACACGTTTTGTGTCACACTCCATCTATTTTTTACAAAAAGAGTTTAAGCTTATATGTGTGATTGAGAGACTTTAATGCATGTCTTCAGATCATATGTGAGTAAATACTATGAGCTAGTTCATTATTGCCTAGTAACCATGAGAAGATTAATGTTTGTAAAAAGAAATGGTCCCTCTAGTACAACAACTATATTTTTTAACTTACATTTCTTCTGTTATGGCCCCCTGCTGACAGCATAATATTACAAAATCTAATCAAATGGGCCTTCTGCATACAGTAATGTAAATTTTTGGTGTTTCCTCCTATTGCTTTCAGTCTTCCTTGCATTGTGGAATACTAACTTTTGAATTATGCATGAGAATTAGATAAAAATGGAGGAGAGAATGCAAGTGTCAGGGAAGCAGCTATATCTTTGCAGTCGTGGCCGGTTTACTTTCGTCCATAACTGGTGGAATCAGCTACTGCCTTACAAAGGCTGGATCAAAGGCATCTGATCAGCCACTGTAAGTATTCTCTGCATTTATCAATTATCCTTCACTTGATTAATCCTTCTAACTTCATGACATCAGGAAATGGTTGATAATGTGCTCTTTCTCTTTTATCTGCCAAACTATTGACACTGGAAAATTGCCATACTGATACTGTCCGATTGTGTTCAAGGACCCTTTAAGTAGCTTGATTCCCTTTTCAGTTCCTGATGGTTTTATACAACGAGGATAACCTTTAATTAAGATGTCTATAACTGTTTAGGTTCCATGATTATCCCGGCTAGAAAAGATGGAAATCATCTGAGAGATTACATGTTGTTTGAATCTCTAAAATGTAGATAATAGTATAATACGGTGGGAGCAAAACATTTCATTGCATCCAAGTGCTATACACAAGTTTTGAGTGATAAAACTAACTAGATGAATTCTCTGTTCAATTTACAGGTTGACAGTCTTTTCATTTGGTTTACTGGCGAGCCCTGCTTCAGCAGCAATTTGTTTGTTTACCCTCAAGGTAAATTGATGTCGTGGTTGCAGTTCTGTGCTTTTTATTTTTATATTTATTATCATTTCAATTGTACCACACTCCATATTAAATTTGTCACTGATCACTGATAGCCTAGCAACTTAAATTCCCCTACTTTTGTAATTTTTTTAGTTGAACGCTAGGAGTCCATCATGGCCGGGAGTCGTACTTAGCTTCAGTGCTTTCAGGTTATTGCTTTTACATGTTAAATAGATTTTGGGTTGTGCTAAATATTTACCCTTTCCTTTTTTCAGGACTTTGTTTTCCCAGATTTTTATTCGTTTTCAGTTATGATTGTACTCGGTGTTCTGGCCTTTTTTGCAGAGGTGCTGTTTTGAACTCTCTATTTTCCCTATTGTGCTGCTCTAGTTTATGGACTCCTATTTATCCGATAATGCTCCAGCAGTTATGGACTTCTGAACTTTTGTGCTCGTATTTCAGGTATTCTTGGCACGTGGATTGCAGCTTGAGAAAACCGGCAAAGTTGCAAATGTTATATACATGGAGGTACGTTTACTGTTTGGATGTAATTGCCACTTACATGATTGAATTACTAATTGAGAAATCTGGAAAGCGGCATTAAGTATAGCATCACCGAACGTGTGAAGAAATTTTGGTTCAACCGCCCACTACGATTCATTCACGCAAGTAAATGCGTTCTTGTTTTCCTTTGTTTCAGGCCGCCCTATCACAATTATGGGGCATTGGTTCATCAAGGATAGCTCTATCTTTTGGTCGAATTATCGGATGTCTGCTTATTTTGATTTCTGTTAGTTGCACCATGTATATTGGACCCGATAAAGATACGGAAGATGTACCCCTTCCTATGCATTTTTAAATTGTATGCGCTGACACCTGATTTCTTCAGCTCAATAGTTAAATGTAAGAAGTAAGATAGCAAAAGAAAATATTAGAGCCTTCATTCGCAACTGATTGACATGAGAAAGCTTGTCTTTAAAGCTGCCAAATATGGGCTTTTTAACTGTTAGAGCTTTTGTAGCCTTTTTCTGGCTGAATCTTAAGTGATGGCTATGAAGTTGGGCAGGCAACCAAGTATTTTGTAGAAATGTGGGCTTTTCCTACCGATTCTTCAATGACCAGCATCGGTCATGGACCTCATACTAAACTGGCACATGCCTATTTTTTCTTGTACGAATACTTACAGCAATAATACTAAACGAGGACTATGGATTATGACGATAACTATTCGTTCAAGGCAATTATGTAGGCATGGGCCGTAGAGAAATTTGAGATAAGATCATATGTAGAAATGCTAAGGAGACTTTCAGCATTCTCAACTCGTTGTTTATAAGATTCAAAAGTTACACCATGTCATAATCGAGTATTTTCCGTATCCTACCGGTTCACAATTTTGTTTAAATGAATGATACAGGTGAGTTTTAAAATAATTAGTCCAAAATTTTCGACTTTTTAGTCAAACAATGCATTACGGTGCGGTTTTGCAGGTCCTCTAACAAGGGGAGCCACCTAATACAGTTTCGACGACAAAAAAGGCTTCTAATACTTCAACGCATAACATACAAGTTCTTTCGAATCACAGAAACACTTGTGAAAAAAATCATACCAAATGCTTTTTCAACTTTTGGAATAGGCACTTAAAAAACATTTTAAAAAAAAACATCCAGCTAAAGAGAATTTCGTGAAATGAAGTAAAATTACAAATATAAAAGATGGAATTATATTTTAATTTCAGAATTTAAGATCTCAGACATCCAAGGAAGGATAAAAACAGCACAAGCTCTCAAGCCCGGCGAAAGGCGAAAGCTCTTAGGCGGCCACTGCGAATGTTCTTGAGAAACAAGCCTTTGGATTTATCATCACCGACCATTCACATTTTTTTTAATTTTCCTAATCAAATTATCAGATTTAATTTCCAGCTAAAAACAAATTTAACATGTTTATCAAAATAAGAAAACCGAATTAGTTTTAAAATTTGCATTTCAAGCCTCAGAAAGCCAGTTATTTGACATCAACAAAATTCAGTCGGTAATTCCAACTAAAATAACAATCCTCATAGGCTCAACAAATTATTTTCTAAAATAACAAAATAATTTTTTTTAATCAAAATCTAACAAATATTCAAGAAAATTATAAATGTAATCGCAGTAAATCGGCTCCGGGGACCAGTAAAAAAATTAGGATCCACAGGTTCCTATCAGAATGCGAAACAGAAGATCCTCGCTCTTGGTTCAATCATAGCAACGTCGGTCAAGGCCATTTTAGCTACCGTCGTCGTGGCATCGAACCTTTCGAAATAATCAAACAAAATAAATGAAAAAATTAAACTAAATAATAATTGCAGTAATCGGAAAAATTCATGACCCTCAGAATCCCGTTCCAAATCATACACGGCGGCGGCCCACCGGAGCCGCACGCCTGTTCCCGGCCAATGAACCAATCATTGGGGGATGGGAACGAGGCGGGCTCCGTTAGCGTGTGGCCGCCGCTGTATAAAGTGTCATACGGCACTTCCTATCACTTTGGGCATTCTTCCTCATTGAGATCGATCGGAAAGAAGATAAAATCAAAAACCCTAAAGGATCCTAAAACCCTAGAAATTGACTGAAACACAATTTGGGATTCGGGAAGAGAGGCGCGACTGCGGGAAGAGAGAGAACCACCAGAGCGATTTGTGAATTGATAGGACGAGAGGGGTTTATATAGGGAAGGTGAAGATGTTTGTAAAACCCTAATTGCCCATATGGGCTTTGTTTTGGCGGGTTGGGCTCTATTTGGGCTAATACGACCCATATAACTATTGGGCCTCATAATTGGGCTAAAGAACGGGTCCACCCGGCCGGCCAGAGAGCATACGTTGCAAACAGGTTTGAAAATTTTCAGCGCATTGCTGTCTCTGAAAGCAAGAGAAACCCAGTGGAGAGAGAAGACCAACCAAACCAAATTGTGGTGGTTGCCGGAAGGCCGTTGTTTGGGTGGCGCGGCAATGTCGATGGGGACTGACAGCACTTGGGTGGGGAAGAAGCCGCTGCGGCGCATCGGCGGCATGGCCGACGCCCTCTCCATCGCTTCGGATCTCGGCTTCTCCGTCGCCGCTCCTCCTACCCAGGTAAACCCTCGCTCTCCTTTTTGCACATTTCTATGTCCTCCATGTTCAAGTTCAGTGTTTGGCTCGTTTGGACTTATGAGCTTTTACTCCCCATGTTTTAGCTTTCGTACATTTTTCAGATTTATGAGCTTAATTTTGAAAACCAGGTGGAATTAAATTGTTATATGTTAGTGGAAGAGGAAAGCTGATTACTTGGTTACTTTTGTAATGTGGAAGCTTCTTGCTTTGAATTTCAGAAAGTTGAATAATTTTTTGTGATGCAGGAAGAGCTTCAGAACTTGTCCAGTAGTACTGGTGAAAAGGGTGATGACTTGATAAAGGTTTTGAGGGACCTTACCTCTGTTCAGAGAAAAATAGCAGATCTGCAAGTTGAACTCCAAGGGAGAAAGGTGAGCTGTTGGAGTCTCTTTTTTCGTGTTTCGAGTTTGTGAGATTATCCCATCTGTTTTCACTGAATTGGGATTATATTGTCTGTAGGATGATAAAAACGTAGCGCATTTGACACATGCGAGTGAAATGGAAAAGAAGTGTGAAACTTTGGCAAGGATTACTACCATACTGAAAGATGTGATTCAGAATAAGGTAAATCTGTTGTGGTACATCATTGTGTGTTGCTTTGTTCTTGTTGTAAATTGGAGTTGTGATTGGATTGGTTTGTCTTTGTTAAATCATACAATGATTTAAGATTCATTATCATTTGCATATTCTGTCCACTGTGCATTCTTTGTCAAATCGTACAATGTCTGTAATAGTTGCAAAGTCTTCCTGGCCAGAAATGGAGTGGACTATAGCATCTCTTTCGAAGCGATTTCTGGTTTTCCTATCAAGAATATGCTTTAGTAGATATATTCCAGGCTAGTAATGTTATAAACCGATGCTTTGGTTATCATGTTCTTTGAAAATTGAATTTTGGTGGCATAGAAGAGCAAATTTACAGTCTATCATTCATTGAGTTTCTTTTTTATGCCACCTACATATATAGTTGTCGTCATTCAGATGCGTGTTTAATTCTCAGTAACACCCCTTTATGTTGTGTCTGAATAACACCTCCTTATTTATTTTGTTTCAAATCACTGGCAGGATCGCATCATAGCCCGTCTTCAACAACCATATTCACTCGATTGCATTCCAGTAGAAGCAGAGTATCAGGTTTGAATTCAGCAGTGTAAAATCTCTTAGGTTTGAACTCATGTAGGTTGTCTTGTATTTTACATTCTATGCTATGATTATACATGAGCCATTTTGTTTTGACCAGTCTAAGAGTGTTTGTTGCTAAATCCAAGTCATAATTTATGGGAGTTTAGATTGATCAAAAGATTCAAAACAATTGTTGGGAAAAATTTAATCACTACAGGGCTATTTGTATTTCATGTGAAAAAAACTGTTTTCTTAATGTTTCTGGAATCTTTTGCTTGTGCCTGTGCAGAAACAATTCTCTGAATTATTGATGAAGGCTGCTAGTGATTATGGGGCCTTGACAGCATCAGTTGCAGATTTCCAGTGGAGTCAGACATTTAAGGAGCCTCCTTCGGTTTGGGGGGTATGTTTGCGGAAGCTTTTCATTTGTTTCTAAATTACTAAGAATGCATGTAGCATAGTTGTTCTTTTTCCACATTATTTGCTTCAATTTTGACAATATTCCTGATGTTGCTTGGTTTATAAGCTACAAGACATTTGGTTGTTGGCAACTACGGAGTATAATACTGTTGCAATTTGCTGATTATAGCACTGAAGGAGTTGTTTACATTATCTGATCTACCATGTACTGTGATCTGAACGTGCGAATTAATAATGCAGATGTTGTAGAACTTTTTATGTTTGGAAATTACGTGTGCATGATGTGATCTTCATTTTTTTTAACTGATGCAGGAAATGCTTCGTCCAATTCCTGTGGCATTAGCATCATGCACCCGGTTCTTTGAAGCAATGTCTGCCATGAGGGAATCGTTTTCAACTCTTCAGCATCTCAGAGTTGGTCAGACTGATGCGCCCTCGCCTATAACACCAGGCAAGCAATCCTCCCGAAGAATACCAGGTGATTCTGAATGTGTAACTCCACCTCCTTGGAGAACTGAACCAAGCTTTGATGACTTAGCTATCAGAAGCTCAAGGACGGCTGAAGTTGAGCACCGAGAAGCCGAGGATGAAAATAGTGAAATGGATGGCACTAGCCACCGGAGATTGTCATGGCCTCCGTCAGTTAAAAAGAACGGTGTTTAGTCAAAATAACTGACACTCGTTTCTTGCGACTCACTGTATGTGTTTGTGTGATATAGTAATTGTATAGGTATCTGCAAAAACAATTCCAGTACAATTATACGCCTTGAAACAGTAACTTAGTTTGTGCAACAATACATATATTTTCTATTATGTCGAAATGTTTGATTATGCCTTCAAACTTGTATTCTTTTTTTGCCCCTACTATTGCTGGGCAGAGACGGGCTGAGTGTTGTTAAACCAAGTGATGATATGTTAAAATTTCGTTGTGTTTTGAGCCTGCCAAATAGGACTTTTAAGAAGACACCAAGAAGTTCTCAGGCCATCTCCAACCGACCTGCCCAAAGGGCTATAGGGTTAAAAATCGTTCGAAATATCACGAAACTCGTCTCCAACTAAGGGCTTGTGGGTCTCATCGGGCCAAAACCAAAAAATCAGGCCAATTGGGCCGGCTAGTTTTTGAAAGCCAACAACTACTTGGCGTTAGCATGACGTCAGCTAGCAAAGGCTAGTTGACACTAGGTAGCCGTTAGGTTTGAATGTTTTTATTTTTATTTTTTTCGGACAAATTTTTTTCCTATAAATACTTGAGCTATTCCTACATCATTTCTCACATAATTTTCACCATTCATACTATCTTACCTCATTTTATTTCAATTCTTCACATTGTATTTTCTAATAATTCACACACCTTCATCTTTTCCCTCTCCAATATCTCTGTCAATTACAGTTTGCAATGAATTCCAACTTTAGATCATCTTCACATTCCAACTAGGAGTTCTCATGCAATTCTGAATTGGAAGATAAATGGGCGCAGATGAGACGAGAAGATGAGGAGTCCGATGGAGAAGATGAAGCATGGCTCAACACAAAATATATGGCAGCAATGGCTAGGGTCATGGTGTGTCAGGAAACTGAAGAACAACCTCAATGGGATGGCTCTGTTGTTGGTCGCTTTTACAAACCATGAAATAGAGAGATGGAGCATGAGACTCTGATGAACAACTACTTCCACTCCAACTTGGTGTACATAGAAGAGAATTTCAGACGTCGCTTTTGGATGAGGCGTCATGTCTTTGAGCGTTTACTTCATGATGTCCAATATGTCAATCCATACTTTTGACAAAAGATAGATAAAGCAAGTCGCCCTGGTTTCTCACCTCATCAAAAGGTTACTATTGCACTCTGAATGTTGGCTTATGACTCCCTAAATAATGCGATCGATGATACATATAGTATGTCTGAGTCTACATGCCTTGATAATCTTGCTAAGTTCTGTCACAAAGTTGTTCAGATTTACAAAGAGGAGTACCTCCGTGAACCAAATCAAGCAGATATGGATCGGATCCTTCGCAAAGATGAAGACCGTGGCTTTCCGGGCATGATAGGATCATTAGATGGCAAGGAGGATTTAGTGGAAGATCAAGAAAGCCAACTATTATGTTACAGGCAGTTGCCTCGTTTGACATATGGATCTAGCATGCTTTCCTTAGAGTCCCAGGATTCCAAAATGACATTATAGTACACGGGCGTTCACCCCTCTTCAATAACCTGACGTAGCAACGGGCATCAATACAATATAGGGTCTTACTTGGCAGATGACATCTACCCAAAGTGGGCGACACTTTTCCAAGCAATTGCAAACCCTGTGGATGACGCCCAAAGGTGGTTTACCTTACACCAAGAGGCATACCGGAAAGATGTTGAGAGAGCTTTCGACACTCTACAACCACAGTGGAAGATCATTAAGGAACCGGCAAGAGGGTGGACTCGAGATAAATTGAACTCCATCATGATGTCGTGCACCATATTACACAACATGATTATGGAGGATGAGCAAGATGGTTATATTGATGGAGAGTCTGATGATGACCAAGATGATCCAAATAGGTCAAGGAGTGCTTGTGCGAAAATATATGATGGGCCTAATTTGCCTTTGCATTCAAAAACTAGTAATATCTCTTTAAATGAGTACATGAGGCACTATAGGATGATACGTTCGCATGTCACAAATAAGTACCTGCAACAGGATCTTGTTGCACATCTTTGGCCCAAAAGAAGTACGGAGTAGGCATTTAAGTTTTTTTTTTTCATGTTTTTTGAGTTTGAATAACTCCCCCAAGTTGTACTAGGATGGAGATTGTGTTGTTGTTGTTTAATGTTGTTTAATTTAAAGAGTACAACGTAAATGTTCAAAAACCTTATTTTAATATGATAGTTTAATTTAAGTAACCATATTAATTCAATTAAAATAATAGATTATGTTTGGCCTATGATCCTTGGGACCCCTTTGGTTGGAGATGGTATGAAATATGGTCTGACATTATTTGTTAAAATATAATTTCTTGAAGAGCTATAAGGAAACTCTATGACCCTTCTTTGGTTGGAGATGGCTAGCTCTATTCTCAATAAACTATCAACAGATAAGCCACTGAGACTCTAGAAGGTTCTCATGGCCCTTTTCACTTTTTAGCCATTATAATTTTGCTTCCCATGTAGGGTAAGGGCAAAATTCCATTGTTGAATTTAATAATTAAATAATGCAGATAATATCATCAAACACTTCTAGGTTGTTATTATGTTAAAGAAATTGTTAAAGTATTTAAGGATCTGTTTGGTACTGTATTTGAATCTAACTTTTTAAACTCAAAAACAATTTTCAAGTTTTAGGCCTTAAAAATTTGTTTGGTAGGATTATTTTCAAAAATTGAACTCAAGACTAACTCAAAAATATAGTCTATTCTCTAAAAACATAAAAAGTGAGTTTTTAGAGTTTTTAAACTTAAACCCACTCATTTATTTTCTCACCCTCCTCCCCTCTCACTCCAAATCTATCTCTCTAGTTTCTTCTTTTTTTCTCCTTTTTTTTTTTAACCTTTTTCGTCTCTCATCCAATCCAATCAAGTTTAAATTGTAAAATTTAAAAATTTTAAATTGCAAACCAATCAAGTTTTTGAATCTTAAAGAAAATTATTTTCAAGAAATGTTTTTAAGAAATGTTTTGAGAAATAATAAAAAATTTCAAATATGATACTAAACAGATCCTTAAAAATTCTATAAACTAAAGTTGTTATTAGCATTTAAATAATATCTTCGTAAACGCTTCACTTTTTGTTTTTTTAAATTCACAAGTGGCAGTTTGTGTGCGAAAATGAAAGATCAAATATGCAAATATTATGCACCAATCTCAAATGTCAATGTGGTCTAGGCTGTATCCGCGTTAAATATTGCCAATTTTGCATGCACCGTTCACATCTACCACCCTTAAAAGAAGATTTTCAGTGTGTTCGAAATATGAGCACATGCGCCATAACATTTAAAAAAAAAAATTCCTTCCATTTGTATTGTAACATAATGGTGTACCGCCAACGTATTTAGGGCACATGAAAAATCTCTCCGTTAAGAGGTGTACTACCTTGTGAAATGTAAAAAATCAAAACGAGAAGCTATAAGTTGGACATGGTCACTATAGATGATGCTTTACCACAGTAACTTAAAAGAATCATGTTTATGCACCTTCGTACAGATTAGATATCCACGACTCTTCTTCCCTTTACTAATTAACTATCTAACCCAACAGTATCAATAAAAAACTTGGATTATATCAACGTCATCCAACAGTATTAATATTATTGCTTCCGCAGCTAAGAAATTAACTTCCCAACATTCAACATTCCTATATTATTAGACTAACCAAGTGCGTGAAATATTACAACCAATCAAATTATCAAAACAACCAGCCCTCCACCCAATCAAAACGTAATTACCATAACAAAGTGCCACCACCATGCTTGCTTAGAGTTATAATAAAGTCTCAATTTTTATGATATCATTTTTCAATTATTCATCCATATTAATAATAGTAAACTACATTTTATATTTTGAGACATTTTGTCGAACAATTGGTAGATTGTTGTCGTGTGACATCCCACATCGCCCAGGGGACTGATCCTTAAATGTATATTCCCATCCTTACCTAGCACGAGGCCTTTTGGGAGCTCATTGGCTTCGGGTTCCGTAGGAACTTCGAAGTTAAGCGAGAAGGGGGTTAGAGCAATCCCATGATGGGTGACCCACTGGGAAGTTGCTCGTGAGTTCCCAAAAACAAAACCGTGAGGGAATGGTAAGCCCAAAGCGGACAATATCGTGCTACGGTGGTGGAGCGGGCTCGGGAAGTGATCCGCCCCGGGTCGGGATGTGACAATTTGGTATCAGAGCCTAACCCTGACCGCGTGTGTGCCGACGAGGACGTCGGGCCCCTAAGGGGGGTGGATTGTGGCATCCCACATCGCCCAGGGGACTGATCCTTAAATGTATATTCCCATCCTTACCTAGCACGAGGCCTTTTGGGAGCTCACTGGCTTCGGGTTCCGTAGGAACTTCGAAGTTAAGCGAGAAGGGGGCTAGAGCAATCCCATGATGGGTGACCCACTGGGAAGTTGCTCGTGAGTTCCCAAAAACAAAATCGTGAGGGAATGGTAAGCCCAAAGCGGACAATATCGTGCTACGGTGGTGGAGCGGGCCCGGGAAGTGATCCGCCCCGGGCCGGGATGTGACATGTCGTCTACTAAACCATGTTGCACATATATCAACAGATATCAACATATGACGAAGCAATCCGATAAGAAATATCAAGAGAATTGTCGAAAAATGTCGAGATATACCTAGTAGACATTATATAAAACATTTGGTAAGTACAAAAGAGAATGGTACCAAACATTTGGATCCTTTGTTTCTGCAGATAAGCTTGAAAGTTCTTGGAGAACTATTTTCCCCATTGTCAGATCTCAAAATTGTAACATTTATATCACATTGGAGGTTCAAAAGACTTTTACATGTATATTTTTCAGACTTCGAGTGATCCTAAGATAACCTTTTTCGTTTATATGTTGTGTCGTGTACACATCCATTTTTCATTTATATGTTGTGTTATAAAATGCAGGCTTTGACAATATTGAAGCCGCATTTATTATGCTCAAACAGTCAACATGTTGAAATAAAATTTGATTCAACAATTGAAAACTATGTGCAGATGAGTTATTCTGCAATGATTGAAAGCAATTATGCTTATACATTTTAGTGCAGGTTTTATTGACTTTTATTTCTTTAACAATTACAAACCTATTAGCGCTATCATTCTACTAAAACAATTGAAAACTATGTATATTATATCAATGTCATCCAACATGTATAATATTGTTGCCTTCGCAGCTAAGAAATGAACTTCCCAGCATTCAACATTCCCGTATTATTAGATTAACCAAGTGTGAAATATGACAACCAATCAAATCATCAAAATAGTAAACACCAAAAAAAAAAAAAAAAAAAAAAATCATCAAAACAACCTGCCCGTCCACCTAATCGAAACCTAATTACCATAACAAAGTGCCACCACCAAACTTGCTTAGAGTTAGAGTTATCACAAAGTTTGAATTTTTATGATATTTTTAAATTATTGATTCATATTAATAAGAGAGAATTATATTTTATCAGATTTTAGTGCAATGACAATTTTATATATCATTTTTAAAACTTACTCTCAAACTGACCCTCAAATATTAAATGTTTTAAATAACCAGATATAAACTACATATTAATAAAACACTCATTGTCAACAAAAACTCTATGAAATTACCAGTTTAACCTTCTAATTAAAACAAAACATGAATAAGAAATATGGGTAGAAATGTAATTTCACACAACCAAAATTTTGTTTTGTTTTTTTTTTTTTTTTAAGGTCTTGCCTACATGTAATTATTCTAACATATCTCTAATAAAAAACTAAAAAAAAAAAAATTAAAAATAAAGCCCTTTCCCTACTCCACATTCTTTATCACTCTCTTCCTCTCTCCTTCTACTTCATAAACAAAAATAAAAAAATTTCACACACACTATGTGTGTGCCCATATGCTAGTTTATATAATGAAATTGTTTCTATCAATAGATGATTCAACCAAACATGAAAAAGCCTTATGCATGACTAATCTCGTAAAGAGAAAGACAACCAAGAGAGCATATACTCCGTATCATGAACATATTTTTAGAAATATTGCATTAACTTACTCATTTGTGGTCTTGCACATCTTTCTACATCTGTTTCATCCCATTATTCGTGTGACTAGAAAACCAGAGAACAAAAAATATGCACCAATACACACGAACGTACCATTTTCATACAAGCTATCATTCACGATGATGAAAAAACCCATTGCCCATTGTAAATTGGAGAAAAACTTACATACACTTTAATAGTATTCAAACCAATAACGCACTACACTTATATTACTTTGATATATGATACCTCATCTTTCAAGTTCGTTCCAAATAGAGATTGGATTCGCTTCGGATTTTAGTGCTCAGAGCCTACGGATCCTTTAATTTGGACCGCTGATTGATGTGGAAGTCAAATCATAATCGTATATTGTGTATGGTGGGCCGGATTTGTGGATCCATAGGTTTCGAACACTAAGGCATGTAGCGGATCCAATCTCTTCCAAATGTAGATAAAGTCCCTCGGTTTTGATTGGGCCAGCGATGACAGGTCAGCTGCCTGCAATTTACAGAAATGGTCAATCATCATCTAACATGCATCATGCATGGCCTTTGATATTTTCTTTCTTTTTTTTATTTTCCCTTCAGAAATTGAGGATTTATAGAGCCACTTGCCTCCTCCTCATCTTACGAAATTATCCACATCGGCCGCACATGAACTTCACACGACATGTGCAAGCTGCATCTCTGGCCTTGCTCTATTATTTTACAAGAGATTTTTTAGTGTGATTGGAACACATGATAGTATACCATATGTTATTATACAAATAACAGAATATGTGTGTTAAAAAATTAATAACTTAAAAAAAATAGATTTCCACTATTTATATAAAAATAAGTAGTGTATCATCCGTGTTCCGTTCACAATAAAAAATTTCTTATTATTTTACCCAAACAACGGTTACGTATCAACTCCTGCCGGCGCCCTACCACCACTAATCACAGATTGTCCGGTTCAGATGAGGCCAAGGAGTTTGCGGGCCGTGATGTGATGTTAATCATTGAAATTCCTAGAGATAATTTTAACGTGACTGGAATACAAATAGTACATCACGTGTTAGTGTAATATATGTGTTAAAAATTTAATAACTTAAAAAATAAAAATTCTCACCATTCATATAAAAACACGTGATGTATCATCTGTGTTCAGGTCACTATGAAAAATTTCTCAAATTCCTGATCATGGTGGGGTCTTGCTTTTTCAAAGGATAGTTTACGGTGCAGCAACCCATACGCTAGCCAAGAAAGGCCGCATGTCTAAGCCAAAAGTTAAAGGTCAAAAACGCTCTATGGTCTAACTAAAGTAGGTGCGGAGTATCCTGACGATGACATAATGATGTATAAAGAAAAATTAACCATTAATATTGTAGAAATGACATAAAATGTCACCGCAACAACATATTCATACCATATAAATTAATCTCGTAATTGTCGACTATTAATTAAGTTGGCCGGAGAAATTATAGGATGTCATGGTTGGACCAAATGGATGTGGCTAGAAAATACATGAGCCCTACAATGGAAATAACTCAAATTCAAAGTAAAAAAAATTTCAAAACAGTTTACAACAAACAAGGACTTGGTAATATACTTGTGATCAACTTCGGATATATGCACCTTTTAGGCTACAAGTTTAAGCTACGATTTATTGCTTAGAGTGACTTGAGCATCGAAGGGTACATAGCGGGAACCGCCTGCACTCCGCCCCTCATTGCGAGATTCAGTCCTCCTCCTTCTCTTGAGAATCAAGTGAAAGCGCAAGGTCTAATCCTTATTGATTTTACGCTTCAACAACTACGCTACTTGGAAATCTTGATTTAGATTTTGTTGGTAAGTTCTCCTTCTCTTGCCTTACGGACAAAGGCTTTTTTTTTTTTTTTTTGTTTGTAATTTCCTCTAATTTATGGGAGCGGGAAGGAGGATACAAACTTGAGATGACACACTATCTTAACCTACAACAATCTCCAAGACCTATCTTATTATGTTTGATTCCAAAGAAGTGGTGGAATTTGAGTTTTTTTTTTTTTCTCATCCAATTCAAAGACTTTATATTCTTATATTTTGAGTCTTAAGATTTGAATCTTTTTCACTGAAGTTTGAGTTTGACAATACTAAAAGTGATTCAAGTTAAAACTCAAATCTTATTATTTACTTAGTTGAATAACATTTTTCTTTGACTTAAACTTCGTATTGAAACGCAAATGTTCGAAAATCTATATATAAATTTTAGTTATCCAAGTGCATAAGATTTGAGTTCAAATCCTCTCGCGAATTGTAAATTACTTTGCAAAATAAAGTCCTTACTGTACGCAATTAAAGCATTAATTTAGGGACGTGGACCTTTCGTTAAAATTGATGCTGATAGTGAAGCATGCAAAGAAACAATTATGGTGGATGAGATAAGAAAAAGAAACTGAGAGGGCATATTCTAGGTAGCCTACTTATATGTAGATATTTGATTATTTTCTTTTCCTACAGATAAATATAGGACCACGCTACGCCTACGCACACCACTTTTATCGACAGCAATCAAGTACGACCGGCGTATACGCGCTTTTACTTCTCCCCTCCAATCAACTGACTCCCAATTTTCAATCCCAAATTTCTGTAAATATAGTCCTTCGTATTGCAACCAATCCCATTTCCGTCCTTCCATTTAGTTTATAACTTCCAAAGTTTTATTGTCATGTCACTTTGGTCTTTCTGTTAAAATCTGCTAGTTTTTATGTTAAATTAGTCGTAAAAATCTCACACTTCAACTTTTACACAACACAACGTACAATGAGTATTATATTACTTATTGACAACCCTTACAACAACATCGCATTCATCTTTGAATCTTTATTTGTAATATCTAATAGGACTAATTAAGCAACAAACTCAACAACTCAACCAATATGTTACAAACAATTGACACGTGGACAATCAAGATGATGCCATTTGGCATCATATAATTGTTTTGAAATCGAAATGACAGATGCCTTAAATTTGGACATAAAATCAAATGAACTTTCACAAAAGGGCCAAAGTGAGACATAAAATTAAAACTCATAAACTCCAAGGGCCAAAGTGAGAATAAACTTAAATGATTAGATCATGTAGACGAGCGCAGCCATAATCCTCGAAGTTCCGTCACCTCTTCTACCATTCTCTCCACTTTGACTTTGAGAAACTTCTCCGACTCTCTCTCTCTCTCTCTCTCTCTCATCCCCCAAACGACAGCTATTGAAGAGAGAGATAGTGGTGGCGGGAAGCGCATGAGATCCGCAGGAGGGTCGAATTTACCATTGTACCCATCTCACCTGCTGCTCCCGTCATCCTCCTCATAAACTCCCCCAGCCGACGTGTCCCTGCCGAGTCGACCCGCCCCCTCTCCTCCTCCGGACACGCCACCTTCCCGTCGCCTTCGAATCCAAGCAACTCATAAATATCCCCCAAAAAAGAAGAAAAAAGGAAATTTAATAATTAAAAAAAGAAGAAGAAACAATCTGGAAAAAAAGATAAAATCTTTGCTCTGAAAATCTCCAGAGGGTAAAGGCTTTTTCTTCACTCCGCCGTTGATTTTGTCCACGTGGACTCCCTCATTATCTCTCTCCTCTCTCTCTCTTCCGGCGTGGCTTTGCCCTCTGTTATGAAGTTCGCCGGTGATTGCTTTCTCTTCTTTCCATGGAATTTTCTTCTTTATCAACAACAAGGTCCTCCTTCTCTCTCACTCTATCCTTTTTCTCTCTCTAAATGTATTCAGTGTATGCTTCCACATAAGAAACATATACCCATAACATTGTGTACTTATGTATTGGATTCTGGGTTGTTAATCATTTGTGAATTGTGAATTGTGGGAAGCAGTGATTGGTGAAGAATTGGGCGGAAAGCATGAACTTGATGGGTAAACGTGACGCTGCCCGCTGCATTTTCCCCCTCACTGGTTTGCAAATTGGGTAACTTTCTTCAAATTTCAGCATTTACTACTTCAATTTTAATACTTCGGTTTAAATCTAATTTATTTATTTAAATTCTCAAATGCACTTTTTGTTTTGATCCTACATGCACAATTTTTCTGTGCCAGAATTGGGTTTTATGAGAAATTTAATTGCTTGACAATTTTTTTTCTTTAATTTTCAGCTCTGGTGTGTGTTTATTTGTTAAGATTGTAATTTAGTATTGCTAAATGCAGAGAAAACCTTATTCTTTTTCATGTTCTGAAACATATGATGTACTGTTGTTTTTGGGTTTTTTTTTTTTTTTCTTTTCTTTTTGTGTGAATAATGAAGTGATGTGGTTTGTGCTATGTGATTGCAGAGACTTGCAGTCTTATCTTTCGGATCTTAGCCTTTTCCTGGCCCTCGAAAGCAAGAAATTCTATATCTTGGTGGACAATCGGCCATGGCTGGGCGACCTAGGTTCGCGGTCAGCACACTTGTGGCAATTGATGGTTACTAAGGTCAAATCTATAGTCACTACACTCTCATTGATGTTCAACTTATTTGTTTTTCAATTCTAGTTTACAGAGAATCAAAGTTTATATTGGTTTGATTTTTCAGTCAAGGTTGTCTCCTTTTGCAAACACTAAAGTGCGGAAGGTGGGAACAGAAGGAAAGGATGCTTGCCCCAGACCAAAGACTGCAAAACCAAAGAAGCTTGCTAGGTGGTTCTCATTAATCAAGCATCAGAAGAAGGTGTTGTTACCTGTAAAGAAGCTGCAGAGATCTTTGCTTCTAAGAAGGGAGTTACATAGGACCTTGTATGGTTTTATTGTATTCGAAATTGCATGGAGCAATGTTCGAGGTATCAATTACATCAATGAGCTTCAGGTATCACCCCCTTTTTATATCCTTGAACAGTTATTTGTAGTCCTTTGTAAGTGCCCGTGTTCTATGGTTTATGTGTTCTTTGCAGACTGATACCTCGCTGGCTGTAGAGGCTAAATCCATGCAAAGATGGGAATTTGACAGTATTGCTCAAGCTGCAAGCTGCATATCTTCATGGTTCCCAGGAACAATCTCTGAGCAGCTACAGTTGAAAGAGCATCTGAATTCTGCTGTAGGTAGTATTCTTTGCTCTCATGATTCCTATTTTTGTGGTCTTCATGTTAATAACTTTATGACATGGGGTTTTTTTTTCTTTTGGCATATGAGCATGAGATTTGTGTACATGTAGTCGGAATGTGGGGATGTCTTTAGTGGCCATGTTTGGTTAGTCAAAACAAATAGTGCAGCATTGAAAATGGTAAAAATTTGGAAATTTATTTGGGGCTGCTATAGCTTAATTGTTTCATAAGATATGTTCCTTTAAAGAAAAAATATTAGAACTCTGCCGTGCACTGAGCCTCAAGGCGTGAAGTATTCATCTTTGCTTGAATCTGTATGATGTTGCTTGAGAGTGAAATTCTGTGATATGCATGATGATTTAAAGGTTATAAAATTGTAACACCAGCAGGAATGGAAGCCACTAGAATGTGAGTTGATCTAGAGACACTATTTAATTTACTTGGATAATCTTCTTATAGCATAGGGACTTGGGATCCCTTGAAGCTCACAAGGAGAAGTTCGAGTTCTTTTCGAACATTTTCCTTTGTTGGTTTATTAGGAAATTTGGATAAACGTATATTTGGAGAATTTCTCTATCTGCACAAAGTGTTATACTGTGCTACATGATGGCTGCTGAAACTACTGTGTTTCTTCTACTACCAGTTGAAATGAGGATTCTATGATTTCATTTAATTTCTATTAACGTTTCTAGGAGAAGTTTTCTATGATGCTGAAGAGTTTCCAGAGACAGAAACTATGGCGGTTGTTGATGACAATATCTGTCACAATAATCTGTCCACTGGGGAAGATTCTCTCCACTGCCTTAGTCGCAACTTTAGTGTTCATTCTGATACCTGTGAAAATAGGGCCGGTGTGCCACATTCACCGCCTCCACCTACTGGACCCTATAAGAGAAGGAAAATAACAACGTGTATTAGTGCTGGAGTTGAAGTAGATACTTATTCTGAGGAAGTGCAAAGCCCTGCTTGTGACTCTGAAAGTTCTGAGACGTATAAATGTTACTTTGAAGATGAAATGCAAAACTGCGAGACTTATTCCTGTTACTGTGGAGATGAAATGCAAAACTCTGAGATCCATACCTGTGACTCTGAAGATGAGATACCGGTGACTGCGAGGGCCTATATCAGTGACTCTGAAGGTTCCGTTAAAGCTACTCCGTTCAGCAAAGATGCTGTACCTGTAACTGTCAATACCCATACTAGTGATTGTCAAGATGCTGTTGAATCTACCCAGTACAGGGATGTGCTGATTTTGATCAGGTTCAATGACCGTGACCTCCCATTTAAACTAAGAGAAATAATAATGTCTGATCTCCGGTTGCTGACTTTGCTTGAGGCTGGGCTTCCATCTTGGGTTATCTTCCTTCAGTCATACCCAGGGTTTTGCCATATCTATCGCCCGTGGATGTGCCCTCTGGCAAGAGCATTGTATGTGCTGATCTCAGTTGTCACTGTTCTAATTGGATTTTATGACCTATACAAAAATGTTCCAGTTCTCAAGGCAACTGCATCTCGTCTTTGTGGGCCTCTATTCGATTGGATAGAGACCTGGTCGATGATATCAAGGATTAAGTACTTGGGAACAATGCTATTTCTACACCACTCTCAGAAAGTTGTTCAGTGGTTTCTGGCAATCAGGAGTACCACGCGATCCTTTTTTTCAGTTCTAGCTCAGCCGTTGGTAGAACCTGTTGTGGAGTGTTTTGGATTCCTCCTTCCAGTATGGAACGCGCTTATTGATGTGTTAGAGAGCCTCTTTTCAGTCATTTGGATTCTGATTGGATCTTCATGCAGTCTAGTTGGGAACCTGATTGAGGTTTTAGTGTTTCCAATATGGTTTCTCCTGTCGGCCATCTGGAGCATTGGTAGGTCGTGCAATTCTTTGGATTACCTATCTTTTGATTCAAATAGTCAATGGCGTTGTACAATTTAAAAATCTTCTGTTAAGTGCATGTACTCTTGTTTGCATTTTGTTGCAGGAACTTCCATTGTATATCCTATATTTTGGATTCTATGGGAAGTACTCTATGCTCCGGTTCGCATGGTCCTTGCACTAGCCAATGTTATAGTTTTTATTGGTGCATGCATATATGATACACTTCGAGATATCTGGCAAGTTATTAGCAGCATATTCAAGTTTGCTTCAGCTTCCCAGGCAACTGTGAAAACGGTTGAAGGTTCCATATGGCGTTCACTTTGGAATGACCTCTTTTCTCAGGTTGGAAGTAAAAAAGTATAAATGTAGTTTCTACTTTTTAACAATGTCAGCTAGATGGTTTTATTGATCACCATTCTCTTCTTTTTGGGTTTCAGGTTTTCCGAGCTGTCAGGAGTATATTAAATGGTTTTGTTGCATTCTTCATAGCTTGTAACAGGCATCGCCTTAGGTATGCTGTTCTTTTCTTTAGCGTGAATATCTTGTTTAGTGATCTTCATTTTTCTGCTCTGTGGGATGCGTACACATTTGCTGTGGTTGCTTAGGCCATCATTAGACCTTATCAGTACAAAGTTCCTTTAAGCACAGTGTTGTCGTTAAGTTACTAGTTGTTTGAGAGACAATAAAACTACTATGTCAAATGTAAAACTCCGACCCATGCTCCTCAGGCATTGTACCTGTCCTTCCAGATTCTGGGGTTATGCTAAATATTAGCTTTATTTGTGCAATAGTCATGGGGAAACTTCTGTTGTTATCCTCAATCCTTGGATATTGCAAAAGTAGACTTCTCCATGGTACCAAGCTTCCCAATTGAACAACCCTTTGAAGAGGTGATCTCGTGTCTGCCACTCTTAACGGAGCTGACTACCCCAATTCTGATTCATTACGTTCGCAATAGTTTTGACCTAAAGGTTAGGTAACAATATGGAAACGAAGTTTAGATAGGAGATCCCGAGGGGAGATTTCAACTCTATTCATTTGGAAAACCTGTGCGTGTAACTAGGTGGTTTACCTATGTAGTCACTGGTAATTCAGCATGAAACTATTTGTAGACCTATGTATGATTGTGTTAATAAACCCCGTGCTTATGATTATTTTGTGATGGTTACAGCATTTATAATCATGTACAAGAGTTTACCCGAAGATTCCTGGACCGAACCCAGAGATCACGGCGTGAAGTTTCAAGACGTTATAGACCCACCGGAAACTCGGAATTTGGTTAGTTTTCTACTGTGGGAATAATTGCTGCACTTGCTGCTGATTTTACGACGCACGAATAATTGCGCATGTTCTAAATTTCCTTAACCGATTATCATGGTTTTGGCTTTGCAGTTCGAAGTAAGAAGGAAAAACAACCTTGAATAGTTTTTCCACAGCTTTTGGAGGATAACACTATCAATACGGTACCACCTTCGACAATGTGTGAAATGCTTTCGGCCAAACAAGAGAACATAAAGACGGCGGCATAGTGTAAGTGTAGGAGTTGATGCGGGTGCTTCTGTTGTCTGCATGTAGCACCCATGTCTGAATACATACCATAGGAAGAGCTCGGTTTCTTTTTTATCCTTAATTCTTTGCGGTCTTGTTTGTTTCTATATGTGAATTGTAGGGGGCAAACTCTTAGTTCACTGTATATAATGTTCATTCGATTAATTCATGTTTGAATCCGAATTGATTCGCAATCAAACTAATCTTAGGGCATGTTTACTTAACAGAAATAGAATAGGGAATGGATAAATATTTTTCGTAGAGCGATAGAACAAATAATAATAATAATAATAATAATGGTAAAAATTGCTAAAAATAGATTTGAAGTTGCTATCAAATTTGATAGCAACTACCTTTATTGTCAATTCACGTCATGCCAAGTAGGAATTAACATTTCGGTTGAAAACCACGAAAGCTATCTTTTTTTTTTTTTTGGCTATTGCTGACATGGACATTTTTGACTTTTTCTTTATAGATACTCTTAAATAGTTAGTTTTTAGGAAAAAGAAAAATTGGTCGATTAAACTTGCATCAGGTTGCACATGCTTGATCGCTTTCCGCTAAGCAACATTTGCCCTGAGTAAGGAAGGAATGGAAAACTTAGAAATAGGAAAAGGAAAGGTCCAAGGGGAAAATATTATCTTCAATCGAAGGATCCTAATCGGATTATAAATTCGAAATCAATATTAGTTAGATACAGGTCGAAACCATTAAAAATCTGTACCAATGCAAAGATGGAGATAAAAATTCAAATTGCACTAAATTCAATTATTTAATAGTCTCGAATCCAAGTACGATAGCATTGCATCCCGACCAATAACACGATGTTATGTGTTTTAACAATCTCGCAATCATGTCTGTTCATTGGGACAACGACATACCAACTTAAAATCATAAACTGGATCCAAATTTAAAAGAAAACTAAAAACTTCGACGCCAAATCCCACATACAACATAATCAAAGTTGATTAACAACTACGAAAGGTCTTGTACATAACCAAACTCACTCGTAATACTTGACAACCGATGATTCATAGAACAACTTCATTTCCAATCATAGATACTAATATCTACCTTCCACTAAGAGCATGGTAGTATCAAATCTGTACGGCTCCCCCAGTTTGGTGCAGCATGGCGTCAATCTCATCACCGTCCTCCATTTCCAACTGGAACAAGATAAAAGCCACACACAATTTAGCATGTGAATAAGAAAAACATAAGTGCAAATGTGCGTTCAAGTGTTTGCAATCGTGAGTTTATCATATATGCAGGAAATGAGCAACTGAGCGGAAATGCACAAGTGTTTGCAATCGTGAGAGTGAAAAAGCAGGTGCGTATGCAAGAGAGGGGAGAGGGGAACCTCATCAGGGGTCTGCTCTGCTCGTAGACGACGGCCATCAAACAAGAAGGCGATTGAGTTCATCTCCACAGACTGGCGATCACAATATGCGTTCATAAGCTTCTTCAGTTGAGTGCTTCGCTTGATCCTGAAAAACACTTCATTCCCATCCTGCAAAGAAGTACCAAATTATCTCATCCGCTCATCACACTTTCCCCGACTACAAACCGTTTTGAAAATATACCACTCAAACAAGACATCTGAAGATTATGATTCAATGACTTCGTAATCAACAGCACGGAAGCCTCAAACTCTGTCACAACTACGGAGTGAAATGAACAAAACACAATGAAGTGAATGATAATCCGAATGAAGAATAAATAAGATATTGAATGCGACTGCAAGCGTTCAACGGTGATGTTATAAACCCATCATGCAAAATAAGCAGTTTGCGCACTAAATCGTCAATCGCACACAAAACCAAACAACAGAGATTGAACTAAATACATCTCCATTTATCATCACAAACGATTGCATAAAATAATGAGAAGCATATTGCAAAAACATAAGACCACAAAACCAATTGATTTCGGGGCGAAGCCGCCATGATCATAGAAAAAACCTAACTTTAGTTTAACAAGAACAAAAGGGGTAAATAATAAGATATCGACACAATCACAAAAGCAGATGGTAGACACCAAATATACGAATAAAAAGGCAACACAGCCTAATTCACTAATCCCTGTTCAAATTGATCAACACCAACTAATTTATGCATTAATTTGCCAAAAAAAAGCAGTACTACTCTAATCAGAGCAATTTAAACTGATTTATTAGAACAAAAAAAGGGGGAAAAATCAGGCATATTTGGGAAAACCCCAATTTTTTTTCAGAACCCAAAAATTAAAAAAACCCATGCGAATCGAATATCATAATCAAAACCAGAAACATTAAAAATAAAAAATCTAAATTGTATACAGATGGGTAAAGTTCGATGGTGAAAAATAGAGACCTGTCCTTTGACTTTGAGGTTGATGTGGGCCGCCTGGTCGTTGGGCTTCTTGTCCTCTTCTTGCTGCGGAGTCGACATCCTCTTCTTCTTCTTCTTCTTCTTCTTCTTCTTCTTCTCCCTCTCTCCTCTGTAGTCTGTATCTCTCTCGCTCTAAAACAAAGCAAAATTAGGGTTCCTCTCCTTGATTTTTGTACCCGCTGCGGCGCTACCACCGACGGTTCTTTTCAGTGACCCCGCGCAATAGAGGTCGTATACGTGTTAGAGTTTGACTGGTTGCTGATGGGCCTTTTGAAGTTCAAATGCCCAAGTTATTAATTAAATTGGGCCTTTGAGATCCACGAGGCTCGATAATCTTTTGGATCAAGGATCATCAATCTTGTTAACAAGTGAGTTGGTCGGTCAAGCAGACTCACGAGCTTGTGGTCACAATTAAGCAGACTCACTAATTTGGAACATTGAACTCGAGACATCCAATATTTTTTTTGTTTATTAGGAGTTGCAGTTTGCGCCCTTACCACTGGACCACTTGTTGGTCGGTTGTTCATGTTACAAAGTTTGTACTCGTGTATCAAGGTTCGAATAAACTCTATCATAAATTTGAATTGTTTAGTATATCTACTTGTAAATGAGAAATCATAAGGTTGATACTAATGTACTATTTTTGTTCATTGTGTAACTTATTCTAAAATTTCCACCCATCATTTAAGTATGCATGTTGTATAAAAAATGTCGACTTAGGAATTGGTTCAACTGATATTTCCTCAAGTGGATTTTGATGCATCGCTAGGCATGGAACTCAAGTTAGAGAGAGTGCTAAATAAAATTGATTTCAATTTGTCAATTTAAAAAGGCGAGTTATGTTTCCCTCTTTGACTCTTCCAATGACGTGTTTACTAATCCGTAATTAAATTGAGAGGAATTGGATTGAGGGCGAATTGGATTGAGGAGGAATTGAAATGAGGTGGAATCAGAATCAGATTCTTCTTGAAGTTGTTTACTAAAACTGTTTGGAATCAGAGTAGAAATGATGTTGAGTCCATATAAGTTATTTACTAATTCACTTCAATCGGAATGAAAACTAGGTTGATTACTATATTGCCCGTACATAAAATAAATTCTTTTCATACTAATTAATTAAATTAAATTCTTAATAAATATATATAATAAAATTATCTATATAAAAATATATAAATAGGTTTTTTTTAATAATAAAAATGACATAATGAGTGTCAAATGAAGGGCAATGTTGGAATAATAAGAAAAGGGTATAATAGGAAAAAAAGATGCATTTCCGATTCCCTTACCCTTAGGGAATTCAAATACCTCAAAAAACCTACAGAATCCCGTTCCTTCAATTTCAGGAATTGGATTCCTTGTTTGGTGTGGGCTCCACCACTTTTTTTATTTCTTAATATTTAGTAAACATCAAAATACTTAGTAATCGGAATTCAATTCCTTTTCCTTATTCAGATTACCCATACGTAAACGTGCCACAATATTCCATAAAAATTAAAAATTAAACCATTTGCATATTTAGCTTTCGTGAATGCCTTCAATTTGGCATATGAATGGGAATCATAGTTTAAGCCGTGCAACATTGCTAACAAATCAAACTCTTAAGCAATGAATTCTGTCACGAACACAAAACCCCAAAAAGTCGTCGGTTCACAACGGCATAAATGTTTTAATCATAAAAAGTGATGAACTAGTTGTTGGCTTGTTGCTTGCCTTTCCCGTTAAGCACTGCTCATTTTGCTTGTACCATCCAACGTTCGGAAAACATGATGAGATCATCTCCTCTTTTATTTTTTAATTTTCCCCAAAACATCGATTCCCCCTCCATATCCCCATGGACCCCATTGCATTGCATCCTATGTTATCATCAACACTCTTCATTATTTCCGTTGCAATGAAAATGGAGACCTAAAACGGGAGGTTCTGGGCTCTGTATTTTATAAATTATGAATCTACTTAATTGTCGGCATAAGTAGAGTGTAATTTCTAACTAGTTTTCTCTGAACCTAAAAAGAATCAATAACCTTAGTTCGTTAGTTGTTTCCTCTTTTTAAAAGAAATGGAAGCCTAAATATGACGTTGTAGCAAATAAAAAATGTAGCTAGCATTTCTCGTCTTTGCACTCCTAGATTCCAGCTCATTCGACAGGACAAGTGGAGCGAAACAAGCCAACACAACCATTTCTTTAACAACAAAATAAATAAAAGAAATTGTTATTAACATTTTAAAAATTTTATGTAACATTTTTTATAAGTATATTTTTTTTTTAATTATAAAAAGTTTAAAATGTCAAATAAAAATTTTAAAATACTAATAACAATTCTCCACATAAAATTAGACGAACCCTAGGAGCGTGCTACGTACATTAGTAAGAAGCAAACCATTTAATATATCTGCATACGCAGAGTTAATTCGGTGAAGCTTAAAACGGTCGAGTTTGTGGGACAGTGCGAGGGGAAGCCCATCACGTATGGTTTCTTTCTTGCGTCAAACGCGTGGGTCCGGCCATCTCGATCCCCACGTTATTCCGCTAACACCATAAAACCCCTTCACTCCCCCCACTCCGCTCACTGTCACTCACACCCTCCGCCACAGAAAATTAGAAGGGAAACAGAAGAGGAAACAATAAGAAGAAGCTCTCCCACCTTTCACAATGCTCTGCTTCTCCAAGAGCCAGAGTATGGAACGCCACGTCATCGCCGTCGTGCTTCTCCTTTCCGTCTTTTCATCTCTAGCAGGTAAAATACTGAGGAAAATTACATTTTTTTTTTTTCTCTTTGCATCTTCGTCTTGTAATGATGTTTTGGGTTCTGATATTGTGTCGTTTTGTGCCACATTTGTGCAGATGCAGGCTCGGTGGGAGTGAACTATGGCAGAATCGCGGACAACCTGCCGTCGGCGTACAAGGTGGTGCAGCTTCTGAAATCCCAAGGCTTGGAGCGGGTGAAGGTCTTCGACTCCGACCCGGCGGTGCTCCGGGCCCTGTCAGGATCCGACATTAAAGTCACCGTCGACCTCCCCAACGAGCTCCTCTCAGCGGCTGCCAAGTCGCAGTCGTACGCCACCAACTGGGTCCAGCGAAATGTCGTCGCTTACCACCCCAACACCCACATCGAAGCCATCGGCGTCGGTAACGAGGTCTTCGTCGACACCCATGACACCACCAAGTTCCTCATCTCCGCCATGAAAAACATCCACGCCGCCCTCGTCCACTTCAAGCTTGAGTCGTCCATCAAAGTCTCCTCGCCCATTGCCCTCAGCGCCCTTCAAAACTCTTACCCATCCTCCGCCGGGTCATTCCGACCTGAACTCGTGGAACCCGTTTTCAAACCCATGCTTGAGTTTCTCCGTCAAACCGGGTCCTACCTCATGGTCAACTGCTACCCCTACTTCGCTTACGAGTCAAACTCCGACGTCATCCCCTTGGACTACGCCCTATTCCGCCAAAACCCCGGTGTAGTCGACGCCGGCAACGGTCTCCGTTACTTCAACCTCTTTGACGCTCAGATCGACGCCGTTTTCGCCGCTATGTCGGCGTTGAAGTACGACGACATCAACATGGTCGTGTCGGAAACGGGCTGGCCGTCGAAAGGCGACTCGGTTGAAGTAGGCGCGAGCGTGGAGAACGCAGCCGCCTACAACGGCAACCTCGTCCGTCGGATCTTGACCGGCGGTGGGACCCCGTTGAGGCCTAAAGCAGAATTGACCGTCTATCTCTTCGCGCTCTTCAACGAGGACAAGAAATTCGGGCCCACATCGGAGAGAAATTATGGGCTCTTCTTCCCCAACGAGCGCAAGGTATACGACATACCGTTCACCGTCGAGGGACTAAAGAACTATCACGACAACCGATCGCCGGTATCAGGAAACCAGCAGGTGACTGCTCCGGTCAACGGGGGTGCAGACGTGTTGAAGAGCTTAACCGGAAACACCTGGTGCGTGGCGAATGGTGAGGCGGGGAAGGAGAAGCTGCAGGCGGGTCTAGACTACGCTTGCGGTGAGGGCGGGGCGGACTGCCATCAGATCCAGCCGGGGTCTGCGTGTTACGATCCTAACACCCTCGAGGCCCACGCCTCGTACGCTTTCAACAGTTACTACCAGAAGAAGGCACGTGGGGTCGGCACGTGCTATTTTGGCGGGGCGGCCTACGTGGTCTCTCAACCACCCAGTACGTATCTTATCATCTCCCTCTCGTATTTTTAATTAATATAAATACCGGCGCATTTTATGTTGTTAATATGTGGTGTTGCTAAAATACGCCGGGTGGAATGGCACACTGTAGTCCTTTGAGTTCCGTGTGAAAGCTTCACTCTGGTCCGCGAAATGTTGGAAAGTGGTGCAGCACGCGAGGTCAAAGGACAACAAGCGGTGGTCGTGTGACCATTTTTTGGTTGTGTTGTCGTTTCTCTGTTTACATTACCTTAAAAAATAGGCTTTTAGATTAAAATCAATTAAAAATTAAAATCTAATTTTAGTTCTTTATACATGAATCACCTGATTTATTTGTTAAATTTTGATGTTTAAGTTTTTATTTTTTATTTTTTCTTCTAATTTAATATATACTTACCTTTAAATCTTAATTTTGATTTCATTTATCATAATATATTTTATTTAGATAGTTAGGTAAAATAATTTTTATTAATATGTTCTTCAAAAATTTAGATACATTAATTTAATATAATACATTTTAGCACGGTAATTTAATATATTATAGTTTGATACAAACTTTTTGGTATATTGGTCAATTAAAAAATATTCGATACAACATCAAATTTATTTCAACATATTTTCGGTACACTTGTGGAATATGTTTGTAAATAAATTCAAATATTAAATATAATATATGAATTGGAGTAATTTTATTTACACATTTTACTTTACGTACATTAACTTTTTTCAAATCATTACCATTAAAATATAAGAAAAACTAACGTAAAAAAAACTTTAGTTTTAATTAAAAATGATAAATATGGTGTAAATGAATAGTACTAAAAAAAGAAAAAAACATGATTTTTTTGTTAAAAGTAAACAGTATCTTGAAGTGTTTTGTTTAAACTTCCTAAAATATACACAAAATGACTAGAATGAATAAGTAATCTCATTAAATTTCAATTTTTTTTAAGAATTAGTGTTTAAAAACCCTTTTTTTTTGGTAAGTTCCTATTATTGTGTACTAATATAAAAAAATTGGTCTTGTTTTTTTGTTGCAGAGTTTGGGAAATGTGAGCTGCCCACTGGATACGGAAACTGAAGAATGCAGAAGGAAGGAGGGGTATGAACTATGAACTGTATGGTTAGCAATTTTGTGGCCAAAATAGTAGTGGGGGAGTTGCTTATCCTAATTGCAGTTGTGGGTTTAGTTTATAATTTATTTTTTGGGAGCTCCTTGCGTTTTGTTAATTTCTGTTTTAGGGGTTTTAAGTCAACTATTATGTTCATAATTACATACTTAGTAGTTTCCTGGTTTAATTCCAATGGCGATGTACCTTCTGGATCTTGACTAATTAAATCTTCCAAGAATCTTATTATTTTTGGATTTAACGATTGGAGTACTAAATTTGGACGTGAGTTGGACAGTAATATGATGGAGACTCTGCAGGCATATGATAATTGTGTGTGGCAGTGTGTCACGTGAAAAATAATTGGATGTGTTCATCTGATACAGAATTTGGATTTGGATTCTTCCAAATGTATAGTTGGATGAATACGGATCGTGAATTCATTATTGGGAAGTACAGCTTCTCGTCTTGTCTTTCGGGGGAATGACTTATTGCACTCGTATGTTATTGTAGCGGTATTTCAAATTAACAGTACAATGTTATGTAAACAAGAAATTGCTTTAAGATACTGCCGCGGGAAATTTCTCTTCATATTTCACAATCTCCAACTATGTTAAATACACAAGTATTTGTATTTGATTAAACATTCTAAATAAGTACTTAACATAATAAAAATATCACATTCATTAAGCACTAGTTATTTTTTCGTTAAATGTATAACATGTAGCAACAGTGAATCTTGCTTTTTTGCTTACATAGACAATAAAATAATAATAAAAATACTTTTATAAAAGTTACGAAGATGAAAAAATGAAAATTAAAAAAGAAAACGAACAAATTCACAAATAAAATAAAAAACAAAATTGAATATCAGAAAACATTAAGCCCCTGCCACTTTTCAGCTCAACCTACGACCACCGAAACCTAATCCCAATGTTTATATATTCAAAACCCGACAACTAGGTATATTATAGTTAACATTACTATTAGTTGCCTCAAAATCTTAATGGTAACGGTGGTGGATGCATCATGGCAATCTTTATTATTTCCACAACCTCCATCACTCTCTCGATGTTGGCGTTTTGAGTTGTAGGTGGAGTTGATGATTGTGTGTTAGGTTTGGAGGCGATGGCCTGAAGGGGTGGTGGTGACCGTTAGTTGACGGAGATAATGCTTTCATGACCTTCTATTGATTTTAAAGGCAAGTTAAGCTCTAGTTAATTTAACAAAGATTTAACTAGGACTTACTAAATGTGACAGTTTCAATAAATAAAATATTTACTTAAAACATTTCAAAAGGATGACACCAATTTATAATGACAATAAAATGTTAGGGAGTTTTAAGTACTTAATCTTTGTATTTGGTCGGTCTTACAACACGTGTAACATAAGCATTACAAGGTTATTATAGTAACCATAAAATATTTTACAGCTAATTAGCTATATACATTGGTTCAGTGGGAGCAATGTGCATGGCGCAGTACTCAAACTTTTACTTGTTTATATTGTTAGACAAATAGTAGAATGAGCTGGCCTATGTGCATGGCGCAGTACTCAAACTTTTACTTGTTTATATTGTTAGACAAATAGTAGAATGAGCTGGCCTATGTATCATTTGATATTGTTTATTTTAACGAAAAATTATATTTTTACACTCAAAAGTCAATCATAATACTATTAACTTTATCTTTTATTTTATTTCTATCGTTAAAACTTAAATTTATCTAATATTTTCCATTAATTTTCTTTAAATAAAAACCATAGAGAATAAACTCATGTGAAACCATTTCCACACGGCTTTTATTTGTAGCATGACAACAAAATTGCAGAATGCATCCTGCTCAAAACGTTGCACATATCCCAAACGACGATTGCCTTTCACACAACCCAAAAAGTGACCAATTTTTCTAACATCGACGCATGTGCCAAGGGGCCACCCACCACTCGATTGCATCCGATCTAACTAGGATACAATGCACTCTATTATTGTTGGCAATAATCACACGCATGGTCGATGAAGACCCCCTTTGGGGATTTTTCTTCCATACTCAATATGATTAAATGCTACAAGTAGTTGACGGTATGAATTGACGATCGGATTAGAGGACTTTAAATTAACGACATTGAAAATAGTTTAAGTTAATGATACGGAGTAGGAAATTGGATCCGAGTTTGGAACTTGTTATTATATAAAAAAAAAAAAAAATTGAAGTTTTAATTTTATCAATTTTGGTCAAATGTACAATTTGCTTCAGTTTTGTGCTTAATTAAAAGTATTGGTCTTTCATGTAAAATGATTGTTGTTACGCTAGGCTCTTTTGTTTGCCTATATATTTAAATAAGTATGCATTTAATCCCCAATTACAAAACAATACCAGTTTTTTCGAGTCACCAGTATCCCATACTTGTTGTCCCCAAGTGTGACAAATTGAATAGTAGCGTGAAAAAAAAAAATTACTGATCTCACACCCTGCAATACAATGAAAGATTATAGATATGAAATGAATTCTACATGTAGAAGAATAAGTGGACAGATTTAACACCTTAGTCATCACCATGTGATTTTTTTTTATTTTAAATATTATGAATGTATTTTTTTTATTGAAATTTTGAAGATCTTTTGGCTCGTATAAATAAAAAGAAAAATTCTAGCCTACAACGATGTATGTTATGCATCAACCGTTCTAACTATTAGATAAGACAAATTCACCTTTTCCTTCTATGGTACAGAATAATACTTGTCATTAGATCTGCAATATATTTCCATGCAATTTTGTATATAGTAGAAAGACAAATTAATGAATAAGTTGGACATTTACCTAAATATAAAGAACACAGCAATTAAGAATACTTTGATTACCGAAACAACAAGAATATTTCGATTACCAGGCCCCAAACCAGAAAGGGAAATCCTCCCAAGGCATAGAGGAAAACTCCAAATCCAAATGCATGAATGGGGGTACGTATATTGAAGAAACATATAGAATGGCTGCCTTTTCAAGTCTCCAACATTCTTTAGTTGTGCTTCTGTTTGGGCTCAAAATAATATTATTAGGTCGAGCGTAGGTTTATGTTCGGCCCAAAACTTTTCCAAATATACCATGAGTTGCCTGGTGGTCCTGGGTCGTTTAGTAAAGGTGGTCGAGTCCTATTGCAAGAAGGAGTAATTTGGATGAGCGGATGTGTTGAAGTGCTAATACGATAAGGGGTCATAATGCAATATGGATTCTCGGTCGGCAATGAATACGGCCTGAAAAAGGGGGGGGGGGGGTGAGTTCAAAGTCCTAATAGGAGTAGGACTAGTTGAGATAAAGTTGGATCAGAATAAGAAGTCCTAATCCGAATGTGGTTTCAACTTGATCTTAAGGAGGATTTGATGCTATAAATAGAGGGCATAATGCATCATTCAAGCCTATCCAATTTAACACACAATTGCCCTGCGCAAACCTCTCAAACATCTTGATATTTTTTATTTTCTTTTTCCGCCGACACACCTTCAGTTTGGATAAACAACACTGTGAAGGCAACCGATGAACATCTTCAGTTTGGATAAACGACACTGTTGCTGTAGAATCAGCCGACTGATGAGCACCTCCAGTTTGGATAAACAGCACTGCGTCGAGGTTGACTGACTAGCTATCTAAGTCTCGGTCAAGAAGGGTTTTCGAATCCTTATTGGCAGAGGTCATCTTATTAGCCTTCTCAACGAAGTAAGGTGTTACAAGTTACAACATTCGGCACATTGAATGCCGAGTGATTTTATGATTGGATATTCACGAGTGAGTTTCAAAGTTCAGCATTCTAACGGCCAAACCACATTTACCATCAAGATATACATCTCATTTGAGTACTTGTGTCCATATAGTCTAGTTTTGGTTCGATGTGCTTATATTCTCACGAATATAATCACTGTGACCGAATCCGGTGCCAACGATTCATGAACTTCGCAGAACTAGCAGCCTTGTCTTCAGGCTCGAGAATCCAAAGGCCGAGACTTGTTCCTTCCTCGGCCGTAATCGCAAAATCAAGAAGTCAGCAACACACTCGAACGCAACATCAACAAATTGTACTCCTCGGCCAAGCTCGGCCAACGAGTTGGCATGCCCCGCATCAATCGAAGGACGTAGTTAGCTCATTAGTTATTCGGCCTACGCGCCACGTAGGCTTTGTAATTTTTAGGGTCAACAGCTTCATACTGCAAAACATCAAAGTTTAAAAAGATCATTTATGCGTTGATATCTGTAGTCACGTGACGGATTATGCGATAAGAGTAATAGATGCAAAATTGTATATAACTTATTATGGGCAATATTTTAAAGATTGTGGGAGGTCTAGATGGTTTGCGTACACTTCCAATATATTTATAAGGAATACAACACAATGAAACTCTAGTCCTAATTGGACTTTTGCTCTACCCAAAAATATATAAAATGTTCTTATACGACTACTTAATTATTTGTGTTGCTCTAAAACTCAATTAAATATATTGATGATTCTAATACGCATGAGACTCTTGGTAGATTCCAATACATGCATGAAAGCTTTGGTTACTGCATCAAAGTCAACAAATATTTAAACTCGAGTACGAGTTTCTTCAGAGAAAAGGAAAATGATGCAGTAACCAAAGCTCTCATACATGTATTGGAATCTACCAAGAGTCTCATGTGCATTGGAATCATCAAATATATTTAATTGAGTTTTAGAGCAACACAAATAATTAAGTAGTCATATAGGAACATTTTAAATATTTTTGATGATTCCAATACGCATGAGACTCTTAGTAGATTCCAATACATGCATGAGAGTTTTGGTTACTGCATCAGACTTCGGTATAATCTTGAAACTGATTTTTACCTTTCCACGCGAATAAGTACTTGGAATGTTTTCTTATTCTTGAAGTGGTAAATTCATGCTCCATGAAAAATCTTGCAATCTAACTGATATCAATCTTCATTTGACTGACTAAATCAACTAAAACTTGAGAAGCCTTCCAATTAACAATATCAAAACCAATAAAATCAACTTCCTTCGTATCAACAATATCTTGGAATTTGATATCTCCCACTTTAGTATCATCACTGACTTCCTTCAAAGATTCAAGAGATGAAAACCCTTATTCTCTCCCGCCAAAACTTTTGTTATTACTCAAGTATTTGGCTTGGTCGTGTGAGCGAATTCACTATTAGCGAAATGAATGAGTTCCGTTGCCCCTGGTTGAGCGAATCCCAGGTCATCATCCCCCGTCTCCCTGAGACTCCCTTGGTTTTTCTTGCATCAAATGGCATTAGAGCAGGTTTTCTGCTGCATTAGAAGATCATGGTTGATATTTTTCATCCGTTTGAACATCAAATGGTTGAAGAGATTAGCTTGGTTGCTTGGAATTCTCCACTAGTGTATGACAAGTGTGTTGATGACGACATGGAAGAAATTAAAAGGATGCATCGACATCTCACCAATCAAATTTCTCACATCGAAAATCAACGATGAGGCATTGTGGTTTCCGAAGGGGAGGGAGGCATTTGTTTGCAATGTGTTGACCTTTTTCATGATAACAACATGTGGTTTGAGCCAACTGAAGGAGGTTTTTGTTCAACATTTTACAATGAAGTGGCACAAGATACGGTTAGTTTGGATTATCTTAGTTCATATTATGGGTGTGAAAATATTGAGGCTTCATCTTTAATTCATTTGAGTATGCCTCCCTTATTTGATCGTTGCTTGAGTAATTGTGAAATTTGGGATGGTTTTAACTTGAGTAATAACAAAAGTTTCGGTGGGAGAGAAGAAGGGTTTTCATCTCACGAATCTTTGAAGGAAGTCGGTGACGATGCTGAAGTGGGAGATATCAAATTCCAAGATATTGTTGATATGAAGGAAGATGCTATTTATGAATACGTTGATTTTATTGGTTTTGATATTTTTAATTGGAAGGCTTCTCAAGTTTTAGTTGATTTAGTCAATTAAATGAAGATTGATATCAGTTGGATTACAAGATTTTTCATGGAGCATGAATTTACCACTCAAGAATAAGAAAATATTCCAAGTACTTATTCGCGTGGAAAGGTAAAAATTAGTTTCAAGATTATAACGGAGTCAACAAATATTTAAACTCGAGGACAAGTTTCTTCATAGAAGAGGAGAATGATGTAGTAACCAAAGCTCTCATGCATGTATTGGAATCTACCAAGAGTCTCATGCGTATTGGAATCATCAAATATATTTAATTGAGTTTTAGAGCAACACAAATAATTAAGTAGTCATATAAGAACATTTTAAATATTTTTGGGTAGAGCAAAAGTCCAATTCGGACTAGAGTTTCATTGTGTTGTATTCCTTATAAATATATGTATTAAACCCTTGAGAAAGGAGATTGGAATGAATTAAAATTGTATTTGCCTAGTGCATTTGAAGAGAGTGATTTCTCCTTCTAAAATCAAGCATTTGACTTGGTCATGTGAGCGAATCCACGCTTAGCGATGTGAGCGAGCTCCGTTGCCCCTGGTTGAGTGAATCCCAGGTTATCATCCTCCGTCTCCCCGAGACTCCCTTGGTTTTTCCTACATCATAATATCGATCACTATTGTTAAGTTTCTTGTAAGCTTGTAGTAGTGGTATTCCCTTTTTACAATGTTAAATAACAAATTAACTCACTTGAGGAACAAACAAGCTGATACGATAGGCTACTTTCATCAACTATTTTTTGTATTAGATTTCTCTTAATTCTATTTCATGTCTAGTTCTTTTTCTCTTGAAGGGCTAAAAGGTGAGAAAGTAATTGAAGAATTATAGCACACAAGATATGTAATCGCCAAGTCTATGTGCAATAATATACGTATTACGGTTCAAAGTTTGGGGTGAGAGAAATCTCGTGGGCCATGTAGCCAAACCCCATCCATCGCCTATTGCCGAACCCTATATTATCCCAAGAAACGACACTCATCTGCCCAAGCATGAAAGCAGCCATAATGCCCAAGAGAAAGAAATTCAAACCAGAACTGGCCCCATAGAAGGAAACCAAAAAAATCAAGGGGCATGCCAAACGCGGCATCTTCCTTCACACTCACAAAGCACCATTGGATGACCTACTCCTGTACCACATATCATGACAGTATTGAAGAAATCTTAGAAAGCAACATGAAATGAATTAATGAATATTGCAGAGATAGAGAAAGCTTAGAGAGGAAGAAAGAGTAAAGAGGAATACGAAGAGATTATCATTCATTACAGTGAAAACCAATACAACAGCAGTAATGCTATTCTTACCCTATTTTTATACCACATTCATATACCATATGACATGGCATCTGATGTGGACATCCATATCATTAAAATGAATCACAATTTAATTTAAACTAAAAATCATTTAATAAACCAATAATTGAAAAAAAAGATTAGAATTAAAGGTGATTGTGTAATACGAGGAGTCTTTCCTTTCTTTCCCGTTCAGTCTGCTCCATCCCATGTTCTTCTTCCACGCCATTTTTGTTCAACCCTAGTTTTTTTCACGTTAGTGTGGACTACCACAATCTCAACTAATTCTCATACGGCAAAGATTCATCAATGTCGACAATCACAATCAGACGTCAGTGCAATTTTCACCAATTCACTACAAATTTTCAAGCTTTATCAGATAATTAAGCAATCCAAATTTCCCAATTATGTCTCACAGAAGGTTGTTTATTTGTTGGATAATCTGCAGTAGGGGCAAAAGAAAGAGAACGGCTTCGTGGGCGGAGGTGGCAGAGAACTTGCTGGAATCATCTTCCATTTTTTTCCTTGGTGGGGTGCTGTCTCTGCTCTGTGAATAGCTCTGGTGTGGTAAGTCTGATTATTTACATATTTAGGTGAATAAGGATAGTATTTCTTACTGTTTTAGACACTTTGTACTGTTTGATTTGATTTTTTTGGCGCCAAGGTAACTTCTTTTCCAGTTACGTTAACGGAAGTAGATTACTTGTTGTAAAGTTTCAATCTTTGGTTAAAACGATGGAGATTGGATATATCTGCCTAAAGGGTTTGAAACGTCAGAATTTTTAAATGTGATTTTGTTTCTGGTGTACCATGTTTTCTTTATTTGGGGGTTTAGTGAAAGCTTTTTGAGATGTTTAATGTTGTAGAGTTTGATTAGAACTATTTTATTATGGTGTTGTTAGAAAGCCATCGATATAAATCTTCAATATTTAATTAGGAAATAAAGATTTGATTAATCCTGAAAGAAAAGAGGGAACTTGGGATTTATCTACCAAAAGGATATGAAAAATTCTCATTTTTGAATGCCATTCCAATTTTGGTGTTTTGTTTAGTTGGGGTTTAATGCAAGATTTTTGTGATGTTTGATGTGGTAGGGTTTCAAAGAAGGCCAGAGAGAGAGAGAAAAGCTTTTGAAAGGCGGGGAAGTAAGCATGTCAGAGAAGCTTTCTTCCAATAGAGGTGAAGTTATACTGGAAGTTCGAAGTGAAGAGATCAATGCAGCAAAAGGATCTCCCTCAAAAGTCTCAGAATATTCAGCTCCCAAGCAAAGCCAAGTGGGCTCACCCGCCAAAACATCGGCTGAGTCCAGCAGTGGGTTCTCTAAATCAGTCCCAGTGAGCTCCCCTTCACCTGAATTTTCGAGAGCCAGTCCTGGTAAGCCTCCCAAGATTCCAACCCGCAATGAGAGTCTTTTTTTTAGCCATTGTAGTGCGTACACTAGAATTAAGAGACTTGCACAAATGGTCAGTATAGATTTACATTGATAGTGTGGTGTAATATATAAACTTGTATAATTATGTTTTATGTTTTTGGAACAGGGAGTTCTTCTAATGAATTTACTAAAGAGGATGATATAGTTGAAGTGAGTTCTTGTAGTGAAATAGAAAGTGATGGGGTTCATATAATAGAAACTTCTAATGAAACTATTGAAGAAGATGATGTAATTGAAGCAACTTTTGATGCCACTGAAGAAGAAAGCAATGGGGTTCATGCAGTGGAAAATAATGGGACTAACATGGAGAACACAAGGAATGTGGAAGGAAAGGTCCAAGAGCCTCAAGTTGGAATGATCTTTGACAACATGGATCAAGTGGCTACATATTACAAGGAATATGGGAGACAATTAGGATTTCCAGTGATAAAGAGATCATCAACGAAGGGAGATGATGGAAAATTGAGGTATATTACTATGTGTTGCGCTCGATCAGGTACATCAAAAAGTACTTCAAGTAATCCTCTTAAGCCATATCCAAGTATAAAGAATGATTGCAAGGCTCAACTAAGGGCAAGTTTATACTTGGGTGAGAAGTGGTGAGTGAATTCTGTAAAGCTTGATCATAATCATGGGTTGAGAGTCCAACAAAAACTCGTTATTGGAAGTGTTTTCGGGAAGTTAGTTCTTCTGTAAAAAAAGAAGCTTGAAGTGAATGATAAAGCCGGAATAAGGGTCAACAAAAGTTATAATTCAGTGGTGGTTGAAGTTGTGGGGCATGAGAACATGAAGTGTTTAGAAAAAGACTGTAGAAATTATATTGAAAAGGTAAGGCGCTTACGACTTGGAGAAGGGGATGCCATTGCAGTTCAAAACTACTTTGTAAGCATGCAAGCTCAGAATGCAAATTTCTTCTATGCAATTGATTTAGACAAAAATGGTTGTTTAAGAAATGTGTTTTGGGCAAATGCGAGGAGTAGGGCAGCTTATGAAGAATTTGGTGATGTTATAACATTTGACACAACATACTTAACTAATAAGTACAATATGCCATTTGCTCCATTTGTGGGGGTTAATCATCATGGGCAATCAATTTTATTGGGATGTGGATTGATTTCAAGGGAAGGTACCAACTCCTTTATTTGGTTGTTTAAGACCTGGCTTGCTTGTATGTCCGGTCATGCTCTAAGTGGAATAATTACAGATCAAGACAAAGCTATGAAAAAAGCGATCGAAGTTGTTTTTCCTAATACTCAACATCGGTTGTGCTTGTGGCATATAATGAAAAAGGTTCCTGATAAGCTCAAAAGTTATAAGGAATATGAGTCCATGAGCTCTTCTTTAGATAACATTATTTATGACTCAATGACCTCTGAAGATTTTGAAGAACGTTGGGTTGAGATGATTGTAAAATATAAGTTTAAAAAGCAAGCACGTAAATGGTTAAGAAGCTTGTATGCAGAGAGACATCATTGGGTGCCTGTGTATGTGAAAAATAAATTTTGGGCTGGAATGTCAACTACACAAAGGAGTGAGAGCATAAATGCCTTCTTGATGGCCACGTGAACTCCAAGACTACTTTAAAACAATTTGTGGAGTAATATGAGAATGCATTAAGGAGTAAGGTGCTAAAAGAGGCCTCTGCAGATTCTGATTCTTTCTCTTCAATTGTTTGTTGTGCAACTCAGTATGACATCGAAAAACAAGTTCAAGCTGTTTACATGATTTCAAAATTCAAGGAGTTCCAAAAGGAATTGACAAGTATAATGTATTGTGATAGGGTTTCAGTTGAAATTGATAATGCAATTTTGGAGTACCAAATAACGGAGCGTATTCTGATCAAGGAGAACAAAAAGAAGACTGTCATTTTCAAGGTCCAGTTTAATGAGCATGAGATTGAAGTTAATTGCAATTGTTGCAAGTTTGAGTTTAGAGGCATATTATGTAGACATGCGCTTTATGTTTTAGTTCATCGTGACATTGACTTTATGCCAGATAAGTTTATCATTTGGAGATGGAGGAAGGATGTGAAAAGATGCCACACAAGGGTTAGGATAAGTTACAGTAATTGGGTTGCTACACCTAAAGCACAAAGATCTGATAAGATGCAAAAAACCTTTGATGACATTAAGGAATTAGCCAATGATTCTGATGATAAGTGTATGCTTGTGGTGAGATGGATGCATAAACTAAAGGAGCAAATATGTAAAAATGACGAAGCGGCTAGTAGCACTCAACCAACACCACAATCACCTGTTGCTATGAACCTTGATCCTCTTCCTAACCCAAGTCAATGTATACTTACGCCATTGTCGGCTAGAGGTAAAGGTCGTCCACCATCTAAAAGGAAACAATCCAAGATTGATGAAGTAATCAAAAGAAGACAAAAACGACAGAAAAAGATTACATCTCGTAAAGACAATACAGATGAGGAAGGAACACAGGTAACAACATATTTGCTTTATATAACTAATAAGTTGATAAATCATAACATGTTTCACTTGAAACTTTTGTAGAAATCCATAGAAAGTGATGCAATATGCCATATTGATGGTCCACCTCCTTGTAGAAGTGATAACATAACTGCAACACAAGAGAGTAATGTCGTTGTGCAGGTATGAGATAAATATATTGATCTTCTTGTTGTCTTTTTTCCTTAGTTAATAATCATTTTCATTATAATTACTATACTTACTCTTTGTAATTGTAATTACTTTTATTCTTTGCGATTTAGCATTCTCATCTTACACAAGGAGTTCAAATTTGCACACCTGCCAACCAATATCCTATTTTCCCCCATACTAATGTAACTTGTGCATTTTGTCCTATTGATAGTGATTTTGAGTTGCTTTTGTGTTATCTATTGAACAAATATAACCTATTGTAGGAAAACATGGCTTTGTTATTAGGACTCAATCAAGGTGGTCATCCAAATCCGTTGTACAAAGAGTCTGAGATTGGAAATATAAGTTATCCTACTATGCATGGAAATTATGTCCTGGTAAACATTGAGAGGTTGCATATAATTCTTTTATTGTTATTAATTAAATATTTATTTACATCACATAGTATAATGCTCTATATGTAGTTCTTATGGTTTTTTTTTCTTCTATTTATTTAGGGTCAACAATATCCATACTGGAATGAAGGTTATAGTATGTACAATATGCATAGCTCTACTTCAAGATGAAACGATAACCAAGAGCTCAACTAAGCAATGGAAGCAAAATGAAAGCAATTTCTTTATGTAGTTTGAGTTTTTGTGGATTTGGATCCTATTTCTTCTAAACATAGATTTTAATGCATTTCAAATATTTCGTAACATCAGCCAGTATGCAGATGTGTTACTTTTCTAATTCTTGTTGTACTGAAAGCGGAGTTTAATCAAGTTCTTATCCGCACTCTAGTCACCATCAATGTCATATGTTCCTTGCGCTACATAACTGACAAACTAAATGGTTTTGTTGCTGTCGTTGAGTTTGTGTTACTATGTTTATGACATATATAAACACAAACAGAGGTATGTATGATATCATATACATATATATGCATTTTTCGGTGCCTGGCTGGGGCTTCAGAAGAAGTATGAAACTGCCAATTTTTTAAGGGGCTAAGAACTATATACATGACTCATAACTTCTTGGACAATTTCATTGATGTGTTTTTCGTATAGAATCTTGTATACATGACCTAGTTAAGGCTCAAGATATTGAAATTGGCGATTACCAAAGGTAAAATATTCTAATCTCCATACCAAAAAACTTGGTTGATTAACTTGATCTTAATATATATTCTGACTCAAACTGTAAGAAATTACCTACCTCGGTGAGAATTTCGATATGATTCGAATCATAATATCATTAAGTTCCGATAGATGAGAATGTCAAAGAGGATTGGCTTGATCCATATATTCTACACTTTGCAGTCAAGTTGTAGTCTTCAAACAAAGACTCAGCAGGGAACTAGTTAAAAATTTCTCACTAAGTCCTCATCTAAATGTGATGTTTCTCTTTTTATCCAGTGCACAGTCCATATAGTAATGCTGCTGGATATGGTGAACTTGACATGGTCTCATAAACTGGCTAGTTGCTGAAAAGCCAACTTGCAACTTACCCATATAGAAGTCAAACTCTCCGTTTTTCCAGTTCTGGAAGGGAATTGTACTCGGGAATGGGAGCAGTTGTCTTCTTATTTTGCAAACAATGTTACGACGCATAAATACTTAAATTAAAGATCGATCGATCGATCGATCAATACTACGTAAATAAACAATGTTACGAAGCACAAATGCTTATTCGGCAACATTGCAATTGGGAAACATGACAAAGTTGATTGCATATATGTACTTGACTAGTATACCTAAGCGGATGACATATGGTCATTGAAAAGTGAAACCAGAAATCAACATATATGTGAAATTCTCCCTCGGTGCTAAACTTGTCATCAATCACCACATTTTTTTTTCCACCTCAATGAGAGAAAGCCAAGCAGCTTCCCAATCTCTCTGCCGTTGCTTCCTTGTATATGAACTCATTCGCCTTGGCCATCTCATCAGCTCTGAACTTGGCAATGATTGAAACCAAGTTTGAATCTTTATCTTCCTCTAAGAAAACAAAACCAAGATCCATAAACCCTTTTAACTCTTCAAACTGAAGGCCCTTCAAGCTCTTGCTCTCACTCTTCTTCTATCTTCTCCTCCTCATTTCAACTTTCTTCTGTGGTTCTTCTTCTGAATATATCTGTTTCGGGTTTTCGATTTCCTTGGCTTCTTTTCCGATTTCCCTGGTTCTTCTTCTGATCAGACTCTACAACATTAAACATCACAAAAAGCTTTCACTAAACCCCCAAATAAAGAAACCATGGTACACCAGAAACAAAATCACATTTAAAAATTCTGACTTTTCAAACCCTTTAGGCATATATATCCCATCTCCATCGTTTTAACCAAAGATTGAAACTTTACAACAAGTACTCTACTTCCATTAATGTAACTGGAAAATACGTTACCTTGGGGCCAAAAAGATCAAATCAAACAGTACAAAGTGTCTAAAACAGTAAGAAATACTATCTTTATTCACCTAAATATGTAAATAATCAGACTTACCACACCAGAGCTATTCACAGAGCAGAGACATTACCACACCAGAGCTATTCACAGAGCAGAGACATCACCTCATCAAGGAAAAAAATGGAAGATCATTCGAGTAAGTTCTCCACCACCTCTGCCCCCACAGCCATTCTCTTTCTTTTGCCCCTACTGCAGATTATCCAAGAAATAAACAACTTTCTGTGAGATATAATTGGGAAATTTGGATTGCTTAATTATCTGATAAAGCTTGAAAATTTGCAGCGAATTGGTGAAAATTGCACTAACATCTGATTGAGATTGTGGTAGTCCACACTAACGTGAAAAAAACTAGGGTGAAAAAAATGGCGTGGAAGAAGAAACGGGGGAAGGAGCAGACTGAACGGGGAAGAGAGGAGAAACTCCTCGCACAATCACCATTTAATTCTAGTTTTTTTTTTAATTATTGGTTTATTAAATGGTTTTTAGTTTAAATTAAATTCTGATTCATTTTAATGATGTGGACATCCACATCAGATGTCATGTCATATGGTATATGAATGTGGTATAAAAATAGGGTAAGAATAGCATTACTGATACAACAGTACTTATAAGGACATAGATTAACTAACTTTTATTATGTGGCAAAACCAATCTTAATCTAATTAGAACTAACTATATTCCTGACAGATGGACCATTAGCTTATTGACACTTGAATCTTAAACTTTAAGTTATTACTCCCCCTCAATCTCAGCTAGGATATTCAAGTCTGAGATTGCTACAATGCTTCACAAAAATAGGACTATGTAACCCAAATTCGAATTTTCTCAAAACTCACATCGAGAGAGTTTCCTTAGCATCTCTCAGTTAAAAATCAAAGTACAATATGGCAGCACAACTATTAATTAGGAGTTCGCATTTAGGCTACAAATTGCAATACAGTACCAGTTGTTTCCAGACAAATCACCAGTATCCCATACTTCTTGTCCCCAAGTGTGGCAAACTGAATTTATTCTAAAAGTTGTGTGGAGAAAAATTACTGATCTCCCACGTCACATCCTACAAATATAAAATACAAGATCGATAAAAGTATGTGATATATACATTATAACCGTTTTAATCGTTAGATAGGAGGGGTTCACCTTTCCCTTCTACTACATAGGGTATATAATTGTACTTCACGTTAGATCTATAATGTATTTCATACATTGTTATAAGTTAGAAATATACGTGAATAAGTAGGATCTTTACTTAATTATGTAAAGAAAACAAGAACGTTTCTATTTACCAGTCCCCCAAACCAGAGAGGGAAATCCTCCAAATGCATAGAGTACAACTCCAAAGCCAATGGCATGAAAGGGTACGTATAATGAAGAAATCTACAGAATGGCTGCCTATTTTAAGTCTCCAACGTTCTTGAGTCGTGCTTCCTACTGCAAATTTCAAAGTTCGAAAGAATTATCATTAACATTTCAATTTGCTAGCTTAGTGTGTGAGATGTGCCATGTACAGTCAATGTGGTGGTCTCTCTCTGTCACTTTGACAGATTATGTGATGAGCAAGATAAGCACAAGGTACTTGTGAGAGATTAGGAGTTTGCGTACACTTCTAAACCGAGAATGATAATTGAAGATCCAACCAATATGTCTATCCCAAATTCCTCCAACGGGACTATGAGGGTCTTTCAACGTGTCTGTAAATTGGTTATGAGTTCGGTGTATGCTGGTCCATTCAAGTGCACTTCTCTGCAAACAGAAAAAAAGAGTAAAAAAATCTTCTTATAAAATAACACAGATGAATGAAAGTGATTTATACCTGAACGACTGAAACGATAGGACTGCGCATACAATAGGCAAAAAAGTATTCTAGCCATTTGGGAAGTTTGAAACTCTGGTGGGAAAGTTGCCTGTGGTAAGAGAGATTTACACTCACTCCTACGGCAAGATAGAGTGCAACTGCTACCCAAAATGCAGGCCAGGTGAAATGAAATGCAGCTAAAAGAGTAAGCAAATACAAAGCCATAGGACCCAACTACTGAGCCTATATCCACGATGTTCCATTCCCTGATAAGCTAAGCCTGCCGAAACTAAATTCGAATGGTTCTCTGATCTCATCCAATCCATTGCAACAGAATGTTTCAACTTAGTTTGAATGATTCAACGATCTTGGAATTATGAATTTTGTAATTTGTGTATTTAGTTCTTAGTTATCTGTTATGTTTTCATTTGAAGAGTTTGGTTTCATCTCAAACTCTCTCTCAACTCTATATATATAATGAAAATATACAGATGGCTAATTCATCTAGCCTAATTATACTCGAACTGAGATTTCTATCTTGGCATCATCCCTCTCTGCGTCTAACGACAAACCTTTCTCTCAACTTTTCCCATGGATCTTTCCACTGCTGTCTCTAATCCCAGTGTTGCAAACTTTCTCACCATCACGTTGGATCCTAACAAATATTCATTGTGGAGGGCTCAATTCATTACTTTTATCCATAGTAGGGGCTTTTTTCATTTGTTGATGGTTCATCTCAGCGTCCTCCTGCTTTTATCACTGACGATGAGGGAAATTTGACTTATGAAGTCAATCCAAGCTTTGAAGCATGTATTCAACATGATCAATTGGTTCTGTTGTGGCAAGTTTTCTCACTCCCAATGTGCTGTCAATTATTGTTAACAAAGTTTCGGCTTCTAATGCCTGGAAGACGCTCCAAGAATCATATGTTTCCTCTTCACATAATCGTGTTGTCCAATTTTGTGGTGAGTTGATGAATCTCCATTAAGTAACCTTTCTATCGCTGATTTTCTTATAGAACTAATGCTCTTGCAGACCTACTTGCTTTGGCTCTCCAATAACTGATGACGATCTCGTTGCTACGGTCACGAACAATGTTGGTCCTTTGTACGTGAATACTACGGCCTCAATCCAAGCACAATCTCGTTGCTACGGTCACGAACAATGTTGGTCCTTTGTACTTGAATACTATGGCCTCAATCCAAGCTCGCAAGTCTCCTATTTCCTATGCCGCTATAGAGGCTTTGCTTCTTAGCACTGAACGCCGTGAATTAACCTTCTCTCCCTTGAGATAATGGCCTAATAGCAATGGCATCCACACGTGGACGTCGTGTTACTGCCAGTCCTGGGTTCGCTCATGGTGGTGGCATGTCTGGTTCTTATAGTGGTGGTTCCTCGTCTGGCTCGCGTTCTTCCGGTTCTACTTCTAGAGCCTATAATTTTGTTCTAGGTTTCTCGGTGCTGCACATGTTGGACTGCCTCATTTCTCCCCTTTTGATAGCTTTACTGGAGGGAAGATTCAATGCCAAATCTACCGGCGTTTTGGTCACACAGCGATTGACTGCTTCAATCGCCTGAACATGTCCTATGAGGGATGTGTTCTATCATCCTGTTTCACTGCTTATGCTGCCGGTTCATCTGCTCTGCTGCTACTCCGCCACCTACAACTTGGCTATTAAATTCTGGAGCCAACACTACATAACCAATGATGCTGCTTAGATCACAATTCCTCAAATAATGCACCGGTTCTGATCATGTAAATGGTTTCAATGGGTGCAGGTTTGAACATCTCTAATATTATTAGTTTATTTTGATATATGAAGTTATTCAAATTTAGTTGTTTCTAGATTCCGTTATTATGTTATATATATTCATTGACAATTTTTCACGGTACACTTGGTTGTATCCTCTCAAGTTAAATCTGAGGTATTTGCAACCTTTGCAATATTCAAAATTCAAGTGAAAAATATATTCGATATTGTTGAGGTTCAAAATGTTACATGCAAGCCCAATCAAATCTCAATACCCAATAGTCATAAAGGCCCTCCAAACCAAGCCTAAAAGTCCCTCCAACAGATACCAAGATTAAAATGATTCAAACTAGTGGGGGAGGCTAGTATATTAATAAGAATAATGCTTTTAAAATAAGAGATTTGCAGTTGAATTGGTTAAGTGCGTTTATCACTTCATTGCACTAATAACTCAATTCCTCACTCCTAATATCAGTATCAAATGAGGAAGATGTTATTAACCAAAAAAAAAAAAAATTGTTTTGTGCACTCTTCAAGGGTAAATTTCTCCATTATTGATATTGTAACAAAATTAGTTTGATTTGTGTACTCACTGATCATGTATGCGTATGAACTATCCCTAAAACAGATAATGGTTACACAAATTAGTAAAAAATGAAGATTCATTTGCATGTGTTCATCTTTCTAAGAAGGGGTGTGATATCCACTTATCCCATTTTACTTCTCACACACCTTTTTAATTTTTGGCCATCAGATCAATGAATTGAAGAAGATCAACAGACAGAAATTATCAAGGGGTGTGTGAGAAGTAAAATGGGGTGTGTGTATAGCACAACCCTTCTAAAAACTAGCACATTTCTAATAGTCCTTGTGTATTAAGAGTGCTTTCACTTCTCTAAATGTAAACTCCAAACTAGTTAGGATTTTTAATTAACTTCTTATCTCACCTCTTGTAATTAACTGATGTTGAACCAACCACTTTTTGAGTTTTGATCGCTACAAAACTCTCAGTTTAGCTTGGTTAATTAATCCAAAAGATTGTTCAAAACCCACCACTTTGGTGAGTTTTCAGTGTGATTGTAACAACATTATTTTGGTCTTATCTCAATGTATTCATATTATGAGTATATCTATATGTTCATATCATACCCTAGATACTGACACATCGACCTTATCGTTTCCTCATAATTCTTAACGTGTGTGTTGAATTTTTTTCAGTACAATTAGGCATTTTCTACCATGTGTTTTCAAGTTTATTTGGTATGAAGTTAGGTATTATAATGCCCACTACATAACTCATACAAGGATGCTAAGTTATTAATAAATATTGACCATTTGCTAGTGAACCACAAGAATAAACATAACAAGATTAAAATTACACTTGAAGTGATATATCGATTGGGCACAATTACTAATTAGGAGTTCCTCCTCTTATGAGAAAGATTTATATGAATAATAAATTTACTGTCGTCCTCGCATCTTGAGGTGTAAGATCATGTGTAAAACTTCTTCCACATAACCTCATATTAGTGGCTTGCAACGCCGCAATAACAGTAAGTTCGTTCCATGAAACTCATTTTCCAAATTCACCAAACATTTCCTCAAGTAAACAAGATTATTTATTTCATGAATTCAAAAAGGCAACATAAAACAAAATTTAATAACACATTACTAGCATAACCGACATACGACATTATTTATTATAAATTTGGTATAACTTTGTAAATTGCCTGGTAACTGGTAAATACCGCAAGCAAAAGTAACGATCCATGGCCTACTCTATATACTTAAGAGGACGGCAGAAAGCAGCAGCAGTTTGCAGTTCTAGTGACATTAAAAGCTTTCCATTAACTTCAACGCTTTCCATTGCTGACTTCTGC